CTGTTTCAATATTTTTTATCATTATTCGAGGAATTGAATTTGGTGATGTCAAAACTCAACAATGGTTAACATCTGTTCTTACTGGATTCTTCTCATCGGTTATTTTTACTCAACCTATTAAAGTATACTTTCTATTTTCTTTTAATCTATATTTTTGAAATGTTTTCTCATTGAAGATAATATGTTTGGCTATATTCTTTATATGTTTTTGTCGAAATTCAAAAGATGACAAGGAAACAAGTGAATATATAAATGAAGATGATGAATTCAATATATCTAATGATGATGATTATCTTCATTCACTTGAGGTTTGTTATCTTTTAGAATTTCATAGAAAAATAACTTTTCCATTTATAGTATCACTCATTATTTTCTTCTCAATCTCGAAAAAGTATTAATCGTCTTAATGAAAATGAAATTGTTTATGCTCGTGATCAACGTTTAAAAGAAATTCAAATGTGGGCAATTATTGTAGAATATCTTATTTATTTTATATTTGCAATATTAGTTTTTATAATAACTTATTCAAATCGTGAACAACATAGTTTTTTTCAAGTTAATCATTTACGAGCTTATCTTTTAAATCAAAGACAAACGACTGTTGATTATACTAAAGTTTGTTCTTTTTCTACAATTCTTTTATTTATGTATTGAAATGAATTTTGTTTTTCTAGATCAATACAATCGATGAATATTGGTATTGGTTAGAAAATAGTTTTGTTTCAAATATTCGTGCACAACAATGGTATAATGGAGATATTCCACAATATTTAAATGGATTTCTAAATGATAAATCTAGTCGACTCATTGGTTGGGCAACAATGAGACAATTACGTGTTAAATCAGAATTATGTCCCGATCAACGTGTTATTTCAATATGTGAAGATAGTTATAGTTTTTTTAATGAAGAAACACAATTATTTCAACCAGGATGGACAAATGAAACAATAGAAGATGAAGTGTATAGTTCATCGATTCTAAAAGCATTTAACTATTCTAAGAGTGATGAATTAGATACATATACATATGTAGGTGAATTTGGAACATATAAAGGTGGTGGTTATGTATATGAATTTCGTGGTAGTTTATCTGATATGAAAACAAATTTATCTAAACTTCATCAATTAGATTGGATCGATGAGAAAACAAGAGCTGTTTTTATTCAACTAACATTATATAATCCAAGTGTTGAATTATTAACTGCCGTTACTTTACTTGCTGAATTTTTACCAACAAGTGGTATTTATACAACAGCTCGTTTCGAACCAATTAATTTCTACAGTAAGTCATTCTTTATTTTTTATTTCTATAGATAAGTAAATTTTTGTTTTTTTTTAAATTTAGCATTTACATCAATATTGCAATTAGTTTGTACAATTATTTATGTATTTTTTATAATTTATTTTATGATCATTGAAATTCAGTTATTATTTGAATTAAGACTGAAATATTTTCATCAGTTTTGGTCATTAATTCAATTAGGTATCATTGGTTGTTCATTGGGAAGTATTGGAGTTTATTTTTGGCGTTTTCGAGAAACAAATCGTGTAAGTCAATTATTTGAACAAACAAATGGTTATATTTATATTAATTTACAACTTGCAGTTTATGTTAATGATATTTTAACATTTCTTCTTGGTTATTGTTGTTTTTTTAGTATAATTAAATGTCTTCATTTACTTCGTTTTAATCAACAAATATCTTTATTTGCTGAAACATTAAAATATTGTGCAAAAGAACTGATTTCATTTTCACTAATGTTTGCAATTGTATTTATAGCGTTTCTTTGTTTATTTTATTTATTATTTGTATCAAAGCTTTCGTCGTGTTCAAGTTTATTATCAACTGCTCAAATGCTTTTTGAAATGACATTAATGAAATTTGATGCATCACAAATATCTGGAGCTGATGCATTTCTTGGTCCATTCTGTTTTACTTTATTTATGCTTCTAGTTGTTTTTATTTGTTTAAGTATGTTTCTTTCAATAATTAATGATAGTTTTCGTCATGCGAAAGACAATCAAAAAGACGATCAAATTATGTTATCATTTATGCTAAAGAAATTTTTACGGTGGACAGGTATGTAAATTTACATGATTTATTCAGGTCAATTGAGATCTCATTGGTATCTTGAGGATGTGGGTGTGGGTGGATGTGAATATGATAAAAGAGAAGACTTCTACACCCACTTAAGATTTGTGTATCTCAGTAGAACATAGTTTTCTATTAATATTTTAGGTCTGAAAAGATTAAACCAAGAAGAAATTCAAGAAGAACGAGATTGTCGAATGCGTTCACAATATTTTGATCCAATTGAAAATTTTCCTGATAGAATTGATCAATTACTAGAAGCGCTCAATAAAGTATGTGAATACCTATGGTTCTTTTACTTGAAATTATTTTCTGTTTTTTTAGATTTATATTGATCAAAAAATCGAATCATCAAGACTGGATAAAGCTGGACTGTAAATATTATGTTTGAAAAATGATGAATATTCATATAATGAACTCTAAATATATTTTTAATCCTTTTTTTCGAAATAAATCTTTGAAATTGATTATATATTTGATATCTGTGAAATAGAATTCCACGGTTTTTACAGTGGGTGCGGGTAGGTGTCGGCATTATATCCATCACATACCAACACCCACACCCTTCTAGAGTAAAATATCATAGTTGATCAAAAGATGACTTTATCTTTCGAGAACAAATAATGCGAATGCTATATCGCGTATACTTAATAGCTATATTATTCTGTATATTTTCATGATTTACTTTATTTAGGTAAGAACTTTTATAAGCAATAACATAAAATTTGTGCTGTTATTAATATAGATTATATGCGGTCTATCTCTACTGATCATATTTCTTTATCCTGGCGAAGTGGCAATATATTCTGATATTTTCTGTAATTACTGGTTCAGTCTAACCTTCGGGTTATACTTAGCTTCTCTTCAATTAAATGTATTTTCTATCAGCTAAATGTTATTTTTACACAAGTCATAGGTTCTATTGAACTACACATAAATAAAAACGTCGAATGCTACAGAAGAATATATGAAGGAAAAATAACGCATTGTTTTTACAATCTTTATTGATCGATTGTTCATTGGTTTAATCTATCTGATAATACTTTTTCTTCCACTAACTAATGTTAACGTCGCTTTGACAATACCCAAATAACAAACATTAGAGAATAGTATATCATATCAATATTACTCCTTCAATCTTTCAAACAAAATACTATTTAATTAATTATATTTCAGTTTTAATACTGTTCTTTCACATTGTAAAGAGTCAAAAACATGTCTTGTACTGAAGTTGTAATGACTATTTTTAACTTAATAAGTAAGAAACATCTAAGGAAGATTTGTTCATTTTTCTGCTTAATAAAGATGATTTCTTGTTATATTAGAATTTATATGTTAGAATTATAAACAACACATGTTTTTCTCTTTGATATATACGAGCTTATATGAGATGAATGTTCATGTATTGTACATATCTAAAATACATTAATTCTTTTTGATTATTGTCATATTTCATTTGATTATTATAAATGCATATATATACATATATATTTATATAAGTACATTTATTCAATAATTAAGATAAATATCGTCTGTCAAAAACTATCGGATTACATATCTAGATAGCCATAATCAAAATCCAACTATACTATTGTTCTATAAATATTTTTATATTCTATTTTCTGTATTTTTTCTTTTTCTTTTTATGAATTTAATAATGAATGTGACATATTTAATACACATTAACACTTGGCTTAGGAATTATGATAAACATTTACATATCTTTTTCTCGTTCATAGTTTGTTTTTCCATAAGCTATAGTATCGTGATGTGTACTATCTATAAGAGAACGACATAAAATAGAAGTAGACGTCATGCATTATTACATACTTCAGATCCTATGACGTCAAAGAAATGTTTACAATAAATATAATCTTTCCAAAGGAATATAATCATATATCTCAAACAGTTTTTCTAATGATAGATCAGATTCAAAATTCTACGAAAGATTAACATTCAATTTTTAATAATGATACTTACTCTTGATAGACACAAATAATTATATGCAATGACAAAAATCACATTCGAAACAAGAAGACCATAAAATTAATTCATCACATAATAACAAACGGTAAAGAAAATTTAAATTCGCTTGCAGTGATTCGGTCTGAAACAACCACACACCATTAAATAAACACTCTAAATCTATATTTTCATTATATCAACAAAATTTTCTGTGAAATAATATGATGTACTCATCAATCTTATTAGAAAAATAATTCTTCTATACAATATTCGTTTTCCTAGCTAACAAAAGAGACAAAATGATCTACATAAGATTATATTTGACATTTTTACTGATTGTAAACGAATAAATAATGTCATAAAATATTTCTATCATCAAACTCTTATTATTTAATTACATCACAACATGTCCTAAAGGAAACAAAAAAAAGACTTTTGTTCATGTTAAAGTATACACAATTCAAATTCTCCATCAGTTTTAGTCTACTCAAAACTTGAATGACGATTTTTAATTATAGCATAAAATTTGCGTCATTAAATCTCTATTATTTCATGATAATTTATTGATATAATCAGAATAATCTAACATATGTTTGTCAATTATTTCCTCTTGTTTGATTACTAGAAAAAACTATATTGACAAATGTCCATCGAGAAATGAGAATAAACATACAAAACTCTAGAATTAATAGTTGTTTTTATTTTACAAAAGATTTTATTTTAATGATGATGATGATGATCATAATATCAGCAGTTTTGAGTATCTGTTGATACTAACAAACTAGTTAAATACTTGAGACTAGTTCCGAGTGTTCGTTTGACATCCGCTCTTCTTCTTTTTATCCTTTTCAGAAAAAAAGGATGCAATGTTTTCTTTTCTTTCATGCGAGATCTCCATATATATATATATATATAAATTCCAGTATATACTTTGAATTTATATAATGAATACATCATGCAATGCAAACGCTGATTCGACTGTAATTTTATCATTCTTTATTATTGGTTGTATATTAACAATCATTGGTACTGTACTTAATCTTTGTTCATGTTTACTTTTTTGTCGTTCAAAATCTCTTGTTAATATGCCCTATTCTGTATTTATTATTGCTTTATCAATAGCTGATATTGTTAAATTAACAGCAGAATATTCTGTACATATATTATTTTTTTATATTCAACATCCATATTTTGTTTGTTCAATATCATGGTTTTTAACAATGACCAGTGAAAATACATCTTATGCTTTTCTTTGTGCTTTAGGTAAATATAGAATTTTCGATTTTTTAAATATTTCCGATGTATATACATATAATGAGTTTTTTGAAGATGTTCGAGAATTGTAAAAAAAAAAGTAGTTCTTTTGTTTCGAATGTTTTCTCTTACAAGATTATTATCGTATGATAATTACGGTAGCGGATCTAGGATTTTGAGAGGGAGAAGCGATACCTGAGTAGGGCGGGGGGTGGTTTCGGTTAAAAACTATTTTCGAGTCCAGTTGATGTAGTGTAAATCTATTTTTGCTGTAAAAAATCTGAACGAGGAGGGGAGGGCGACCGTCTCAATCGCCCACCCCTAAATCCGCCACTAGATAATTTCATCACTACTTTTCAGTTTTCATAATGTTTTGCATTTGTAATTAGTAAAATCTTGTTCGTATATTTTTAGGCATCGAACGTAATTTGAAAGTATGGTCAACAGATCGTCGATCATTAATTACAAAACGAGACGCAACTATTATAACTATCTTTATTATTATATTCGTAATTATATATAATCATCCATTTCTTTTCTTGCCATACGATGTGTCTTATTGTTTTTTTAAATTATTTAACAAGACAATATTATTTTCATGTGATAATGCATATTATAATGCATATGGTTATACATTTTCATTAACAAATTTATTATTTATTGAAAATATTGGTTTAAATAATTTAATTTTACCATTAATTATTATATCAACAAATATAATATTAATATTCGGTTTACAACGTCGTTCACAACAACGTCGACATCGTTTAGGTACATATAAAAATGATGATTGGAAAGAACGAAGTGTTATACTTTATATGTTACTTTCAAGTATAGCATTTATTTTACTAACATCACCTATTGGTATATTAGGTGCTTGGTCTGCTATACATTCACAAAGAATTCCAACAAATAATTTAGCATTAATATTAGATTTGTTAGAAATTATTCATCATTGTTCACATTTTCCTATTCTATTAATGACAAGTTCAGTAATTCGTAAAAAAACATTTGAAATTATATTTCATCCTCGTACAAAACGACAAAATTCTATTCTTTCAAGAAATTCTATAAGACAACGTATTGCATCACAATCATCATCTACACGAGGAAGTAATCGCCCACAATTTCGTTCACCATTAAAAAGCATTTCTTCAAATTCTTAAGAAAATCAATATTTGCTAATATCTTATCATGCTATTGATTTTTGTAAAATAAAACAAATATATTCTTTCTTTCTTTCTTTCTTTTTATTTTATTTTATTTCATTTCATCATTTATTTTCCGACACCTCCGAATAATAAACCAAGACCGTGTAAAAATTGAATCAATTCTTGATTTTCAACTAATTCAGCAGTTGAATGACAATTACCAGCAACCTAAGCATATATATATATATATCATTATTATCAATATAAGATTTGGCTCTTTACAAAACTTACATTCATATAACCGGAACAACATTTGATTTCCTCAGATTTACATGCAGAAAAATGAGGAACTTGAAATGTTTGAATGTATGTGTATATTTCGACTCTAAATAATCAGAAAAATATTCTGTTAAATCTAGATCAAATTATTTGAAACAAACCTAGATTGCATGACATGGTGGGGACATTTCATCGTTCCCATAAAACCACAATCAACATAACCAACCTAAATTAGAACTTATTATCAAATATTGTTTTAGTCAATTTTACATACTATGACTTTTGTCATAACAACTTTTGTACCATGTTCAACTTTTGTTCCAGTTACTGATTGTATTGGTTGTTCATTAATACAACACCAATGTCTAATAGAGAAAAAAAAGAAGACTATTTCCTATAGAACAAATTGAAATATTTACGTAGCTTCACCAGCAGCACGACCTTGATTACGATTTAATGATAATCGAACTGATTCAGGTAAATCAGAGCTTTTAACTTCAGCTAAAAAATGACGGATTTTATCATTTAACTAAATAAAAAAAATAAGATAAAAATTTAAAAAAATCTTGAAACTGACTTCGAGTTGAACAGCATTAGTTGCCACTAAGGCAAAAAAACAGAAGCAAACGATTGATTTCAACATGGTATTACTTCGGGAAAGAATGAAGATATGGCTTTGTTTTTTACTTTTATATAAATATTCTCACACCTATGTTTTTCTTCTAATATTATCATTTGAAAACATCTGTTTCATATTCTCATCGATTATTTTTCAAATAGATTTTATTATTATTATCAGTGGAACCATATTCATATTATCGATTGTATAATTTGTAAAAAATATTCAATACAAAAATTTCATATCTTATAATAATAAAAAGAACTAAATTGCAAAAAAAGAAAAACAGAACATTAGTGAACTGAAGTGCTCGATAAACATATTGAATTGTTTTACTTAAATCTATTTATATTTAATACAACTAACCACTATTATTCGACCTATATTTAAGATTTTGCGTTATAATAGACAGAAAAATAAATATGTCTTATCACGTGTATGATAAAACAGAACTAATATTTACAGTAAAACATCGATCGAATGAAGAATATTTGTTGGGAGAGAAACATGATTATTCTTAAGTAACATGATAAAAAATTTTAATGTGCAGTTGAATTGGAATGGTTTTTGAATAAATTTTCAAATGATATATTTTACTGTTTTGTATAAAATAAGAAATATTTGCTAATTAAGCATACTCATTGTTTTAATATTTCATTTGGTAACTGTTTATGAAATTAGTATGACATTTTAACTTGTAAGCATAGAACTACACACGAGAAAATCACTCTGTATTGAATTATAATTTATAAACAGGGGCGCGTGGGGTGTCACGCCCCCCTGTTTTGGAAAATATTTGTTTTTTTGACCAATAAAATCAAAAACAAGGGTTTTTTTGGTGTTATATTTAAGCAAAAAGGGTGTTGCGCCCCCTGCCTTGGAGACCTCGCTACGCCCCTGTTTATAAATAACGAAAACAAATTTATTTGAATGTAGATCTATAATTTTTCTATATATAAATATATACATCATATGATCATCATAAAAAAATATATACTTTATACAAGAATCTCTTTACTATAAGTAACTATCTAAGTTAAACGTACTTCTTATCAAGATATCAAAAGTAGTTCATTCAGTAAAAAACTATTGTGTGTCTTTTAAAGATCGTTTGATTACCACTCGTATGACGAGACTTTTTTTAATCAGTATTCTATTCAATTTTCTTTCCCATTGAGATCAATGACACATAAAAATAAACAATAAATTTAGTTGAAATCATGAAATAAATAATGACTCGTCTATTTATAATTATACAAAAGTCGAACAATTTATATAGTTATTATTCTTCTTTTTATCTTTTGTTTCATTGTTGTTCATCGTTAGTTAACTTCTTCTTTGTCTCGAAAGTATTAAAGTGAAGAATCATGCTGCTGTTACTGCTTCTATTGCTATCGCTTCTAACGATACACATATCGTTTGATCTATACGATATATACCGCCAATAAAACTGACTGATTCTCTAAGTAGTTCACCGCTTTACTGCTCTTCAAGTAGTATAGCTGTAATAGAAAAGAGAAAAAAAAGAAAAGAATCTTTTCATTGAAACTAGATACCATTTATTTGAAAGTAAAATCTTCTATCGGATTCACATTATGATGAAGATCAGACTATACATCTTGACATATCAGAGTGCCCTTTTTGCTTTTCAATCCAAGTATTTGTTTTCATTATATGAACATCATATTCATCTACTCATATTTGTATATAGAATAGTACTTCTAGTTAATCAATAAAAAAGAGAAATGTAAACGAAAAATTTTTATTTTAAGATTAATATTATTCATATATCATATGAACATAAAAAAGTTTTCTCATGTAAAAATATTTCTTGTTGATTTATACAAATGGTAGAACACAGAAAAAAAAAGTGAAGTGTAGAAAGTGAAAGTTTATGTTAAGGATTGAGAATTGGAGGAGTATTAAGAGATGAAGTGGTTAAAATGTCGAGAAAATATATCAATAAAAGAAGAAATGTCAAGAGTGTGAAAACAAATAAGTCAACTCGTTGAATATCTAACGTCTTTATATCATAGAAAATCTCGTATAAAAAAAGGTCGTATAATCCGGACAAATATTATAAACAATGTACAAGTTTTAACATCGATAGAATTAACTCAATCTGCACTGATACAAACTTTCCCTGTGCATATGCGTACATTGTAGTTTTCAGCTCGGAGCATCAAGTATTAATTAAACATTCTTAGCCACTTCTGCCATCTTAGAAAAAATTTGTCTCAAGGTTACACTTATTCCTCTTGTTTTCTAACGATTGTCTCAGGTTAGTTGTTTTAGAATACCTCTGGCTATCATTAAAGGACAAAACTGAAATCATCAAATAGAAACACGAATAAACGATATTAATCTATACATAATTTTCGAATAAATCATTTTGAAATCTTACAATAAAATTCTGAAGAATATTATTTTTTCTTTACTCCATCAACATTTTAAACTAAACTGTCTCTTCCGTTTTTTATTCCTCTTCGATATTTATATTATTGCAAGAAGAAAAAAAAGTAAAATAGTAAGGAAATCCGAGTAGTACATTTCTATAGAAACAAACAGAATGACAAAAATATATCCTACAGCAATTCTTTTTTCAATGAACATTATTTTATTATTAATTTTCCTTTCTTTTTTTTTATTTGAATTATAGAATAATTCTATATTAGATATTCTTACTTTCCCTCGTACAATAATATTTCTCTTTCATTCTCTGCAGGGATGTATATATTTAAATTGATTTTCGAATTCATCTGTTAGAATGTCTACTATGAGAATCTATGTACATCATTTTTATTTTACGATTCAACTCAAGTATTCTTCACATCAGTCTCAGTAATAATCAATTGATGAGAAGATTAATTGTCACCAATGTGTAAAAAAATCTCTGTTACTGTTGATTTACAATCTTTGATAAGCATTAAAGATTTTTTCTTGCCCTTTCCTTCTCCTCCTTCTTCTTTTTCTAACATGAACCAATAGAAATTGATTTACATGTCAGCCAATAGAAAATAAACGAATGTAAAAGAGAGAAAAATACTGCAAGCAAAAAAGAAGGAGAGAGAGAAAGGAAATAAGTATTCTCAATACGTAGACAAGAGGTCTCTTTTGTCTTCGTTTGTGTATGTGAAAAAAGAAAAACGTAGAGAAGAAAAAAAGAGTGAGAACGAATAAGTAGCACATATACACACGCACATATTTGCCCGTGTCGTGAGTGGAGTCGAACCTCTTCAATCGATCTCGAAAGCCTTCTGAGAGCCTTCTCAGAGCATCTCTCATCCCGCACGCCTTCGTTCGAACACGGTAAGTGGCCAATTCTTCTTTCTCTCTTTTCTTCTCGCATTTCATTTCTTTCTTCATCGTCATCATTTATTTTCAATAATATTCATACAATAAATCATCCGAAAAATCTTAACCATGTTTCAGGATAATTCAAAAACATGTCATACGATTCGTCATCCCCACCATCACGTTCAACATCTTTATCAACCTCAACTACAGTTCCACCTCCAACATCATCATCATCAAATAATGTTGATGATTCGCCAAATTTACCATCAATACCATTATCATCATCAACAGCAGGATATGATCCATTTTTTTCAACATTTGATGATGGTTGTTCAGCATATTCAACAAATAATAATAATATAAAAAAATCACAATTATCATCATTTGATCCAACAATATATCAAAATTCTTTTGCAAGTCATTTCTCTCCAACAGGTGTACCATATCCATTTTATTCTGATGCAACATCTTATTTTCAAAGTCAAGCCCGTACATATTCGGATTATCTATGTCAACCACCCTATCGTACATCAGGAACAAATAATACAATGGCAACAAATCCAATATCAACATCGCCAACAAATACAAATAATACATCAACAAATTCATGGTATCAACCATCACATTGTCCAGATCCAAGATTTGCAAGTAAGATAAGACGACAAAAAGAAAACTTGTAGTTTATTAAATATTATCTTTGAATATAGTGTCACGTTTATTAACTGGTCAAAATCCATCACAATATGATATGTATCAATCAGCGGCTGCTGCATCTTCGATGATGGTTGATCCATTAAAATCTGGTTATCATCCATTTGCTTTTGCACCAAAACGTAAACGTCGTGTTTTATTTTCACAACAACAAGTTATGGAACTTGAAAAACGTTTTGATAAAAATCGTTATTTAAATGCTCAAGATCGTGATCAATTAGCTCATTCATTAAATTTATCATCAACACAAGTTAAAATTTGGTTTCAAAATCATCGATATAAAACAAAAAAAGCAACGAAAGAAAAAGGTGGAAATAATTGTGCTGATAGTGGTGATGAACAACCACCACCAACAAATCCTCATCAACATCAGTCACAAATACAATCGAATATGTTTCATTCACAAGTACAAATTCCAGCAGCACATCAACGACTTCATCATGCACATCATTTACATCATCATTCATCACTACATTTACTTAAACATGAACCACGTTAATTATAAACAAGAATTATTTGTCTCAAAAACTATTCTATTTTGATTCATTCTTCTTCTTCTTCTTCTTCTTTTTCTTTTTCTTTTTGTCGTGCAATTCCTTCTTATTGTTTTTTTTAGAAGAAAAAAAAAACCGTCTTTATCTAAGATTTCTTCTTATGCTTTTTTTTTCATTGGATAGAACTAATTCTATTTGCATGTTAAATTCAATCATCATCATCATCTTCGTTGTCGTCCGAGACCAAAACGGGCCCTACTCTCAATGTCAGTTTGAAGTGGTGGACGCAGCTGGATAGAGACAACAAGTGGATGAAATGTTGGCACAACGACTAACTAAAAGCAGAGAGAAAAAAAAATGTCATCTCTCAGGCATACATATATCGCCTATGTCAATATTTGATATATATATAACCAACTAAAAAAAAAGACCTTTTAAATAAATCACTGATGTCATAGTTTATACCATATATGAATTAAAGAACTAAATATTTATCGTGTTTTTCTTTTTGTCGAAAATGGTTTATTTTATTTTTCTTCATTCTATATAAATATACATAAATCTAACTGCCTAGAGCATTTATTTTGAAAAAGAAAGACAAAGAAACACTTAAAACACAAGTAAACCAAAGTAAATTGAAAAGAAAAGAAAAGAGAAAAAGAAAAAGAATAAAGTCAAACAATAATTACAATAGATTTATTCAGAGATACAATAGAACGAACAAAAACGTTCAGGTTATATTTTTACTATCGTTAGCGGTGGTGGTGGTTGTTCACAGTTTTCTTTTTTTTTATTTTTTCTAGCGTTAATTAATTGCACAATACATTGATAGGTAGGTGGCATTATTTGCTCAAGTTTAAATGATCTGATTTACTTAATATACAGCGTGTTTATAAACGTAATTGTATTTAAAGAAACAGTGATAATTGAAGCTAGTTATCATAGTTTCCAAAATTTTATAATAATAAGAAAAAAAAGCAATCGATTCAAGTATCTACTTGTTAAATATATTTCGTCGTCGTCATCCCATGGAGTGACGCAATCGTTATACACACGTGTCCATCGATCGATGCTAAGCCATTCGCAAAATATAGCGCACACGACGGGATATCGACGTTATAAGAAAATGAAAAGTGGCGCCCAACATATCTTTTAAATGTACTGATTTTATATGTTGTCATACACGGAAATCGACTTGTTTGATTTGAACTCGGTATGAATGAGTGGGGCGGATTTATTGAATATGTCACATCAGACAAAAAGAAAGCGGATAGTTGAAGATGAAAACATGAAGATTTGTTTCAATCAAATAATATGTTAAATTAGTACACGTGCTTTTTTTCAGTTGTTTGAAATTGTATATAGAAAGTCGTATTATACATGTTTAATTGATTGAATAATATAATCAAGTTAATAATTCTCAGTTTTCTTTTTCTTTCTTTCTTTTTTTCTTCATCATTAAAAATTTTTCAAGAGGACAAACATGATTATTTTTTCGAGTGAATTCTCTCCTATCGACAATCTAGCTATCTTGCCTATTAAACGATTAGGGAATCCATCTCATCATATAATGACAAGTACCTTCTTCGTCTTCATTCGTTGTTTATTTGTCGACATATAATTAGTAGTTGAATGTTGCTTGTTGGATAAATGCGTGAAGACATAAGAGTACTTCTCACCTGTCCAGACTAAATACTCAACTGATTGGACTCATATCAATAACACATGAGAATGAGATAAATAATAAAACATCAGGTATTTCAACGAAGAAAAAAAACCATATATGTATATATATATAATATATATAATTTGTAATTAGCGATTTTTTTGCCTGTGGAATTTTCGAGTGGGCATACTCGACAAAATAGTGCGTGTGTGTATGTCGAGGGAGCCAGATGATGATGATTTTTTTCTTTTTTTTCTTCGTATTTCCCTTCCGTCATCATCTCATGATTGGCTAGTGCTCTATCGGAAATTTCACTTCCGATATATAGGGCCTATGTTAGATGTGCGCCTTCTGCTCAATTACACGAGCGTCTAACAAACATTTGTTGCTTACGTCAGATTTTTTTTTCTCTTACTTAAAAGCAAGTATACCGATAATGGATACCGCTATTGAATATATATATATAGATATACTCGAGAAAAGTCCTTCAACATCACCTGTGCAGACTTTTCTTTTATTCATTTAAAAATAAAACTAGGGTTTAAAATGATGCTAACTTGTTGTTTCATGCATAACAAACAAATGATGAAATTTTGTTTTCCTCATCATTGACGTCATTAGGAAATTTTTACGAATAAATGATTTTTCACTAACTCTTGTGGAAAACAATTAGAGCCCATTGGATATATGTGTATATTCACATAATATGACGTTGAAGTGAAAAAAAAACTCAATGACATGTTGCTTATTAAAATGAGACATGTTGTTTCATATAAGAAAGAAATAGGAAAAATTTTTATTTTTCTCATTGTATAGATAAATATGATATAATAATATATACAAAGCTCATTGACATATGTTATTTTTGTTAAACAGCTCAGTTATGACACGTGGATAATAATTATTATCAATAAGATGGCTAGAAAAAGATCGATGTTTCGAATAACATTTATTTACTTAAGTTAAATGATTATTTAATAGTGTATGAATTTGCATAATTGAATGTTTAAAAAATACGATATTTTATCTCAATGATATAAACGTTTCGATAATCGCAATATCTTTTTATTTGATTTATTAGTTATACTTTTGATTAATTTTTTAAGAGTGTAGTAATTGCCCTCTGGTGTTCTCAATATGTTTATATATTAAATAAAAGATTTAATAGATCATTTAAACATTATTCTTCATTGACCAAAGGCAGACATTTATTTTATATTATTGACAAAACGATAAAATACTGATTGGGGAAATTTGACAACACAAAAATTCTGAACAAATCAAGACTAGAAATATAATAATCTAAGGAAAATACATCATTTATGAATGAAGAAAACTATGTCATCAATAGCTATATTGATTTTTTTAGAAATTCTAAATCACAGAATTATTTTTCTTTCGAACTTTTTCATATTAATTCTCTATTTTATGATCAAATGTGGCATTTGTCTGAATGTACACAATTCAATTATCTCAATTCTTAATTGACAAGCGAATGGCGTCGACTGTTAATCACAATATCTATGCGTGTGTGTGTGTATGTGTAACTTTTTTATCGTTCATTTTCCTTCTTCATCTTTTTTTTGTATCGGAAAACAAGGCAACCAATGAAACTTGTTCAATCCAGCCGTTCATTGAATGATGATTGGTGGAAAATAAAGAAAAAAGAAGAAGGAAAAGAAAAGAAATGAACATAACTATTCTTTCTCCCACCCTCTCTCTCTTGTCAGTTTAATAATCCTCCACTTCGTCGTTGAAAAAACGCAACACCAGCCGAGAAAAGCACTTCTTATATTCATCATCATTGTAGAAGACACTTCTGTCCCATTGAGTGCGTCAACTTCAAACGACGAAATAAAAAGCTCCCTTCTTCTTCTTTTTCTCTTACTTAAAAAAACACATCATCATCATCATCATCATCTTTTGTGCACTACTAGGTGAAGTGTTGTGTGGCTGCTTACATACATAGATACGTACATTTATACATACACAATTGTTATTTTCTTTTCTTCTTATTTATTTATGGCACTCGTAGAAAAGACGAAGAAAAGAGCAGAAACCGATTAATAATAATATCTAGAAACATACTTTAACTATCGACACAAGAGAGAAAAAAAAGAGGCACATCCGTCATCAACGATCACGAACTTTTTCTTCGTACTCTAGTTATTCCATTGAATGAGCCACTCATAAAAAAACTTCTTGTTCACTTTATTCGACATGGCAAAACAGGAACAAATCGATACTATTGCTTACTATAGTAATCAGTAAGTACTCTTTTATCTTTTTAATTTATAAATATACAATTGTTTAATCTTCATTTTCAGAAGATTCTAAATATTATGTAAAGTCACTTGTTATAGAAAGATAAAACTATCGCAATTAGATAATTAGAAATAAAATATCTTCCAGAACGTTTACGAAATTGTATATTCAGTGTAATAGAAAGCATATTTTTTTGTTTTTATAAATAGTAGTTTTTTTTAAAATTAAAATAACAAAAATTTAAGAACGAACAATACGATAGGTATATATATATATATATTTTATTTATTGTTCGTTTTAGTCCAATAAAACGCAGTTCAACTCCTTCGTCAATGGTACCTTCAACAGCTATTAGTAATCCAGGCATGCCATTTAGTGTAACGGATATTCTTCAACCATTAGATGTTGATGCATCAACATCCTACAAACGTTCACTTGAAATGGCGCATGCATTAGCTTCATCATCAGCCGTATATAATCCTCAACGTCCATCAACAAGTGTTACACCAGCTAGTCTTTGTAATCCAACGTTTGGACCAACATCAGTACATAATAGTTATTATGGTCCCACTGCAACATCAACATCAGCATTTTCACCTAATAATCAATATTATGATTATAGTAGTACACTTCAAAATGGTGGAAATACAAATTCCGTTACTGGACAATACTCACCAAGTTCATGTTGGTATGGATCAGCAGCAAGTACGAATATTTTGGTTTTTTAAACATTCGTTTAATAATAAAAATAAACATTATTCGTTTAGTGTCTCGATATTTAGTTGGTTCATCATCAGCTGTTGATAGTGCAGCATTAGCGGCAAGTGTTTATGGACATCATCAAGATCCAATGATGAAATCTGCCTATGCACAATTTCCATTTGTATCTCAAAAACGTAAACGACGTATATTATTTAATCAAGGACAAATCTATGAATTAGAACGACGTTTTAAACAACAAAAATATTTAAGTGCACCTGAACGTGAAAATCTTGCAAATATTCTTCAATTAACACCAACACAAGTTTGTTTTTTTCTTAATAATTCTTATATTCATTCGAAAAAAGAATATCTACGTATATATATATATTTTAGGTTAAAATATGGTTTCAAAATCATCGATATAAAACAAAAAAACAAGCAAAAGAACGTGAAAAACTTGATGCTAAACAATTTAGAAAAGATCATCATCACCATCACCATCATCCTCAACAATATCAACAACAACAACAACAACAACAACATCAATTCAGATAGACAATTTCATTTGTATTTTATGTATTTTATGTCCCGTGCAATATGCAAGCATTTTTTATTTGTATTATATGCTTAGCACCGGTGGGACAAAAACACTTTCTTTTTTTTTTCTTTTGCATATACAACACAATTTATGTTGAGTCCGACAGTGATGAATATATATATTCATTTTTCTTTTGTGTATTGATCGGCCCATTTACTTTTCGTTTCTTTTTTTTGTCTTCTAATTCAAGAAAAATAAAATAAATATGTGATTGTCGATAATATTGAATTTAACAAATTATAGATAATTACTCAAGTGATTTTCTGAGATTTTTAAGCATTTGTTTTTGTGCATACTCTAATGATTGACATACAAGAAATATCCTGTTATCTAATAATAAACAATCTACTTCGTACTTATGTAAACTTCAAGATACTTTCTACTGAAAGATACAATGTGTCCTTTGTTAGAATAGTACTCGAAAATAAAATGAGTGTATTTATGTTCTCCTTAATGTTTAGAGTAGTATATTAATAGAAACTAACTTCTGTACTTTTAATTAATTATCATATACTTAATAATAAAAAGATTTGATTTTTTTTTCTGAAATAATCGAAATATAAATTCAAAAGCTGATTTTTCAGATATTCATAGTTATTATAAGTATACGATGTATCATATTATAGAGAAAGCTCTCTGTAGTAGATATCGACGAAATTTTTCGAAAATATCAAGTCTACGAAAATGTTCACTACATGAAGATTGGGTATTTTCAAAATACGAAATTTTTTCGAAGACACCTATCTGTTTTCTATGTCACCCAAAGAGTAGTAATGATTATCATAATCATCAATATATTCTTCATATATTTTTAACAAAACATGCGTTAAATTAATTCCGATATAGATCGAAGATGAAATTTTAGAGTTGAAACTCTTGAACGAAGAATAGAAAATAATACTGTTACCACTGTTGAGTCCGGAATGATTTTGACAAAAATTTAAATTTATCAGAAATTGTAAAAATTTAAAATGTTTATAAACCGGGTCGAAGTTGATAATTTGACAAGTCTAGAAATTCAAAGCTGTCTAAATGTCTACTATAAATTCGCGACAATAGTGCTTTTAAATTTGGTAAAGTCATATTCCACCATGAGGATGTTATATACTCATATTGACACTTAAAATGATAAAGACAATTTAATTACTTTGGTTTAGTAATCAGATCAAAATTCGTAAACTGGTCAGATGCTTATACAATATACTCGCATTTATTTATCCAGTATTCGTTTATAATCGAGTGAATATTTATAAATCGTTCATATATTTATAAATCAGATGGATATTTATAAATGGACCGGATATATGAATCAAATTGGTATTTATAAATCTTTCAAACTTTTATAAATCAAAAACAGATTTATAAATAGGCCCGATTTTTAAATACTAAAATATTTATAAATATTTTAAATTTTCGGTTGAAAAATTTATGATTTATAAATCGATTTATAAATAGCCTACTTTCGGACTCAACAGTGACTGTTACTCATATTTATCAAGAAAATATAACTTAAACATCATTTATTAACACGTTTCTTCTTTTCGTTTTGATATAATATAAGATAAATAACTGTGTTGACAATTTTTAGAATCTTATTTGTAGATTAATTGAATTTATCTTTTGAATATCAATTCTTTCAATTGTCATCAATTTGAAATTTCAGTTTATTTAATTAAAGAGTTGTTGAGAAATTTTAATATCAAAATAATTCTTAGCAGACGTCAGAAGCATAAACTTCTCTCTCTTCTCATGTCATACATGTCACGAACCTTTGAATCATTAAGATTTATGAAAAAAACATGTCGTTTTCAAAAAATCTCAGTAAATATTTAGACCGATAAAAATAACGACAGTTACGATGGCCTCCATCAGAACTAGGTAAAAATCGATTACTATTCTTCTAGTTGAAAACAATAATCGTTTGTCATTCTTTCATATACTTCACAAAAATAATCACAGTGAACTTTTTCAACTATGATTAAAACATAATCAATATTAAAAAACGATTTTTACAATACATATGATGATATTCAAATTTTCGATGTAAATATATTTGTCTTTTGAAAGAGAATTAATCTGTCTTTTATAAAACTTATCAGCTACACATTCCGGCATGTATGTCGTATATAAATCCTGTCAGTATTTATTATGTTTTATGATCCCTGCTCTTAGCATGTTTTATGTTATGTACCATGGTAGACAAACATAAAATATTCATTTGATGATGTGGACATTGAAAAGTAAAGTTATATAATAATCATCCAACATTTATTCTCGAAAACAAATGAAAAATAGGCGGATTGTAGTTTTTTCATATAGAATTACGTTGAATGTACTTGTAATGTAATAAAAAAAAGACTAACGTAAACAATTCAATTCATATTACTTCACGCACTCATAAATAGTATGTAATTAAAAGTAAATTAGGTTTTTTTTCAATGAACCTTTTAGACGATTTTTAAAATTACCGTGTCTCTTGAATGAATGACAAAATAAAATATGAAGTAAGACAAAAAAATAAGCTGCTAAGTGAGCTATAAAAAAGATTACTGAATAATATCTTTTAAAGTTGTCTCTTCGATATCATTCAAATTAATTCACGAACGAAATTGAATATTCTGTCGATTTCTTAAATAATTAGTATTTATAAGTTTTTTTTTGTTTCAAACGTATTTCTTGAAACTTGAATGGTTTCCTTTTAGCCAAGCGTCTGTTACATAAATAGTAAAAGAAAATAATCAAAAGAAAACTCACAATTATTCATTCTAATAAACCCTACAAATGAATATTCTATTCATCCATTTACTTACTAGGCCAATAATTTTCTACAAAATGTACATTAAAACACGTTTTGATATCTTCTATTTTTACTCATTAAATAATATGGAAGGTAATAGAAAATAATACACCTCCATGTATTTACAAAAGATTACGTGATCGTCGTTAATTTCTAGGTAAAAAATCGTGATAAAAACAAAAATATTTCAAATTATTTTCTTAGTAATTTTATATACATTAAGAATACCTTGAAAAATATAATTAAATCCATTTTTATTAGATATTGAATAGGAAAGAAAGATTATCTTCAAAAATCATGACATCTATTGATATCCGCGTAGAATTCTTAATTTTTTTTCTTTTTTTTCTCACATCGGTCAACGTTCGTATATATATGTGTGTTGACCGAAGTGGTAGAAAGAACAATTTTAGGCTCGACCTACGTACATGTGTATATATATATATGTATGAAAGAATGAAGAAAAAAAAAGAAAATGAGATTTTAGAGAAAGACAGATCAGTAATCGAACTCGTGCTGAATCTCGTACAGGTGAGATATAGATGAAAAATAAAAGAAGTATAGATGCTTTTCTATTATGACGTCAATGATGAAAGAACAGTTGTTTCTCTCTCACTTAATCTCGATAACTGACAAGAAAGAAACACCATCTAATGAGCATACGTGTTCGGATCATACTACCTTCCTTCTTTTTTTTGTTGTCTCTATCATTCAAAGCTTGAATTGTTCGAGATTACAACATGAGTTCAGATTTCTTTTAAAAATCAATACATTTCTCCTTTTTTTTTCCTTTTTATTTGCTTTCTATATATATGTATATATACTTCTTTTTCTTTTTTTGTTGTTCAGATCATTTATTCCTTTGAATAGTACATCGTATGAATCGATTGTTAGGCAATAAACGTCGAGCATCATTTGATGTTAACCAACGGCCATTATCATTTAAAGTTTATTATTTAGGAAATGTAGCAACATCACTAACTCGAGGCGAAGGTTGTGCAGATCGACCAGCTAAACTTCTTTGGGATATGCATGTAAAAAATCAAGGACGTTTAGGAAGAAAACTTCGTTTAACGGTTACAAATGCTGGTTTAGAAGCCGAAAGTTGTACGAAATTACTTACAACAAATGATATTACACTTTATTCTACGAATCGTATCGCATATTATCTTGTTGCTAGTAAACTCAATCCAAAAATGTTTATTTGGGTTTATAGACATGTAAATATTCGATCAGGTCTAACGACAGAGGTATGATGAAAGTTTTAATAAAATACTTTTTTTCTTTATTTATTTTTCTCTTTAGCTTCGTTGTCATGCATGTTTGTGTCACAGTGAAGATAATGCTAAATCTCTTGTTGATCTTCTTCATCATCATTTACAAGATTCTTTACGTGAATATGTACGTGAAAAACATCGTCGTCAAATAACTCGATTATCTATATCATCATCATTAAATTTAACGAATTTAACAAGTGCAGACCAAACAATAAATGAACCACCTAAACGTTTATTGACTCGAAGTCAAGCATCAAATTACCGACCATCATTAGCTCGATCAATGTCAAATATTGGTCTTGGTCGTATGGATGATATTGAAGAACATGATGATGAATTAAATAGTGAAACAACAACTACGATGTCAACATCATCAACATCATCTATTGATTTAATTACATCAAAATTGACTGATTTAGAAACAGATAAAAGAATGAAGTTGTATGCACATGCTTTGTCTGATATTTTATGAGAATAAATCCATAAGAAAATAAAATATTAGCAATCTCATTATCTCTTTTTCTTCTCTTTTTTTGTCTTACATATAGAAACTTAATCAACACTATAACCATCCCGATCTATTCATTTGATCGACGAGAACAAACATTAAAATCGTGCACACACAGCTGACATTTTTCTTCTTTTGTACATATATCTATATACTAGTGAAGAGCGATGAAGTGAACTAAATGTTTCGTTCATTTTCTTCTTTTTTTTTCTTCTTCTTCTTCTTCTTCCTCTTCTGCATTCACTGAACTTTCTTATGTACGTATAATATACATCCCTATTTGACTCTCAATCGATGGGCGTATATGATTGTGAACCCACATGTATTTTTCTTTTTCATTCTGCCAATTTACTGTTGAAATAGTAAAAAAATGAATATAAAATATAATTTTTATTCATTGTAGAAGAAAAAAAAAACGTAATATGCAAGGTACATTTCGATATCCTGATGGATCTGAATATACAGGTAAAAACAAATACACAGTTGAATCGATCGAAAAAGAAAGTTGTTTTATTTTTTTTCTTTAATTATTCAAAAAAAAGGTGAATGGAATGAAGATGGTCAAAGACATGGTTCTGGCCAATTAATATTTAACGATCAAGCTAAATATCGTGGTCGATTTGAAAATGGTCTTTTTTCTGGACTTGGTTCAATATCCTATCCCGATGGATCAAAGTAAGAATTAAATAACAAAATATTTATTATAACAAAAAAAAATTATTTCTTTTAGATATGATGGTGACTTTCTTCAAGGTCGATATCATGGTTTAGGTGTATTTACTCGATGTGATGGAATGAAATATGAAGGACAATTACAGGAAGGAAAAATTTTTGGTTTAGGTCTTTTAACCTTTGCTGATGGTTCACATGGTTTACCACGAAATGAAGGACATTTTGAAAATAATAAATTAGTACGACGTGAAAAATGTACAGATATTATACGTAAAGCTGTTGCATGTGCTGAACGTGCAAAATCACAACATGTTTGAGTTTTTTCTTTATCTTTTTTTGTTCAATTCTTTTTTTTTGTTTCGTGCAATAAATCTTGAAAAACTTAAATATATACAAACATTTTTATTTTATACATACACTCTCAATTATTATTGTCCTTCATTAACAAACAACGATTCGATCATGCGTACAGTCTATGTAGGTGTTCGATTGGAGGGTATATAAACTGTCTTGTATTTAATAAAAGTAACTGAGGAACCATAATTTTTATATATTCATGTCACTTGTTCGACAATCTTATAGAACAAAACCACCATTTGGTGAATTAAATGATCCACCATTACCATCAGATTGCGAAGTTTTATGTGAAGAAGAATTTGTACAAAGACCACGTATGAAATCATTGAAAAGACAAAAAAAACATGAAGAAGAATCATTCAATCAAATAGATGTGAAACGTCCTTTAAAAGCAGCGAGTAGCAAAGAATTAGCTTATGCTGATCGCGTTGAACGTTTAATAATAGGTAACAAAAACCTTTCTTCTTTTTCTTTTTTTTTTGTTTGATTATAATACCCTGAATACGAGGTCGTTACTTAACGATTAATATTGTCTGTATAAGGATAGAAGGACACGTATTTAAAGTAAGTACATCGTATGTTCATAATAGCGATTAAACAAAATGTTATCAGTAACTTCAACAATATCCTCTGATCAAATTTTAGAGGCATCTCTTAAGAAACAACGAGAACGGCGACGACGATCATCTGCTTTAAGTCATAGTAATTCGTAAGTTTTAGAAAGAGAAATGATTAATTGTTCTAAAGAATTTATTTTTAGTCATCATCTGGATAAATTATTAGAGGGTGAGAATTCTGATTGGTTTTTTGAAAAAATCTTAGAAAAATTTCAAAGTGTTCGTTCAAAACAAACTAATGAACTTGAACGATCACGGTAAGTATTTTTTCTAATATTTTACTTATAAAAAAAGAATGCGATTTTTCTAATTAGATCAAATAATTCTAATAATGGTTCTATTTATGGTGTTGAACGTATTGTTGAACGACGTTATTACGTTAAGAAACAATCATCGCTACCAAAACGGGATCAATTAACATCAACGGGTGATTTAACACAACTAACTGGAAAGAACAAGAGATTATTATCAGGTGAATCATCTATAACAGCGGCAACATCATGTTCTCGATGTTCATCATCAACACCAACATTTGTTGAAACTCTTCGTGATCAATCTGATACACTTCGACACGATATTAGTGAATTAAGATGTGAAATCGAACAACTTCAATCATCACAGCAGGAATTTATTGAACAACTTCAATCACAACTTAAATTAAAAACAGATTCTCAACCAGCATCACAAAAATTTGGTAAAAATTATTTTACTTTCTATAACTTCATGAAACATTATATCTATCTAATCATCAGTAGGAAACAATGCAACAATTGGTAATAGACCAGTAATTGCAATCAGTGGTCAGCGATCTCGTTCGATTTCAACTGAATCTCAAGCATCAAGTGCATCAGCAAAAACAACATCATCAGCAGCAACAACAACTAATAGAACAGTTACACCAGTACCAAAAGTTATTGCACTACCCGCTAAAACTGTAAGATTTCAATTTTTGTTTCTCTATTATTCATGAACTATTTGACTTGAAAAATTTTATTAATTTTCGTTTTTGACAGCTATCAACCACAGCTTCACCAATTATTTCTGAATTTGTCGCAAATAAAAACCCATTAAATTTACCAACACCACAAGCTACTCCAAAGTTTGGTTATAAACCTCCTCCTTTAATACCACAAGCACCACCCTTTAATCCTACTTCTACTACCAAGCCCCCTTCTATACCACAAGCGCCACCATTTAATCCTACTTTTACTTCTAAACCTCCTTCCATACCATCTTCAACACCAGTTAACCCATCTCTTGGCTCTAAACCTCCTTCCATACAATCGTCAACACCAGTTAACCCATCTCTTGGCTCTAAACCTCCTTCAGTAGCAGCAACACCAGCAGTCAATCAACCTCTTGGTTCCAAGCCTCCTTCAGTATCATCAACGCCATCAGTAAATCCATATGCTGGAGCTAAACTTTCGTCAATGCCATCATTATCACCAGTTAATGAATCCATTTCATCAGCGAGAGGATTTGTTAAACCATTACCAACTGGATTCGTTAGTTCGCGAAATTCATCTGCTGCACCTACTCCACCAAGAGCTCCCTCACCACCACGCATGCCAATATACGAAAATGAATTAGCACATCGACGTACACTTTCACCTCGTTCTCAAATTGTTGCATCATCAGGATCGGTTCGCGGCTCATCTGCTTCTTCAACAAAATCTCATAGTCCTACACCTACTCAATCAGATTTTGACGATATTCCTAAAGTTTCTATCGAAATTAATACATAATATATATATAAATTCTTTTATACTTTAGGTTGTTACTTCACCATTACATGATAGTGATCTTAACGATTTAGTTCAATATAGTTCACATTTATCACTATCTGGTTTTCCACCATCGACAACACCTGTTATAACTAATCCAAATAGTAGCAGTACATTTTGGGATTCAGTTGATCATTATATTGAAAGCTCTAGACCAACAAGTTTACTTATAGGATTACCATTCACACCTGGATCTTATTATGAAAATTCAACCGGATTAAATCAAGATACAACTAAACAATTAGATAAATATAATCTTGAAATAAAACCACAAGGAGCTTTTACACCAAGCGCACCATTTATTATGCCACCTTCAGATATTTCGCCATAATCTACAAATTAATAAACAATATTCTCTTTTTTCAAGTTATAGTTTTTCTTTTCTTGTATTAGTTTAAATAAATCGAATAAAAAACACTTTATATAGAAATTATCATTACTTACTAAAAAATAAAAGAAATACTCATTAATTTAATTGATTTTGTAGTACAAATTAGAAGAAATAATCGTAAAAAAATCAGTCATTTTTCTTATAAATTAATTATTGATATAGTATTTTCGTGAATCAAATTGATAATATTATTTCGTAATCAATATCATACGAGACGAATGTCTCGCCATAAATTAATAAGAAATAAATATTTGTCTCAGAAACTTAATATATCGAAAAATGATTGTTTGACATTGATTGAAAGAAAACAAATAATAACAGTTTACAGATGCTTTTTCTTTCGACACATATGTACAATATTTCAAAAAAAAAAATAAGACAAAAAAAGCATGTATTGGAAACACATAAACATTGTTTAATGATGATTAAATATCCTATTGTAGATATAATGTTGTAGTTGACAGTTAACGGCCGAGCTGTCAGTCAGATTTTCTGTCGTTAGTACGATCGATATATCATATGTACTCATATTGATGATGAAATCTAACGTTTTACCGATGTTCCTAAAGACCATGAGACAAAATAAACGTAATAGCTCAAGCACTTATTTAATAATACGATAAGATATTCTATTTGTTAGAGTTTCATACAAAATAATTAGCAGGAAATAAAATGTATATTTATATTCACGTGATTAACTTATTAAAATCAAAGCAAACACATTGAAAAGATAGAATCTTTATATATATTCAAAATTATGATTATGTGTAAGCTTTGGCAAGATTCTTCTATAGATTGAACACATATTCTTTATTTATTTGACTACATATTGATTTCTTAGCTATGAATTTTTGAGATCTGGTAGAATATATGAAATCGCTTGAATTACGTAAGAAATATTTATATTTATTTTGTCTGATAGTTTTTCAACACATATTATATATAGATATATCGTAGCATTCGAAATTGATTTCTGATGAGTCTGATATCATCAACTTGATCTTTATCTAAGTACAAATATGACGATAATAGTATCATATATATACTGAATATGATTCGGTCGATTGAATATCGTCTTATTCTAATCTAAATAAATAAACGTTTCCATTCAGATGATGTTTGTGAAAAATACATCTAGCTATCTTCGAAATTTTGTTAATAAGTATCATATTAAAGTGACTACGTCAGATATTAATACATAATGAATACCTTGATAACTAGGATCTATTTTCTACATATGTTTTTTATTGTTCAATTTTGTTTTCTTATGACATTAACGATGGAAAAAGGTGAATAAAACATTTCTCAATTCAAAACATAGTTATCAAAGGTTAACTTAGATTAATCATAGTGTCAAACATGTACGCGAGCATATACAACTAGCAATTGCTCATTACGGTAATTTGTCATCACTTATCTGTTCTATAATAAGAAAAGAAGATATGTGTATGTTGACGTTCGAACATCTATTAATATTGAGACATATATAAACAGTTTTCTCTCAAAGTTCTTTTTTATCTAGGGCGAAATATGTAGTTAAAGAGAGAGAGAGAGAGTTTCATATATTCAGCGAGAGAAAATAAGAATGAGAGATAGAAGAAAAAAAAGGAAAAGGAATATACAAATAATATCTGCTCATTAGTCAACGAAAAGACAGGATTGTAGTTACTAGTAACAGACAAAAGATCCATTAATATAACAAGTAAACTAGAAATATATATCGATCTTTACATATTACTAACGCGAATAATCGTTTTTTTCTTTTTAGTTTTTTAAAATAATCATGAAAATTCTTACTGGTCGAGAAGAAGCTGTTAAACTAGTAACTCATTATGACGTTGCATTTATTGGTATTTTGACAGATTCTAAAAAAGGTTTGTATCTTAAAACAAGCAATGTATAAACATTACATTATATCAATATGTAGGTAGTTCGACAAAATCTATACCACCACGAGATTATTATACACTTGAATTCGAAAAATATGATCAGATACGTGGTCGACCGATTGATCAAGAAGAACCATTATTTCATTATATGCAAATAGGTAGTGGTGGTCAAGTAACTGATCCAAAAACTAAGAAATTAGTACCAATACCTGAACCAAAAAAACCTAAAGTCAATCAACTTTATTTAGCATTATCCGATGAACCAAAACAAATTGCACAACTTGTTGAAATAACAGAAGATGATATTGATTCATTACGAGAAGCCGTTGCTGAAAAAAAAGTCATTAAAGAATAAGAATCAATTGGATCAATGAGAAATTTTTTTAACCCTTTCTTCTGTTTGTTAATTTCCCTTATTTGATATAAATATAATATACAAAATAACCTTTATTTGTGCATAAACGGTAAACAAATAGATCTTACTTCAATATACATACACACACACACACGCTAATACTATCTCTCTATATGTATATATGTACATATATAACTGACTAGTAAGGAAGAAAAAATGCGCAACAACCTCCACAAAAAACTACAACAAGTTTTAAGATTATTAATATGAGAATAATAAGCATAAATCTTGTCCATAATGTTTGAATGTAATCATCACTGGTTTTAGTAGTAGTAGTAGTAGTGTATTGAGGTTTGTTTCGTAATGGAATAGATACATATTCACATCGAGCTTTTTGACATGAATCACTTGTATGACGTGCACCTAGTGGACAAGGCATTAATTTACTTGGTAAACCTGTTCGATGATCTCGACTCATACACATCCATAATTCTTCAAGTTCACATTTGGAATTACAATTAATAATCGATGTATCATTAAGTACTGATATAAGATAACTTAAACCAATTTTTTCTCCAGCATAACGTTGAATATACTAAAAACAAAAAATGATCTATTAAAAATAAATAATATCAAGCTTATATCAAAACAAAAACATATTAATAACAAAAAATAAATCCGACACTCCTTGAAATATATGCACTGAAAGGATAAAAAAATAGTAATATATATAAGCTCTTATTCGTAATATGTCTTACGCAGCTTGTACATCAATATGTAAGAGTGCACTTGGTAAAAGATAATACGTGTCATATACTAAAACTTATATTGCGTTTATTTGTCAGACGAAAAGTTATGCATATGATAAAACTTATATTTGTTAATTTTGTAATCAGAATATAGAGATATATCATTTCTAAAATACACATGACTAAAACATGATATCTTTATTTTAACTAAAATGGCACAATTTCAATTTGTCAGTCACATGCAATACACTACTCAGTTGAAACTACGATTATATCTGTGGAAAAATGCTGTATCATAATTACCGAAATTTATAATAAATTAAATTGATTCTCCCTAAAATGATACTCAATATCAATATGAACTATTTTTTTAAGTAACTTGTTTGTAATCTTCATAGATTTTCTTTGCATATCAGTACTATGTAATGAACGAAGTCTTTTCGAGACACAATTTTTAAAAATCTGATAGTCCACTAGAGTTCTGACTCGTTTTAAAAGCTTTAACTTGAATGATTTCTGTTTTATTCTTACCTCATAAGTTAAGCTACCCGGACTTGTAACCATATCAGTTAAATCAAGCATATGGGTTAAATAATTGGATATATTATTGCCAAATGATGATGAACAACAAGAACCTTAAATTTGAAAAAAAAAATTGTTTCTTTAAAACAAAAAGATCATTTCTTTTTATCTACCATGTTTTGTCCATTCGTGATTGATAAATAAGTTTAATGTATTTAAATATCCTGGTGCTAATGTTTTTAAACGTTCTTTTTCAGGTTCAAGAATTTCCGCTCCATTAACAAGACATTGTTCGATATTCTCACTTGCTAAACAATATTCGTAAACACCTTGAGTAAAATCACTGTGTGTTGTATTTTTCCATGGACATAAATTTCCATCAATATGACAACTCGACCAATCTTTCTGTTCTGATGAACAAAATTGTGGCCAACCTTGATAATTACCATCCGTAGAAAATGTTGGCCAAAGACCATGTAATACTAAACGTTCACTACCTGGTTGATTTAAATTTGTATATGGTGAACAAAAAAAACGTAATAAATCAGTTGTTTCATTATAAACCAATGGACAACTTGATGGTGGCCAATAAAGACTTAGTATATAATAAGCAAAATAATTTTCATCAACACCTGTTAAACCACCATTGAATTCCAGTGCTGGTTGTTGTTGAGCCGGTGGAGCTGATTTACAAAAATCATCGCCTAAAAATAAACACAATAAAATTGATAGAATTAATATAAGAAATTCACCTGTTTTTATCTGACAACGTTTATTTGTATAACCACATAAACCTATAGTTTTATTATTAAAATTGCACAGTGCTTCTGTCGTTTCATTTAAACACCAAAAATCAGGTCCTTGTAAACAATGTACTGTTGAATAATTTAATCGGCCAAAACAACAGCCAATTAATGAAAAAAATACTACCAAAAATATATATTTAAGTAGCACCATCAGAATGAATATATATATATATCTGAATCTTGTAGATTAAATAAGTCTACTTGCTATCCATCTTGTTAATTTTAAACTAGTTAGAATAGAGGAATAAAATATTTTAGTTAATGAATTGTAAATAGATATAATCAGATAAGAAACAGTAGATTTATCACAAATAAAATAACAAAGACATCATAGATTCATTCATTGTCTTTCTTCTCTTTTCCATTTATTAGCCAACCGTAGGTGACATGTGTCAGCTGATTATTATATCTGACTCATATTTACGCAATTTTATTTTCAATATTTAATAGCGCCATCTTTTCTCATAAACTATTGAATTTATTTTCAACCATGATTCTTTCTGTAAATGATTCTTTTTTTCTATTTTCAACATAATAAAAATCTTCTATAACCTTTAATTATCTTTTATTCATGTATTCTAAAAAGCGTAGACACTGCCTCTTCATTGAAGCTTTATCAAACACAAACAACATCAGACTGACAAGATGGCGATAAGAGAAAAATCTCTCTCTTTTGATATATATTTTTTTTCAATAAAGAAGGAGAGAGAGAGAAAGAGAGAGAGAGAGATAGATCCGACAAGAAAGCAAAGTGAGGTCTTGTAAATGAGTCACAGAACTGTTCTCTCTTTTTCTCTATTTTTGACCTTGTCCAGTATTAGAAAAAAATGTGGTTCACGAGTTCAAAAAACATAACCTCAATTAAAGATCAAGCTATGATCTTTTTTTTCTCAAACAAAAAAAAGAAACAAAACAAAGAAAAAAATTAAGATGATTCCAATCAAATAACTGCCTATGTGTCGTACCTCATTTAACTCCTTAGAATTCAAGGAATAGATTTTTAATGATCACCTATTTTCTAGATGTAATGATGTATTAATAATTATAGATTTTTCTGTATGTTAGATGATTTATTTGATTAATTTCTGGTAGAAATTTTCTTTATTTCAAATTAGAATTTATATTTATAAATATTTGATTTTATTTTTTAGCGACCTACAAAATCATGAGTCAAGGTCGATCAATTATCGACATTATTCAGTAAAAGAATATTATTATTACTTTATTTATTTAAACTATTTTGAATATTATAGAGATCCAGCTGCACTCGATGCATTTCTTCGCTCATCTGCTAAATCTGTAAACAAAAAAAAAACAAGAAACCTTTTTTTCCCAAAGATTATTTATTTTTTCTAGTCATCAAATTCTACTGGATCTCAACGTTTGTCAACAAATGTAACTGAGCAAAATCGTTTAACAACAACAACTCCAATTGGTAATAATATTTATAATCAAAATACAACAAATAATACCAATGTACAAATAACACAAAATACATTTAATTTTAATACAAATCCATCATTAACAAATATTCCACAACAACAACAACAACAACAACAACCGCAGCAGCAGCAGCAACAACAACAGCCACAACAACCACAGCAGCAGCAGCAGCAGTATCAACAACCACCACAACAAATAAATTCTAATGAAACTGCACGTGTTTTGAATCAAACTATTGGTTCACAAACTAATGTTAATGTTATTTTGAATCAAACAGTTATTCAACAACAACAACCTACTGTTCAAACGACAACTACAACAAATCAACAACAAATGGTTGCTATTAACATTAATGGTAATCAAACATTGATACCACTGAGTATGTTCACAAAACTTTTACAACAAAAGTATTCATCAACACAACAATCAGCAACTGTAAAAACTAAAGCTTTTTCGTTTTATATATTTCATTTTTTTTATTTAAGCCTGGAACCACTATTACTCAACCAAGTACATCAACACAAATCATACAAAATGGTTCCTCTCAAAATAGTAAGCATGCTAACGATTCGAAATATTTCTTTTACGAATTTTATTTAGGTACTGGATCTATTCTTCTCCAAAATTCTTCAAGTAATCAACCATCAGTAGCCACAACACTTCGACTTGTTCGTCCATCTAATACACCTACGAGTAGTACAAGTAGTCCAACATCAAAGTATGTTTTTATTTGTGTATTTTATTTAAAAATAAAATTTCTTTCTAGTTTAATGATGATGACTAGTGGGCAACGTTTATCAACTCCAATATTATCTAAATCACAAACCGGTAATATAATACTTCAAGTAACAAATAATGATAATATTCAATCGAAATTAATGGATAAAAGTAAATTTTTGTAAATAATTATTTCTATTTCTATTTTTTGATTCTATAGATTCATCTGTATCAACGAACAGTGATCTAACAACCCAATTAGTAAACGATCTTCAAGCAAATGGCAATGGTAAAAAAATCTTATTCATTTATTTTTTTAAAACAAAAACATTTTTTTTTTCTAGATGCTGAAAAACAAATTACCTTAATTGATACATATTTATCTCAAATTCATTCATCAACTGAAAAAGATCGTGAATTTTGTACACGTATAATACGTTATCGTGAAACTTTATCACAATCAGTTGAACAATCTCGAATAAGTGGTCAACATCGGCAACGTTTACTTGATCAATCTACAACTCTTAATACATTATCATCAAATCCATCTATAAAACGTGAAGCATCATCAGTAATATCAGCAACACTACCACAGGCGACAACAGCAACAACAATACCGACAACAACAGTAATACCAACATCAGCACAACAAAAATCTAATGGTACAACACTTATACAATTACCACTAGCTAAACAAGATGAATTGCTAAATGCTGTTCTAAAAAAATTACGTCATGTTAATTTACCTGATTTACAAGTAAAATTAAATTTTGGGAATTTTTATATTTTCTATCATTTATTTTAATTTATAGGCTCAAGGTATTTTACCATTGGAATTGTCATTTGAACAGAAACTTCAAATACAAAAATTAGATATGCAAATAGCAGCATTACCAATTGATAAACAACAACAATTTGCAAGAGGACAAAGAGAACTAGTACCGAAATATTTAGCAAAAAATGCAGCTAGTGGACTTAATACAACATCAACATTAACTGTGGTTAGTTTTATAATAGAAAATTAAGGAAGTAGTTAATATACACGTAGATCATAGTCAAGAAAATAGGCTTTCTATAAACATAATTCTTTCATTTTGAAATAGAGATTTAGTCATATATACAGAAGGTTTTGTTGTTCTAAGTATTTAACTGAGAAGATAGAATCAATACTGCGTAAATAGCTGAAATTATCAAGAGTAAAATAGTCTTAAATTTTATTTGAAAAGCTTTTGAGTTTGTCAACTATTTTTGCGTAGTTGAGTTGTCTTAATAATACTCTAGAATCAACATTGATAAGTTTAATAAAGCGATGTTATAGAAAGAGAAAATAGTATATAAACACATACCATATGATCCGATTTATTTATATTAACCATTTGTAAGCATTCTAAACCATACGTTAATTACCACTATGTGCATACAATCTTACAATAGGCAATAGATCGTTTATGCATACTTAGTGTAACAAAATAATCAATTATAAATATTAAAATTTTTCTTATAGAATCCTCGAACAAAAATCTTATTGGGTGCTCCACCTGGTTCCACAACAGTATCAACATTAAATACTACAAATGGAAATATTACACGTTCTTTACGTATATCCAGTGCCGATTTGTATGTTTAATATTTTTTGTTTATATATATTAATCTTTTGATATTAATTCATAGAATCGGTCAGCAATTACGTAAAGATCAAGCACATGTATTAAAACCAGACTTTAAATCTCGTTTTTTAACACGTGGTGATGCTATAAAACGTTTAACACGTTATCATGTATTTACTAAACCAGCACCACCAATTTATGAACCGACAGATGATGAATGTCGACAATGTAAAATAAAACCTTTCTTTAATCATATATAAAATAATTTCTTTTTAGTTGATGAATCATTCGAAATTGAAGCAAAACGTTTATTGACAGCAAGTGAACGTATTAATGAATCTATATCACGTTTTGCTATATCAAATGATCAAGTAAAAATATTTTGTTGAATAAAAATTAAGAAATTTATTTTAAAAAAAATTTTTTTTAGTCAAATAATGAATCCTATGATAAATATTTATTAGAAAAAATGCGACTTGATGATCTTCGTGAACAGTTAGAAATTGAAAAAACAGATTATGAAACAAGAAAAAGACGTGCTATCGATGTTGAAAGTAAATATAAAAAAAATAATTCTACAACAATAAACAAAATATCGTTTTTATTTTCTATAGATAGACCAACTGCTATGCCAATTATTGATGAAATCTCATCTCCTCCACCTCCTTCAACATATGATTTTCTATCTAACACCACAAATTATAATCTTGGAGCAGCTATGTCTGAAGCTGATTATAATGATTTATTTAATAGTGATCCATTACCAGATGAAACCATACGATCAACAGATGAAACACAATTAGCAATAAATTCTATTGTTGATTGTGGTGTTATTGAACAACATGAAAATCCTGTCGATATATCAGATTCAGCAAATTTTTTCTTTGATGATCTTGATATTGACAATCATCATCAAGATAATAATCAACCTCAAGATGATGAAGCCTCACGTGCCGTCCAAAACTTGCTCGGCTTTTCTTGATGTATAAAATTAAAAGAAAAAATTTCTTTCTTTTCTTTTTTTTTTGGTTGTTCTATTTCTTTAACTTATATTTCTATATTATTAAACTTGGACAACTCTTGTTATGTGCGTGTGTGTTTATTGCTTGGCTAACCTGGTTTGTTCATTTCTTTTTTTTTTCTTTTCTTCTTAAACTTCTTCTTCTACTTGTTCAACTTCAACTTCTCTTACTATTTTTCTATTACATTTCCCATTCGACTGATAGCTCAGGGATATGTTTTTTTTCTGTGCATGTGTTCCTTTCTGGTGAACCGTTTATCTTCGAAAAGAAAACAAAAAAAAAACAAATAAGAGGAAGAAATTAATATATATATTTATTTTGTTTTTCTTTTCTTTATTCTTTGTCTGTGGTTTTTTTTGTTACTATAATTATCTGTCTTTTCTGTTTTATCCTCGTTTGATATTCTTGAATGTTGATAAAACAGAATAGATTTGGTTGATTTTTCAACTAAAAGACAAGAAAACAAAAAATGACCTGTTTAATTTCGAGAAAAAAAATATGATTGATGGAAATGAAGAATTTGAAAAGTAATAGTTATTGATAAAAACTATCTGAACGTGAATCCTTTTATTTTGATTATAAAAACAAAAATTCTGTAAATCCTTATCCCAACTGTCAAACCAAGATCGATCTATTTTTTATGTAATAGATTTAAGTTCAAAACATTGCTTCTTTTCTTTCGTCTATGTGGCTTAAACAAATCCGTTTAAACCTTGTTCTGATTCTCTATTATTTTGATTTATTGATACATATTCTGTTATTAATAAATAAATCTTCATATGTCTATATTGTATTACGTATAGAGTGCCTCAGTGTATTGTAATGTTGATGCACAAGGATGTCTTTATTATCTGGAATAATCCCCAATGTCTATCTGTAAATGACTATAGTCATTGAAAACTTAATTAGAAGAGAATATTTATTCAAGAAAAGGAATGAAATTAGCAAGAATTTTAGATAAATATAATGAACTTTCATATTAACACTTGTGAATCCTCTTTGTATAGTAGTAAAATTTTTATTAACAATTACATCGAAGAATTCAAATTAAGCAATAAGTCTATGATACTAATATTATTTGAAAACTCGAAAAGAAATAATACGTGGTGCGTAGGAACTATGAATTTTCTATTACGTTTCCGTTAACGTCATATCGCGATACGCCAAAGTCTTTCTTGAGTTATGATAAAAATAAGAATCTTTGACAGATATATGATCTATCTTTTAACACCGCGATATGTCCTGTCAAAAGTACAAGTATTAGAAACAACCATAATCTTGGATTTAGAAGTCCAGTTATAATCCACAATCGTCATTTTTCTAATGGAAAATATCTCGAAGTAAAGGAATTTTTGATTGTCATCATCAATCAATACATTAACTCACGCCTCTAAATATGAGAAATAAGATGATTAGATACAGCTGTCAAAAAAAATGATTCTATGTGAATAAGTAAAACTACAGAAAATTTTATAGAATTTTTTTGTATGAATTCAATAATAATAGATCTTATTGACCTTCAATTTATCCGAAAATTTCATTTTAATTTTTTTAGATTATTCTATTATAAACTAGATTTTGTTCACAATAGTATTTTACTAAAAATGTCATCAGTCGGTGAGTTATTGTCAATGATAGGAACAGTTGTTAAGAACATTATCCTTAGAAAGATAAACGATTCATACTGATTCTAATGATTTCCTATGTGCTAAACGGAGAATATCATCCGTATGTCAGACAATTGGTAGTTCAAACATACAATAACAATAATTTTCTGATCATTAACATAATAGATTAAATAATAAATGAGTTCATTTTCTTATCATCATCATTGATGATATAATAAACATCCAAGGCATTCGTTCTTCTTTCATGATATCAAATAACTAAGTATTGTTGAGGATAAATACAATCTCAATTATACATATATAATAAGAAAAAACTAATCCAGTTATTGACAATTAAGATTATATAGTGAATTAATCGTATACGTTTAGTTTCTTTTTCTTTTCCCTCTCTCTCTCAAGATAATCTCACATTAAAAATTTACCTATAAAACTTATAATTAGTAAAATTAATCATTAACTTAAATTTAATGATTACCTTCATATTCATCTTTTTAAATTAAGAATATTCAATGATTACATGACTTTTATTTTAAATATGGTCATTAAGATTTTTACATTTTCTTTTTTTTTCGTTTTATTTTTATGAAAAATTGCTCAAGTCAAGTTAAAAGTAGTTATTCATTATGTTATAGTACATAGGGTTCGACAATTGAAAACGATCGATGATGTGTTGATCATTATCATGTGTGCATGCACACATATATATGCATGTGTAAGCACTTACTGTATATATGTGTTACACAAGCATATATATCGATTGTCAATCGATTTGTGTTATTTTCAATGATGAGATATGTCTATTTTCGATTGGATTGACATGAAGACAAACATTTTCAATTCCACCTGTATTTGTATGACCTGATAGATTACCAACAATTTTTGGTTTTCTATCAGATAAAATTGTAAAATCAATTATTTCAGCTTTACGATTATGTCGCATTGCTAATAATTCACATTTACCATCATCTTCTTCATGAATATGACCACAACGTATAAACCATACACAACAAACTGTTAACCAAAGAATAAAAACAGTAGCAAGACCTACAAGAAATAAACCAATACTTTCCTCGATACGAGATGATATTGATGGAAATGTTAGAGCATGTATAGTAATTGTATTTGGTGACTGAGATGTAGATAGAATAGATTCACCTTCTATTGTAGGAGATGTTGACGTTCTGATAAGAAGATAAATCATATATATATATTTTTCAGTCGTTTTCTTGATAGATGTATATATTGACTTACTTGTCATTGTCGGACAATGCTGTCCTAGTCGATTTTGAAGGTGAAGATGAACATTGATAAGTGATATCAACATATTTTGAATATGTTCGATCATTACAATTCAGCTGAACAGGTTTTGCATGATATCGACAAGGAGATCGATTGTTTATACAAGCATCATTTATTAATTCCGTATATAGATTAAAACAATTTCCATTTGAATAATTTAATAATGTAGGAGTTAAATGATTTAAATGATATGGACATCGTATACGATAATATTCATTATCTGTTGATAAACGAATATGTCGTAAGACAATAATAGATGAACTTTCAGCATTTAATAGAAATTTTCCATTAATTTTATGAAGAATTAATATTAAAAAAAATAATATTGGCATCATAGTTTTTATTATTAAATATAATAGATAGATATATGAATAAAATTGTAATATGAATATAGCAAAATGTCTCGGTCTATTTCTCGCTTATTCAACATACAACGAGAATGAGAAGGACAGAAAGAAGAGAGAGAAAAAGAAGAAGAACATTACTATATGGATGACTTCTGATTTCTATAGTGTTCTCGTGGACATATGAGATATGTAAGAGGGAGAGGGAGAAAAAAAAGAGTAACGAACACAAATGCAAGATAATTACACAGGGACAACTTACGCAAATAGATTTGCAATAGTACTTTGTTAATCTAACGTATTTTGTACATGCAATAATATATGACGTCCTTTACAATACATTGATTTTGTATGTCACCTGGGGATACTAACGAGTTTTGAATACTTCACAAATTTGTGCGCATCTCATATATATATTTTGAGATAAATTAGAAATAATTGAGTTCAATATTAAAATTTAGTTAGAAGTTATATATTCAAAAATTAAACTCTTGTGTCGTCATTAGTAGAGCTTTGACCTTCGTTAATAGTTTCGTAATACTAGAAAATCAACTTAAATTTGTATTCATATTCATCATAAATATTATATAACAACAATAATAATTCATGTTGATTCTCTCAATATATATATTTATTTCAACAGAGTTTATTAAATTATCTAAATAATTTATTTATTTATCTTCAAAACACACTTTTATTCTTCTCCTGTTAATATAGGAGCTAGCGGATATATTTTATTTTTCATTGTTGTTATTGTTGTATAAGTAACATAACGTTGAAAATCTTCTTCATCATACATAACATTTTGTAGATAAAGTCCATTGATATCAAGAAGTTTATCTTCATTAATAATATCTTGTTTTTCACTCGATGAATGTAATTTTTGTTCAAATTCTTCTAATGTTATTTGACCTTGTGCTACTTGTATAAGTTCTGTTGTTAAACGTCGTACCATTTGATAGAGAAAATTTGTACATGTTAATTGAAGACATAAACTAGTTGAATGATTAGATTTTAATTTTGAAAATATAGTTGAATGTTCTGATAGTTGAATTCCTACAATACGTTGAGTATTTTTTAACAGAACACGAGCTTCAGGTGATGTAAATGATGAATAATCAATTAAACGGTTATGAATAAGTGATATAGCTGAACGAAGAAGAGGTAAAGAGACAGGTAATGACAAATAAGTACTTAATGGTTGATCAATCACTGTCATTGATGAATCATCCTATAGTAATAAAAAAAAGACACGTGATTTATACTAATACAATAAATAAACATTCGATTATTTACAAGAAAACGATATAGATACGTTCTTTGTGTAGCAGCTAATTTCGGTTCAAATGCATCATGAACAAAACGTGCATTAATAACACGTACTGTTCGATTTGATTCAGTTAATATTCGATTAAGATTAAATTTAAACCATGGAATATTCAAATCACCTACACCTAATTTTTGTTTACCAGGTAATTCAAAATCAATTGTCTATTTTAAACAAAAAAATAAAAATAGTTGTATACTTAAATTATAGATTAACTTACAGCAGTATTACATAATGAATGAACATTACATTCAGTATAAGTTGAAAGTAAAATATTTGGTCGTCGTGCAGGACAAAATCTTAATATTGCTTTTTCAAGGATATCTTGAAGAAAATTTGTTGAAGATATAGGTTTATTTCGTGCAGAAAATGTTCCCTTTATACTGTATCCTCGGTAACATAAATAGACAAGGATACGCATTGATATCTAAAAATATAATATATCTATTTATTAATATTACATTCTTTTCATTTTTATTTTTCATATCATCTTTCAAGAAATGTATATTCTTCTAACTGTTGTTATATATTTAACTGCTGTGAGCAGTATAAACGGATACCGAGGTCCATTTCGTCGATTATTACCAACAGGAAATTTGACTATTCTTCAAGTTAATGATGATCCTGGTGAGCCCCTATATCTTACACCTTATATTGAACAAGGAAAGATCGAAGAAGCAAGAGAACTAAGGTAAAGAATTCTTCTTCTCCATAGAAATTCTATCTATTTATTTAATTTCTTTAGTCTAGTCGATTTAACACCCTATAAACAACAATCATTTTCCGGTTATTTAACTGTTAATAAGGAATATAATTCCAATATGTTCTTTTGGTTTTTTCCTGCACAAAATGGAAATAAACCTGATACACCAATTATGCTTTGGTTACAAGGTGGTCCTGGTGCTTCATCACTTTTTGCACTTTTTACAGAAATCGGTCCAATTTATATAGATGCAAATGGATATATACAATTACGTGAAATAACATGGAATAAAAATTATCATTTAATTTTTATTGATAATCCTGTTGGAACGGGTTTTAGTTTTACAGGAAATGATCAAGGTTATGCACGTTCACAAGAAGATGTTGCACGTGATTTATATTCAGCATTAACACAATTCTTTCAAATATATACAGATTATGCATCGAATCCATTTTATATCACAGGTGAAAGTTATGGTGGAAAATATGTACCTTCAATAACTTATAAAATTCATGTGGAAAATCAAAATCCACAAGTAAAAGTTAAAATTAATTTAAAAGGAATGACTGTTGGAGATGGATTATGTGATCCTATTAATCAATATCAATATGGTGATTTTCTCTATCAGGTAAAGAGTGTCAGATATATTCTTTTACTATTATTTTCTCTTTTTCTACAGATCGGTCTTATTGATCAAACTCAAAAATCATATGTTGATTTACAAACAGCACTCATGCGTTATTCTATAGAACAAGAACGTTATATAGATGCATTTCATCTCTTCGATGCTCTTCTCAATGGTGATCTTCTTAATACAACATCTTATTTCTATAATGTAACAGGCATTAAAAACTATTTTAATTATTTGCTAACTGAAGAACCTGAAGAACAAAGTTATTTTGTTTCATTTATTACTCATCCTGAACGACGAAAACAAATTCATGTGGGTAATTTATCTTATGGTAGTCAAAGTGATATCGTAGAAAAAATGTTACTTAATGATATGGTAAAATAAACCAAAATTTCTTTATGAAAAAAACAAAAATTTATTCTTTTAGATGCAAAGTGTTGCCTGGAAAATTGAAGCTATAGCTAATGCAAATTATAGTGTAATGATCTATAATGGTCAATTAGATATTATTATTGCTGTACCATTAACTATGGAATGGGTTAGTCAACTTAATTGGATTGGTACGGATGAACTTCGTCGAGCATCACGAAAAGTTTGGAAAGTTGCTGATCCTGATCCAGAAATAGCTGGTTATATAAAAACAGCAAATAATAATCGTTTCTTTCTTGCAACTGTTCGTAATGCTGGTCATATGGTTCCATATGATCAACCACGAGTAATGTTAAATTTACTTGAAAAATTCTTATCTGCTCAACCAAAATCTCAATGATAGAAAATAAACATGAAAAGACAGAATTATTTCATTTTCTTTTTATTTAACATTCATTCATCGTTCTTTTTCCATTTTTCTTTTTGGACGCCAAATTTTTGAGAAAAAAAAAACAAGAATAAAGATTTGTTTTATGTTTAGATATATATATAAATTTTTGAAAAACAGATAGTCGTAATATACAAATATAGATACGAGATTTATAAGATAACGAGATAAAGTAAAGAATATCTGGAGAAGAAAACATTTCACAAAGACTAGAAAATTGGCTCGTAGAAGAAGAAAAGAAAAACAAGAAAATTTTAAAGACGATCATGTGTATCTTCTTGATCAATCATATTATTATCATACACACTGTTGTTTAATGACGGAGAAGATTTACCAGCGGCTAAATCAAAAGATTCTTCCAAAAATTTTAAAATCATTTCATAAAGATATTCATATTGAGCCTATAAGAAGAAGAAACAAATAATAATATAATCAAATTATCATCAATTGTACATACAAGAGACATTATCATAGCAATGCGTTGACGTTGTAAGGCACGTACACGTTGAAATATATCAACAGCATGTTCATTTTTCAATTGATCCAATAACATAACACACATACAAAATAGTGAACACGATGGGCCACCATTTCTAATTAAAATTAAAAGATAATTATTTTTAGATTGCTATCGATTTAGAATAATTTAAGCATTGTGTATACCAGTGAGCTACATATTTCTCAAGAAACTTTGATATACGTAATAAACTATTATTCATAATGTATCTTAAAGATATTGTTTAGATAACATGGAAGGGATCATCCAGACAACGAAAGGAATTTAAAATCTGTCATTATTTAGTTACTAGTCATTCTATACTATGAGACAAGTTATTACTGGCAAACAACGATCTATGCGGAATCGAATCAGTCCATTCGACAAGTCTATTATCAAGCATACCAATATTGATGGTCATCTCGCATGATTAGTTCGCTAATGTATGTTAATATATTGTATCAATAGTATACAAGAGCTATCTAAACTATTCTACATAAGAAATAATTTATAAGGTTCAGTAGTTCGATTTTATCGCGAATTTAATTATGAAAACAAATCGTTAAATACTGCATATACCTTGAGGAATTATTTCCACAGTGAAATCGGAAGTCGAGTGATGAAATGATATTAAGTTTCTTAGTCTTGACTATTATCAAAATTCAAGAAAATAACTCTTGTGGTCCTCTACTATTATCATAGATACTAATTCGTAGTAGATTAATTGAATCGAATTCGTCCGTCAAATTCATTAGTAATTTCCCCATCCGGATGTCAATAGAATTATATTAACTAGTCGAGTTTAGTATTGAATTTATTCATCTGGGAAATATCTAATCGAATTTGTTTATATTTGTAACTGAAATCAAAACTAATGATATGAAAATTCTAAATATTTCTCATACCCGCAATGAACAGTAATATATCGATCATGATTCGTCGTATGTTGTCTTTTATTGATATAACCAATAAAATCAAATAGACTACTTAATAAATTTGTTGGAATACATTGTCCATTCTCATATTCATCATTTGAACTTATAGGAAGAAGATATTCAAAATGATAAATTGTTTTTGATAATGCTTCACGTGTATCTGTTAGACAAAATTCTCGAATAATTATTTTCTCTTGTATTAATTCTTTTTGTACTAATTTTAATAATGTTGTCGAACCAATTTTCATTGTTGTATCAAAATCATTTGGATAATATATCGGACATTTTGGAGATGACTAAAAATCAAAAAAAAAAAGATTTTGTCTATATTCATATAAATAAATTTACATCAGTTATTGTATGTAACTGTACAATGCAATTCGAATCATGTTCAATAAACATTCGCCAAAATTCATGAATCGTTTCTGGCAATGGATCTTGAGTTACAATAAAAGAACATTCACGAGAATAACCCTAATTTATTCAATGAAATTTTATTAGAAAATAAAACGGAAGAAATAATGCCCTACTTCAATAAATGATGCATTGATATAAGGATGGCCGAGTATACGACTTAAACAAACACGATTGCGATCATCTAAATTAAAATATATTTAGTATTTGTTTAGAAATTTAAGAAGCTAGTCAAGTGTATTTTATTCAGTTTGATACAATAGAAGAATGTGCGGCTAGTAAATAGAGATAGTGGTAAAATATTCATGGGCTTGATAGTTCGTGAGATTTAATAGAAATTCTACTTTTTACAATCATTCTCCATTTGGAAAGATTAGTAAATCTTTTTGGTCTATAGAAATTTCTAAGGACCTTCAATTCATATGTTAAAATCCAAGACACTTTATGAAAATTTGATTTTTTCTTTCGCAAAGATTTATTAGAGTTCTTTAGTAGTAAATTGCTTATTAAATATGAAACGACTCGTACTAAACACTTCATTCCAAGAATAAACACAAATTGGATAGTTAGTTATTACTAGTAGTATAACCAAGATTTTGATGGCAGAAAGTAGAAAGCTCATATTGGATCAAATGATATAAGTACGTTTGATAACGATGTGATAGCTAAATCTCCCTACCAACTTCTTTATGATGATGTTAGCAGTTCTCATATATTTGTAATAATCTATCTGAGTCGTTGTATAAATTCATCTTATTACAGAATGATCTCTGAATTACTTATAAAAACACTGTTCAAGACATTACAAGACTAGATACTATAGGGCTAGTAATCGTTCTACTATAAACATATATCAGTTTCGATTCATTCTATATAGATCTTTATAAAGTATGATCTTAAATCAATATTCTCATAACACAAGTTCATAGTAGGTATAAGAATAGCTTAAATTCTTGACGTTTAATTCATTCGAACAAGATAAAATAAAAATATAATTCTAAAACTTTACATGGTACTATTTGAGGATGTCGATTTTTATCAATATTATCCGATGAATGAGCATCACGTTGTGAAACATTTTCCACAGGTAATAATGATAATTTCTAAAATAAAAATCAATCAAATCAATTCAAATTTAATATCAATAGAAATATTTGATTTACATTATATTCTGATATTAATAAATATTGTTTATTTTTTTTTAAATTTGAATATGTTGATCGAAATATATTTGCTTCTATTCTTGTATTTCCATACAAATAATATTCAAGCAGCGATCGATATATAAATACATATTGTCTCTATAATTAACAAAAGAAAACGTTTTTTTTATTTAAAAATATATATCTAATCATAACATACCACTGTTTGAACCATTAAACTACGTTCACGACGCATTTGTAATACAAAATTATAAATATCAACTTTTCTTTCATGTTCTATTTTATCAATCATTGCATCAATTGCAATATAAGTACCTGTACGACCAACACCAGCTCTGTATTATTCGAAAAATAAATAAATTTTAATGATTTATACTGTTCTTCTTACGTGCAATGAACAACAATAGGATATTGTTCGGGAGTTGTTTGTTCATTGACTTCATGTATTAAATGAAGTAATGTATGAGAATCACTTGGAACATCCATATCTTTCCATTGTGTATAATGATATTGTATAATAAGACGTGATTGGTGATCTTCATTTGTTGAACTCAATGTTGATAAAGATACAGCATCATCAATTGGAGTAATAGAGGATGAATTTAAATGAATTTCTTCATTTGCATTTATCTTAATGAGAAGAAGAAAAGAAAAGAATATAATTTTTTTTATATTATCAAGATTTACTTTAATTAATTGAAAGTAACGTTTATCATAATCACCGACAGATACTATATCAAAACAAGTGATACGATATGAACCATAAGTTATTGTTTCACCAAGCTCAGGCCAATATTGATGACATTTTGTCTTTAAAGAAATATAAATGAAAAAAATCTATTTTTTTAAATATAAACTCAATTTACCATCCGTGATGCACCTTCAATGACATTTGTTAACATAACAATAGATTTTAATTTAAGTTCCCACATCATACGCCATAAATCTTCGCATGTATCAGGTTTTGGTCCTGGAAATATTTTAAAATGTTTATGTTTTTCTTCTTATTTCAAAACATGTAATTTACCTTGTGTAGCAATAAATTTATTTAAACATTTGTAACCCTAGAAAAGAAGACATTTTTTCAAAGACAAACAAATATGAATTTAACTAACTGAAATATAGTTTCCATTGATATAATCTGTAGCTGGATCATCATTCAATAGATTGAGAACAACTCGTGTAGCATCAATTGGTAAAATATTGAGAAAACGATTTTTTGATGCAACAATTGTTCGAGTAGCAGCTGTACATGGTAGTTCTTCAAAATTTGGAATACTCTTAAATAAAAAGAATTAACATACAGGATGTTTTTAAAACTATTAGATTTAAATTTGACAACATTTTCTAATATGACTAATCAGAACTGTTGGACGTCTGACTAGACAATGTTTTCATATGAAGAATATCTTAATGAGTTATCGACGGATGCATAGTTTCACTAAATAACGAGAGGAAACAGACAACACGGAAAAGTTATCTACTACGATCTTATTCAGGGTAGGATTGATCTACAGTGATGAATATCTAGATAGTTCTATAAACATTTCCTGTACACGTTCAGTAGGTGTATCGAAACAGTTTCTCCTTTATGTTTTCAAATAATAAACTTACTTTAAATTCAATAGCAAAAGCTAAATCATCTAATGTATGTTTTTGCGTATACATATCATACAATTGTTCTACTGGAAATTCTTCAGGTACAGTAAATTTACCTAAAAAATAAAGAAAATAATCATAAAAAAACATATATCAATGTATCCATCTATATTAACAAAATACAAAAAAAATAGATTATTTTAAACATGCATTTTGTCAGAAAAGAAGTCAACTATAGAAATATGTAAAAACAAAATCTACTTTGAATACAAAAACCTACTATGACAATTATTATTTGTCGATAATGAAACTGTCGAAAGATTAGTCGATGCTGTTGATAGATTATCATTAAAATGTTGTTGACGTTTAATATTTGTTAATGAATATTGTCTTCTTGCTGAAATTGAATATAATCTTTGTCGATGATTTCGATTATTACCATTTAAAGAAATATTGGCTGAATAGAATGTCTCAGCTAAAGATGATTGTTGATTACCCATTGATATTTCTCTCTCCCTCCTATTTTGACTAACTAACTATCTATCTATCTTCGTTAAGTTAAATATAAACTATCACACATCACCGTTCTAATCCAGTATAGACAGAAATTAATCCTTCTTATGCTTACCATGAATCGGTGAATGAGATAATGGTGTATTGTCATGAGAATCTTTTGTTGACGATGACGAATGTATACAAGGTAGTTTAAAATAAGCAATACTTATACGTCGTCTATATTTGAAACAAAAAACTATATTGTGATTATTTGTTATACTCTTGTTTGTTTGTTTTTACCTGAGTAGGAATGTTACAATAAGTGTAACAAATAGTAAACCACTAAAACTACAAACAAGAATAATAATAAGTATTGTAGTATTTGATGATGTATTTGTTTTTAATGTTGATGATGAATATAAGAATAAATTCGATTCAGTTGTTATTGGAATATAATTAATGTTAGCGCTTGTTTCTTCTGGAAATGATTTTATTATTGGTGAATGTGTTGTATCATTTTTTGATTTTAGTCGAATAGCAGGCGTTGATATGGAAGATAAATATGTTGTTGTTGTTGCTGTTGTCATTGTGGTTGCGATTGTTGTTGTTGTAGGTTCAGTACTTATAAGAGCTAGAAATAGTTTCATAGAATTATTTTCTCTCAGGCAAAATCAATCAATAATCTTGATATTTTGTTCATATATATCTGTCTATCCTCAAAGCATAGTCGAATAAATATATGAAAAAGTTTTATTTTTGTATTACAGATATTGAACTTTAAATTATGTGATATTTCGATAGACTTCTAATTTGTATGTTTATTATCTTATAAAGTCAATTAAACTTTATTGTCAACAATCAAGTATTAGTATATATTAAGAATGTCATTAGTCTATTTAACCTTTTGATTCTGAATATCAATAACATATAAAAGATCAGAGAAGAACAATTTATATTAGGCAAATCTATACAATTGTCAGAATGATGTTATCAATCGATATGAAACAGATAAATGTGAATAATTAATGTTAAAATCAGATATTTCCATAAAGAAATATGTTCTGATTAAGCACATTCCAAAGTAATCTGATAGTTTTGTTAAGTAAAGCAGTACATTACTTCACAAGAATTGCGTTCATGTTACAATATGAATGATCGATATATGATGATATCATCGATCAACATGACTAATATAATATATGCAAAGATTTACTAACATAGTATATAAACATCTATTCTTCTGTCATTAATTATAGGTCTATAGAATCTAACAGAACATAATATCCAATGATAATTACAAACCTATAAAGTTTTCTTTTCTTTTTTTTTGAAAGTTTCGATTGCCTACATAGAGATTCATTATTATTCAATGTTTATATTTGAAAAGGATTAGATAAAGTATAGGCTTAACTCTTATTTCAAGAGAATGATATATGAAGAGTAGAAAAAAAAAATTTGCAACATACTTGTAATACTAGTAGATGTTAATGTTCGATTATTGATTAATGAACGTTGTCGATTAGCAATCATTTTTTTTAATATTTCAATCGAATTCGATTTTTTCCATGGACGAATCGAACTTGTTCGATTGGATAACATATGACGATTATCATATTGTTGATTTAAAAGATTTTCTATCGGTAATGAATTATTAAATAATGTAATATTCGTTTGAGTATCATTGATTCCATTTGTTATATTAATTGAAAAGAAGAAAACAAGAAGAAAAATAATCATTTGTATGTTATCGTCATTCATATGTTCTTTCGTCCACATTCTATGTCCATCTAGAAGAAAGAAAAGAGCAAATGTGTTGTTGTTGTTATTATTGCTGATTCTGTATGTGCAATTAAACAGCCTTATATATATATATGTGTGTGTGATGGTATGAGCAAGAACATCAAATATAATAGGCTTACTATAGCGATATATATATATATATATAACGAAGAGCAAACAACAACTGTACGAAAAAATGAAGGCCAACAACTTGACCGACCACTCACCCTCTCTCATTTACAATGTATATGTATTGCAATTGCATCATCATTATGACTTTCTTTTCTTTATTCTTCTTCTCCTCCCTTTTTTTTCTCCGGATATATCAAATTAGAACTCACAACTGTGTTCTAAGCTTTCTTTCTTCTATTTTCATACATGTATGTTGAGTGACCGATGAACGCGCACTTTCTCTTCCTTTTCCAGTACAACATGATGATAGACGATTAACCTCTGTATACGGTGGGAAAGAATCAATTTTGGACCATGATAGATGGGAGAACAATGGATTCTTCTATTTTTTCCTTACTCTATCGGTCACACCATCAATCTCAATGACATGCCGAGGTCGTGTTAACAAAAAAAAGAAAGAAGAAGAAGAAGAAGAAGAGAATATCCCCATGTGTGACACATCTTTTGTCTGTCCGTGTATATTTCTCTCATGTCTCAATTTCGAGACGATAGAGAAAAAAAAAGAAATTTCCATTAGTATCTTTTTCTCATTCAATGTCTATTTATATGTATACATGTATATTTCGAAATTATATACAGGCAAACACTTAACTTAATCGTTTTTCATACTAAATTGATAAATTTTCTTCGTTTATATATATATATCTATATCTACTATGAAAGATTCAAATGAGTTGTCACTCAACCTAATACTTATTCATTGTGGACCATTTTTCAATTTAACTAATACTTCACACTTATTCGTGTCAAACTAAAAATGATAAATGACAAGAAAATGAAATGCGATACTATACTTTAGTTTTTCAATATAATTTTAATGTTTATAATAAATTGCAAACTCATCCTTGCATTTTGTCGAACTGTTAGACTCGATTATTATTAGCCTGAAGGTAAAAAGAACTTAAATATTCAAGTGTACTTCAAGTATTTGAAGTAACAAGTAGCAATTACACATTATTCTCTCTTTTTTTCAATCGATCAATATAGCAAATCATGAATTTTTATTGAAAATTTGTATTCGATATCATCTATAGTCAAAGTACAATACATTATATAAGAAATTTATTCTAGCAAAATAATTCTATTCATTGTTCACGGTATTCGGAGATGATTTATTTCTTACAGGTAATTACGCATACTATATTAGAAAATTAATATCCTATAATGAACACGTGAACGAACAAACAAAAAAAGATTTAAGAAAAAATATTGCACATAAAAATCTTTTATCTAACTCATGTTAAAACATAGTCTGTTCAATATATAAGTGTTTACTTGCTCTTATGCGTCCAATTTGAAATACACTACACTTTAGATGGTCTACACATCTACTTGAAAAGTGTTTACAATAAAATAACTGTCGCGCAAGTATATTCGTAGTTATAACTATCATGGATGGTTATTTTGTTTATCTGGTACGTCAGTTAATTAACAATCGAATTATTAGAGTTTAGTTTGTTTTTGTTAAAAAATAAAAGATAAACTATTTTGTCGCGACCGAATGATGCAATGACCTAATTAAGTGTATCGATTATTTCGACGTCTATTCGATTAGTAAAATCATTTATCGTATGTTATTACTGTTCAAAACATCGATAATCATTGAAGCATGTTATTTGAGTGGGAGTCTAAAATTTGTAACACAAATTTAAAAGCTGAGATGACATCATAATACATTATTTATTCACGAGAATTAACGAAACTAAATTCTTATTCGATTTTGTTTGAAACTAATAGTCGCTTCATACATATAATATTCTTTTGTTCGCTTATCTTACATAGTCGATAGTAAATTTCGTCACTAATATTAGAATACTCATCTTTCAATCGAAATAGACTCTACTAAATTTTAGTCTTATTTATATAGTAATAGATTCGCTTATGCCCAATTGATATTCAATTATTCTTAACCTTTGTTTGAATAAGTACAAAATCTGAATAAAAAGAAACCTTCTATTAAATACTCATAATCGAATTTTAATATCGAATAAATATTATCTACAGTATTAAAATAGAACGGTATATTATTAGTTGTTTATATTTTAACTTACCTGATTTATTTTGATGTTCAATTGAAAAATTTATTCCATCGGTGATAATTAATTGATTGTATTGTAATTAAAAAAATATAAAATCTACAATATATGATTGACTACGTTTATCTGGTTATATATGTATAAAGATCACATGCACACAATCATTAAATACTTTGTTATCCTAACTGAGACATGAAAGAAAAATGAATAACAACAAGAAAAATAATATCATATCGATATCATCTATCTGACATTGAATGATTAGCAATATAGAAGAAAACAAAGCTATGAGATAATGATTGTTGTTTTTTCTCCAAAATCGATCATATGCCAGACTAAAACAATAAAAATATGTTGTTGATCTTTTGAAAACTAAACATTGACTTACAGTATTTGATGAGAAAAAGAATATTCCAATAATTTTATCGACAACGATCTATAAATATTCATAAAGAAAACAAATGAAATAAAAGATTTTGCCCTACTTTGAATTTGTTTCGATGATTGAATGTTAAAAATCAAATGTTCGTTAGGATGATTACCGAAATTCGGATAAATCATTCTCAATTCTTTATTATTACGTGTAAGACGAGCAAATCCATCATTATGAAGTATTTCAGCTAAATCCTAAAATAAATAAAGTCTTTTATTTGATTAGAAGTCATTCGATTGGAGAAATAAATATTAAGATAGAAAATATCAAAGATTTTGTTCGTTTCTTCTTCAATAATCTTTTAAAGAGAGGTCGCCATATGACATTTACCTGCCCATCAACTTTGATATCAACAAAAGGTAATGGCCACCACATTTCATTCGATAAAAATATTACAGATACAAATAAAAATGGTTCACTTTCAGGTTTAATTAATAATCGACGTAATCTTCGTGTACATTCTTTACCAGTTGCTGTATTCCATTCGATTGAACCAGTTTTCGAATCTTTTTTTGGAAGAATCTATATGTAAATAAGTGTGAAATTTCAATATGAAAGAGAATATAAAACATACATGAGAAAGAGTGACAGGAATACATTGAATTTCTAATTCAGCAAATTCCGTATGAAGCGGACGAATACTTTTTATGTGTACCCATTCAGAATTACCAAAATCGACATATATAATCAAAAATTGTTGATCTAAATTGAATAATTGTATTCTGAAGGATATCTTTTATTTCTTGCTGTATTTACTTGCATGATCAATATTTAAAATTCGTGCACGAAAAAATTCGAAATATCGAGTTGAATAAGCAACGCAAAAATCGCCTATATTAAAAATATTTGTGGAGATATTTGAATAACTATTGATATTATCCATATAATATCGACTAGAAATAAATCAGAAGAAGATAATTAATATAGAAATAGTGAAGAAAATCTTTACTTCAGATCTTGATGCATTTGTTGAAAACGTTCACCATCCTGACCTATTTGAATAAATATAGCCGATGGATGATCAAGATAAGTTATCAGACAATTTGAATATTGCATATATGGCACACATGTTTTATATCTGAGTTCCGCTGAAAGAAATCATATGGAAAAAGTTTATATTATAAAAATATCCTACGTTTGCTAATAGATGAAACTGAGTGATATTCAGTTGATATTGATTGATAATCATCATCATCATCGTGATTTGTATTTAATTTACGGTTATTTGCTGATGATAATGGTGTGAAACGACTGGCAACACCACTATCAGCAAATTCCGTTAATGGTGATGGTGATGGTTTTTTAAATTCATTTGAGTTTTTTAAAAAAATATTGTTAGACATCTGAACATTCATAATAAAAATGAAATCTAAAATTTTTAGAAATTAATATTTATTATTCAGAACAAAATTTATAAGGAATATAATTAAATTTCAAATGCATTGAAACTTGTATGTAAAACCAATGAGAGATATTCTAAAACAAGACATAATATTCTATTATAAATTTATTTTAAAAATATGTTACTTACGATTCCAGGTTCTAAATCAATTATTATCTTTGTCAACTAATGATTCCACCTAAAAATGAGTAGACTATTTAAGTGCATTTACATTATGTTTCAATATCATTTTTTAATGTAAAATAACTCGAGTATATTTCATTTTGTTTTTTTTTCTTATATTGTGACTAGAATCTCATGGGTTACGCACAATAATAACATTTGTAATTAATGAGAAATATGTCCTTATTCATAACCTTTCTGTTGATTTAGTAAGAAAAAAAGTATTTTAGATATATATATTACACATGAAATAGTAAAAAAACAAATGTGCGTTTCGATTAGAAATTTATGCGATACGATGCAAATTCAAACGGTGATGACGTATAATAATATTATTGTTGAAGAAAAACAAACAATTTTTTATACGTTCTTGAAAACTTAAAATACCTTGAAAAAACTATACGATAACAATTCATATTTACCAATCATAACTATATTTTAATGATGATAGCAAATCGCAGTATTTTAGAACACAAAAGTTTTAACTTGTGGATTATTTTCTATTTCTATTATTCAATTAATTTAGAATATTGTTTGTTACTGATACACGAAACTAAATATATTTTTCTCTTTCATACACTTGTGACATGCGAAGGCCTATTCTATCAAACAGCTATGAAATTGGTTGTGCTAGCAGTGAAGCAATGTGTGATAGCTTAGGGACGAAGATATTTTGATTCTATTTATTAAAAATATCCAAAAACAGTATGAATTAGACAAGTACTTAGTTCTAAAATAAAATTCTTAGTATATCCTCACTGGTTCGATTACAGAATAGTCAACTTACAATGTTGTTGATTGACTTTGAGCATACGGATTCAATAGAATTCAATATTGTTTGAACGGTCATTTAAATAGTGAATTTTAGAAAAGTCACCGATTTGATGAATTATCAACGAGTATTCATTTTCTGATATCATTTGATAAGATTCACTGAAAAAAAAAGTTATTCAATCATTAAATATGTTGTTTTGATTTAGTAATATATCAAAACTATACTCACTCGATATCTTTATGAAGCTATCGAAATGCTTATCTTTGAATAAGTAATTGAATAAAGATCGATGATGAGTGATCGATATAGGCGATAAAAGCATTATTATGTTGATCTTTGATTTTGATCAGTTCTTGTTACTGAATAATCACTAGAATTCAAGAATAGAGTGAAAAATTAGAGTCCAAAGAACATTTATGCTTTAGTCTATTTATTGGGGAAAGAAAAAAAAACTTCAAATTACAATTTCTTATATATGTAATACATATATTGGGTGAAAATGAAGACTTCTCAATTGTATAAAAAATCTGTTTGAACTAATTAAAAGATTGATATTAAATTTTCATACAACTCAAGGTTGAAATTTGATTATGTTCGCAACTATGTATATTTATCGATGAATAATCCATTCAGTTATAGTTAGATCTTGGTTTAATGTATAAAGTAAATACTTATTCATTATCCGATAACACTAATAAATTCATAATATTTTCTCTTTCCTACAGAAGAACCAATAATTTACCTGCATGACATATACGGTCGATCATTATTATTTACTTTCGTTATTTTTTTTCTTCTCATTTCTTTCAATATAAACCTGGCATCTATCTTCTTCATAAAAAGAACAGAGAATATCCATTAACAATTCTACAAATAAACAATTTCTGTTTCTACTATGCCAAGTACTTTATTCATAGACATGTTTTTTCAAGAACTTAATGTAAATTACTTTTACTATGAATCAATTTTCTAAACAATATTTTATATGAAAAAAAAATAGAGGTTCATATTTCAAAATATTATGCTATAATATGACGTCAGTCTCATTCAAAATATCAAATATCGTTATTTTTCGAGTAAAAGATTAACCTCGTACTTAAAAATCATTATACACTCACATGTAGTCCAACAAAACGAAGCATATGCTTCATGTTTATTGAATGAAGTCATTATATTTTATGAAAATAATTGTGAGAATGACAGTATCATTAATTATGCAATATTGTTATACTAAGTATATCGATTGTATAGTGAACGACATCTAATATAATTCTTTATATTCGAGTTTATGCATGTCGACACGAATGAAGTATCTTGCTTTTAACAGATAAACGTTAGATTTTGTAAAAACAACATCGTATCGGATAATTATGTTTGAAATCTTGTCACTTGTGGTATATAAATGAACCATTATTCTCTTTCTCGTAGAAAAGAGTCCAGTAAACATAAATTGTTTGCTTGCTTGCTTGTGTGTCCACAGGGTCAAAAAAACATCGAAAATCGATTTTTCTAAAAAGACATTTCTAGTAGTATTTCAATGCGGAGACTTCGAATCTGAGGTCTGGTGGGTGACCATGGTGAGAAAAGGTGAAAAGGGGCAAAGGTAAAAGAAACATCGAAGACTGATTTTTCACGATTTTCAATTATTTTTCTAGTAAATGTGAAGAGAATACATTTCTACGAGAAAGAGCTAAGCGAGTCCTCGGATGAGCGTTACTTATCTACATAATAAATATTATGGATTTTGTAAAAGATATTATTAATTGACTAATATTAGTGAAATCATATTCTTAAAATTTTGCAAGAAATATACTGTATTTAAATAGTTTCCTAGCTCGAAAATATCTAATTTGTGAACTGTCTCTTAATTAACTATTGTCCAGACTATATAAGCAAATCTTAGTTATTCTACTATTAAAAAGTCATTATGAAACATTCAAATTATTCGATAGTTCAGATTAGCTTCATTTCGTATCTATCTCAAACTGTCAAAAGACAAAAAGTAATCGCATATATATATATATATATGTACATACTTTTTAAAGAAAGATTTATTGATTGTATTGAGTTCTGTTGCTTCCATGTCTACAGTAAAATAGACTGGTCTAACTAGTAGAGTGACTCAGCTATTATTATTGTAAAACTAAAAAATTCAATTAATCTACAAGAGAGAAAAAAAAGAGAACAATGCACTTTAATAGCATAGAAATACCCAATTTATTTTCATTGGTGAATGAGTCATTCAATTCGTGTTTGTTAAACAATATTCAATATGTAATAATTCTTTCTATGAATTCCTCTTACGAAAAATTCGATCATATTATATGAGTCAGAAACAATGTGATTGCAATTTTATCGATAAAAAAAGTTCTGAAATGGATCATTGCTAATAATGATATTTCTATTAGAATCATATATCAAAATACTGTTTTTTATGTATTATTTCAATTAAAAATTAAAATAATTCTTTAAAATTCATAAAATATTTTAATTTAAAAAAAGGTAGGAAAAAAGACTTCATTGTTTAATTAATGCACCAATAAAAACATTTATTCAGTGCAACTCTTGAAAACAGGCAATTTAGTCATTAAAATATACTTTTCTTTCAATCTCTCATCAGTATGAAGAACAATAATATAGTTGTTATCAATATCAATATCAATTTATTTTTAAACTAGTTATTTTAATATATATAGATGGTGCTAATTATCAAGTTGAAATCATATTTCAATTCTATATTGAGTTTAACCAAGAAATTCTCGGGGATCGCCTCTAAAAAGTATATATTTCAATATCGATTTTTGGTCATTAAATGGTGGTCGTGTCGCAGATGTTGGAACATGTTGTTTAATAATTGGAAGCAAGTGCGGTCGAAAACGAGCATTTGGATAAAACCATATGTTTCCAATTGAACGCTTCAATGGATATGAAACCACACACATACTAAAGCAAAAAGATGATATGATCAATAAAATAATCTCTTTAAATAAAATTTTACGAATGAATTTAACTTACGAATGATTTATCAAGATAAACATAATAAATAATGATACTAAAGCTCGTTGCATGTTGAACAAATGTAACAGATTTTATATATATGAATAAGAAATCTATCAGACTTATGAATTGATTTGGAGCAGATTAATGATAAAAAGCACATAATAAATAATAATATTTATTCATTGAGCCGATTATCTAGGATCAATGTTGCGTGGTATTCATTGTTGAAATAATCGATTAATATTCTGCATTAGACTTACTTTTTCTCATTATGATATACATATTTTTTTTCTTTCAAAAAACCTATTCTCTGTTTTTATTTTTTCATGAAAAGAAAATCTAAGTTTCAATAACATAGACAAACAAATGAATGTTTCATACATACGCACACACACATATACACACATGAAAAACAAAACTACTTTGAAAAAGAAAAAAGTAACATAAGCAAAATCCATTAACAAAGGTTTTCTAAATTTTCAATTGTTGTATGAACGATATCACAATCTAATTATCATCTCATTCTTAATGATGAAACGAAACAGAAACAATAAGAATTTCTAAATAGTTAAAATAAGCCAACAGTTGTTTACCAAATATATATATTATGGAAGACCTAGAAAATAAATAATATTGTGTCAATGTTAATCATTATAATAGATTAGATCTTTATTATACTTACTACCAGCATAAATATCTGATTCAACAACAGCTACATTATACAAAATATATTCCATTGATGTCAGTTTATCATTGAAATGCATAGCGATTTGTTCATTTCGAGCTGCAGTTATATGCGATGCTAGTTTTGGATGTTGAGCAATCGACTAAAACAAAAAATTTAAAAATATTTTTCAAAAGAAAATCTTATTAATCCTTACCTGGCCATCTAACATAACTTTAACAAAATGAAGTGGCCTGAATAAATAGAAAGATAAATAATTCAAATATTTTAAAGCAATATATATATATACCATTGTTGACCACTGCCTTGTTGAAAATGAACTTCAACAATACGATTTTTGATGAGCTGACTGAATATCTCAGTTGTTTCCGGAGACCAAAAATGTTCATTTCGAGGAAATGACTGAAAAAAACGTTATATAAGAAAGAAAAAAAATTTAAAAGTAAGATTTACTTCAGCTAGTGTGCAAGCAACAGTCATAGCAGGCAAACGAGATAATGGTTCATGCATTGGATAGATTTCATTTGCTGGTTTTGTTTCTGAATTTCCATAATCAATGAAAACAATAAGTATGGAATCGTCTAAAATAAAATATAAACTAATATATATGTATATATTAAATCTCTATTTTTTTATCTTTTTTATTCGAAGAAAAGATTTAATGTATCGTTTGTAATTTCAAAAAAAAATAGGAAATAGTACGTACTACCATGTATGAGAACAACTCGAGCTCGATACCAATGTTGATCTTCACTAAAACGAGCTACACAAAAATCACCAATAGCTGGATTGTGTAACGGTACAGTTGTATTTGTTGGTTTATTGTAATGATTACTAAAATATAAGAATGAGTTTATATATAATTTTGTTATTTACTTCATTTCTATCGCCATAATATTAAATTGTTCAGCAACACGTGGATCTTGATTACAAGCAAAAAATGCTGATGGATGATCAATAATTGGTATGTCAGCATTATGCCATATAGTACTTGCTTTAATTACTTGCATTTTGACTCGAACTTTACCACCATTAATTGCATTAGATTCATTCAATGTTCTAGCTAGAATAAAAAAAATTAACAATAAAAAGGTTGCATTTTATTTCATATGTTTAAAAATACATGGATATGAATCCGATAAAGTTGATGGACGAGGAATAATAGCATTAGATGATTGTTTTTGATAACCATTTATCAATCCATTTTGCATTGGTTTTTGTGCTGTTTGAACATGAGATGTTTGAGAATTAGGAAGATTTTGTGATAAGAATTTTTCTTGATTAAAAGTAAAATTATCTTCACCAGATGATGGCCGATAAAAAGCAGATTCTAGTTGTGATTGAAATTGTTCGGGTGATTGTTTTATTGTAGCTGTTTCACTGAATAATGTTGTTGTATTTCTCGGTGTAAATGTATTAATTGATGAATTTGTGCCAGTATGTAATGAAGTTTGAAAACCAACGCCAATATGTTGATTAACATATGAACGTTCTGCAACAGAAGATGAGTCTCGTTTTGAAGCAAATCCATTATTGATACTTTCATTTTTGACATGTGTCATTTGTGCAGAAGTTGAACCAGGGTGTGGTGCTACATAATTATTTGATGGTAATGAAAGACGTGCTAAAATATTTTTGAAAATTATTAATAAAATTTCTCACAATAGTTCGAAAATCAAATTATTTTTCTTTACCTTCACGTTCTTCAGTAACATAGGAAGGTACATTTAATGTTTGTGATTGAAGAGCATGTAACGATTCTGTTTGAAGTTCAACAACTGCAAGTTTTTCAGCAACATTTAATAAAATCTTACTACATTTAGATGCTTTTTGAGCAATAAGAGGTGATATATTGGGATCTGATTCAATTGAACGTCGTTTACTTATCCACAATTGTTTTACGTCATCAACATAGGAAGTAACTTGATGTAAACGATTACTAAGACGATCACACAAAAAGAGAAGATTATCAACATCGTCGAGAAGTTCGACTGCATTTAAATCATTAGAAGAATTCATATCTAAAAATAATATATTAATTTTAATAACTTATGAAAAATATTCATTTGAAAATTGAAATTAAGTAAGACAACATGGCTTAGTCCTGTTGTTAGTTATTAACGAACCAGATGAACATATAAATTCTGTCAATACTAAATAATAATATCATTGTTTTGAGCATCAAATGATTTGTTCGATATATAATCAAATCGTTAGATAACTGTCTATAAATTAACCAATACGATGCAATGTTGATTTCAGAAAGAGAACCACCTGATTGACGAAATGAAGATCAAGTCAGAATTGATTTTCCGTTAGAATGTTGAAATGAACTTTGGTGATCATTGAATAAATAAATTGGAAATGATATAACCATCTATTTTTAATTTCGTTGCATATAGATAAGCTAATTTTCCATAAATTATCCAGTTGCATTTATTCTAATGAAATCTTGTTAGATACGGATAGTTCTGGCAGGATTCTGGTAATACTCAGTCAGACAAAATCAGTAAAAAAAATGTGTTTTACATTTCAAAGGCGCATATTTTGACATGTTAAAAACACATTTTCGAACAAAATGGCGTTTTTTTTGTTGTTGTTACCAAAAAATGCGTTCAACAGCACACATTTTAACGCTTTGTTAACATGTTTTTTGGTAAAAACAACAAAAAAACGCCATTTCTTTTTGAAAAACACCTTTTTAACGCGTTGAAATGTACGCTTTCGAGGCGTAAAAACGCGTTTTTTATCGGTTTTGCCTCGCTGGGTAGTAAAGATTCTTACATATAGATAGTTCAATGGAACACAATTTTTAAGTCATGACCTGTTTAGTTTATATTTATTATGGATCAGCAATAATTAATGAGTCACACAATGACAGTTCACAATGATAACAAAGTTTTACAGAATTCAATAAATACAAAATGTCATCTTCGAACAAGAACATGAATTGTAAAGATTCTACTATGATCGGTTAAAGCTGAACTTAAAGCTTTTTGTAGGCTACAGTACATTTGATATCTATATCGATAGTGTTTCTGTATCCCAGAAATCTATCAAAAACAGTTAGTCGATATGGTGAAATTGTTCCCGATAATTTTTAACATATCCCAGGTCGAACATGCTCTGTCGTAAACGACAGGATAGGGTCATTCCATGGTATCAAATCAAGGCCGTTTTTTGTCATCGTAGTTAATTAGCTTAAACTGATCTAATGATGGGTCGTTTACGACTAAAAAACGATCATATACGGCCAGCGTATACGAGTCGCCTATTCATCGACCTGGGTATATAAAGATAATGATAAAATTTGAGAATTGTTAGATAACACATTAAGAAAGCTAAGACTCATAAAACGACTGCATAAACTATGAAATAGATATCTACGGTGTAACTGAATCAGTAGAATTCATCGCCTCAATAAATAATGACTGCTCTGTAACAAAAAGATCGTAATACGCCGTTTTATAGTCATTTCAGGTTGTTTAAGGTACTGTTTCTAACGATTGGAAAGATTATCTCGAAAATCGAATGGATTACGGGTTATGTCAAGTTTTTTTCGCATAAGATAGAGAGAATACATGTATAAGAAGTTGAAAGTTATGGGAGAAATGTAAACATATAAAAAAATAAACAAAAATAATTCATTTTATGTCAATTTAGGATAACGAGATGATGGTAAGTTGATGGTATCTATTAGTAAAAGTAGATCCAATGGATATCTATGCTCTCACAAGGAGCATTTGAACTAAAGACTAGTATGGTTATATTTGGAGATAATTCGTTGATGACTTTGTTAAAATGATGTATCATTGAACTTAAGATGAATGTTTCGTTCACTTTGAAATCATGGCTGAAATCACTTCTGATATGATACTCAGATAAATTATATAGTGAAACTCACCGAGTTTGTTTTTCATTTGAGTTAGGTTTCATGGAATTAAATATAAATTTGACTGTTAAATGCTGTTGTTTCTTCGCAAATATAGCTTCTACTTCATATACCATAGCATTGTCCGATAATATCTAATTTGCTACACCCAAATCTTATCTGGTTTTTGACAGATAAAAGTTAAGTTTGCGTTGTTAGTTGATAATGATGAGAGTCGAACAAACACATAAAGTACCACAATATTCATTTTGTAAAATAAAATGACGAAACAATTGAGATATGTTGTAAAAGATGGAAGCGGCCAAGTCAAGAACACTTCGTCACTTGATATAGTCCTAATCAGGTGCCATTGTTTGAACGATGATAAAGATAGTAAACACGACGATGTAGGCATATACATGAGGAATATGTCTTTTGAGTTTTTTGTGTAAACATGATTTGAGTAAGGCTGAAAACGGCTATCTCAACGATCTAAATTCAGCAATATTTTTCACTTGTTATCGAATTCATCACTTCAAATATGTCAAAAGGTGTCTAAAGAAAAAATATATATTGAATGATTTTAAAAATATTTTATTGACACTTGCTGCTAATAACTGTATTATAGTAATATGCAATGAATGAAATTGTTGTAGTTTGTAGCAAAATATCTCTGATACATGAAATTCTTGATGTGAACCCAATGTATTGATGCATATATTTGAGAATAGTAAATCGTAGAAGCATAGAGAAGATGAGAGACAAATACACGTATTTAATCATACAGATAAAGAGGCAGTTGATTGTACTAGAAAAATACTGTTATCAGATATTATGGAATAGTACATAAGAATAATAGATTCATTGCTATGTTATGTATCAGTAATAACTTACTTCAGACAGTAAGTTTGAACTTTCTCTGTGTCATCATAAGTTAATTACTTCATTATAGTAGAGCTTCATCCAACGATTGTTTACACTGAATATTATCGAAATAATAATTTAGTCACGAAAAATTGAATAGAATCAAACATGCGAAAATCAGTCTGAAAACTTTTAAGAAGCATGATGTTCTAGCAGTTTGTATCAAAGAATCCATTCATTATTAAACTCATTGATTGCATGAGTAATCTTTCATTTGGTAATGTTAATGATATTTCATAGATTGATTTATTCATTTGATCATCAACAGATGTAAATAATTGATTCAAGATTGAATGAAATCGTTGAGATATCTTGTCAATTGTTTCTACATTGAATAAATCATATGTAAGAATTTCTTCTTAATTCAAATTAAATTCTATATAAACAATGAGTCACAAGCTATAACTTATAAATGAAATACTTCAGATATGAGTAAAACCAATTTCAACATGTAAAAATCAACAAGACATCTTATTTTATTTAACTCATTCTTAGATTAATATCAATTTCTCATCTATAATATATTTACCATTATTTTCACTTGTTTTTTTTTCGATAATCATAACGAATAAAATACAGACATTAACATATCAAAAATAACAGACAACAGACGATACTGTAGTGACAACAAGAAAGACAATGATCTGAAATATATTGATAGAAATGAATCTTTCTCATTTTTTTTATACTATACTAAATTCATAATCATAAGGATTTTTCATAACTTTGAATGAGCACAGACATGCACAATTTTGAAAGTATTAGTAGATATCATAAAGTAAACAATGCTACAGATACACATACACACATGCATGATATAAAATTGTATACATAAACAAAGTGCTCCAAAAAAAAGCAGACAAAAAATAAAGTTTGTCGTTAATCAACAGACAAACTGGGAAATAATCCACTTTAGATCGATTGCATATATATATATATATATATCTATTGTTCAAATTCATCTTCACTAATAGGTACATTGAAGAGTATATATTCTTGATGTGTAAGAGAAGTTGCTAATTGTTCAGCAATGAAACGATTAGGTCTTGGTTCAATACGTTGTTTTAAATTTAATAAATTTGTAACAGACTAAATAATAACATAGACTAAATAAATGGAATGTAAATATAAATATTTACTTACTTGATTACCAACATTAATTCTTACAAAATGTAAAGGCCTTTTGTAAAGAAAAAGAAACTTGATAATAATCTTTTCAAATATTGAAAAAAAAGACAAACCATTGTTCTGTTCCTTCTTCCAAACTGGCAAAACATATTTCAATAACTTTTTCTGTTACTTCTTGTCGAAAAATTTGAATTGTATCTTGTGGCCATAATACCTCACTATCATTCGGTGAACGAGGAAATGCCTAAAAGAAATAAAAAATACAGATAATTAAGATAACATTGCCTTCTGTGTTTTTTTTACTTCAGACAAACTACACGCGATAGCTTGTGCTGGTAAATCTGTATATAATTTATCAAGTGGATAAAATTGATTGAGATATTTTGTTTCAATATTGCCAAAATCAATAAAAACAATACGAATTTGATCATGCTCTTCACACATTAATAAACGTGCTCGATACCAACGATTATCTTCACTATATTTTGCTACACCAAAATCACCAATTGAAATATTTTGTAATGGTATTAAATTATTTGATTTTTCTAAACTACTGTAATAATCACTAGTAGATAAAGAATACAATCAATTTATTCAATATAGTTTTATCTTATAATTAACTTACTGAAGATTTTCTACCATACAATGAAATCTTCCATGTACTTTATCATCAAGATTTTCAACATAAAATGCAGAAAGTGAATCGATAACATCAATTTTAGCTTGTTTCCATTTTGTACCAGGTGCAATACGCTGTAATTTTACTTTCACTTTACCACCTATATTAAAAAAGTAATTTTAATGACGAAATTTTATTTCTCATAACTTACGAGACATTTGTGGATAACTAGCTATCATTTGACTAGTTGGAGGTGGTGCCATTGGAGATGTATTATGATCTGATAGTGGTGTTCGTGGATCATATGATGGTGCCATCGAACGATGCTATAACAGTTAAATATTGTTTTCTTCAAAATAGAAATAAAATTAGAAAAAAATAATTTTCATTTATCTCGAATATTATCGTTAGATTTTTTTTATCGAAACAACTGTCATAAATTGAATAAATATATTATTCAAAATAATATTTTTTCTTAATTAGATAATAATAGAAAAACTTACAGAATTAATTTCTTCACTAGCGATATGATGAGTATTTTGTGGATGAATAGGTGTTGGTCTTGATGCACTGTTTGTCATAATTGATGATTGTTGTTGTTCAATAGGTTTAAAACCAGCTTTTTCTTGTGTAGCTGCTAACGATAAACGATTGCCTGATGATTGCTGTGATGTACGAAGTACAGGTGCAGGAAATGTTGGTTGTCCCATGGTTTTTCCATTTATCATAGGTTCAACATAAGCTTGTTGTTTAATTGAATTTGATGATGGTGGTGAAGGTATTGGATGACGAATACGAGATAAAGATGTATTTGCTGTTGCATATGTAGAATTGGCATCTATTGAACGTGCTGAAAATGATGTTGACATTGGAACAGAACGTGATTGTACTAACGTTTTTGGTTCAATACGAAGAATTTGTTCGATTAATAAATCAACTCGACATAAAGCTAAATATAGAACAGTTAATTTAAAAAGAAAAGATGAATTATTTTATTTTTTAATATTACCTTGAACTGCTTCAATACTTAATTCATTAACACGTTGAGTTTTTGGTAGAAGAAAATCAAATGATGACACTGAATTTACTTGATCAAGAATGATTTGTCGACGATATTGCCATAATTCAATTTGTTGATCGATACCGGATGATATTTTACTCAAATATTCTTTAGCTTTATCACATACAATAAATAGACGACTATAAAATAAGAAAAATTGTATTTATCAAAAAAAATAGTTGCCTTTTTATTTTCAATATACTCGATTTCGTCGATAATTAGAGTTCCATTTGATTCATAAGTCATAATGGAAACTTTTATATATTCAATAACAGATAAATAACTCAAAAAGAAATTATCTGAATTATCGCCAAAATAAAAAAAAGGTAATATAACATAATCTATACGCAAATAATATGGACTCTCAAACAAATGATTAAAATAAAACATGGAATCACAAAAGAAACCTATAGTAAAACAATGATATAGAGGACGAGTTAAAATTCTTATATTTCTATTAGTAGTTTAAACTTAAATAAATACTATATCTGTCAGTGGAAAATATTTTAAATTGTTTAAATACGACAACATATGTCGCCAGTTATGCTTTTTCATTACAGAAAAATAATTACAAACGAAAAGATCAAAATAAATCATTAGGTTTCTTTTATCTAGAAATAAATATTCATAGAAAAATATGTTGTAGTGATAATTATTTCAAGAATGCATAGTTATGGAATATAATATAAAATAACTTAGATTCTCGTTGTTTTATTTTATTTTATCAATGATTGTAATAAATTTTAGACTATTAATATTAACAACTGCTGTAAAATTTTTTTACTAATTCAGACGTCACGTGAGAAATTATATCATAGTAGAAAACCTTGAAAATTTTGACACATGACTATGTACAGTGAACTGATAAGATAATACGCTATAATATGTACTTGAATGTATTCAAATCAAAGTACATTAGATTGATGAGATTGATATAGTAAAATAAAATAAGCATAACAGATTTCTGTTTTAATATGCTGAATAATTAAAGAAAAAATGACTGATTATTGTTGAAATTATAATAATTCGTTTTAGTCATGATTTTTAACTGAATGATACTGTTAAAAGAACAAAAAAAAACTTTTTTCTATGGTGCTGGATTATTACATATTACTGAATCATTAGAACTGACTTTTGATAAGTCAAAGTCATATTTAAAATTCTAATAGAAAGATTAATAAAAACATTGGCACATAACAGTCTACACAATTTCTTTTTTGTTATGATAAAATTCAACAGTATATTGATTTCATTATTTCTTATCGTCTTTTTTTTATTTGCTCATAGCAATCTCTTATTAAAATATTAGTAAAAATGATCCTTTAATCTTGATATATAATATATAATGTATGCATAATTGAAGAGATTATAGTGTCTTTACATAGAAGAGAAACTTAAATTTCAAAGAACATTATTATGAAAATGACAAGCTGTGCTCTCGGTATAATTATTTTTTATTGAGGTAAATATTTATTTGCTTGGTTGAAGTTATTGAGTTAATAATCAATTTTGTCCATACGAATGGTAAGTACTACATTTTTTCATTGTTAACATTTACATCGAATACTCAAATATTTTTTGTAGAGTTTAATTGAGTTGTACACTAATTTTTTTTATTAATACTGTCCGCTGACAGCCTGACGAATGTTAAACATATTCATGCAGTTCTAGTGAATAGAATCTTTGATTGTATAGTATATATTCTAATTGTTGGTTATTATACTAAAAGATTGTCCTTGAAAATATAATTATTTTGTGTATCAAACAGTCAACGTTAGACAATGTAGAAGAATATTAAATATTCTAATTCATACTGTATATACAGTGTAAATTCATCAATTAAATGATACACGAAAAAAAAGTGATTTATTTGCATAATAAATTCATCAGGTTTTTGATGTAGACACATTTACTGGTTATAGAAAGTAGTACTTAATAATATTATTATTTTTAAGATATACCATTAACCACAATCTTATACAACAGAAGGTATAGTTATCACAAAATATTATGAGATGAACAGTTAGATATATGTTGATCGGCGTGATAAGAGTAGCGCTTGAAAATATTCAATATATACAGAATAATGTAAGACAAATTAATCTCTGATATAAATATTCTAATGAATTCTTCTTTAAAGTAAAAACATAGACAATGCTAATAAGAAATAGTCTACGTTAAATTGCAAAGTGTGCTACATTATTCTTCTATACATTTCAAGTACTTCAATATACTTGAAATTACTTCTACATACTTTGAATTACTTCTATGCACTTTGAACTACTTTGCCTACTTGAAGTGCACTGTTCCCCCTAGAGAATTTTACACATATGAACTCCGTACCAATCAATTAAGTGATTCAAAGCATTCATCGTTACCGATCCCATAATAAGAATATCATCCTATTCTTATTTTCTAGTATATATTATTTCACTCATTCAATCGATAACAGTTTTCAGTCTAATAAATACATCATAAATCGAATTTAATTATCAAGTAGGAGTGAATCGTTTTTTTTAAAACTCTCTATTTCCTTGTTATTGAATAGCAGTCTTATGAAGAACAACAAAGGTTCGATAATCGACTAACTCGTAATATTTTCATGCAATACATTCAAAAAAAAACCCACAGTCAAAATATCTTTATATCCCATGAACCGATGTATAATACCCTAATATAAAAATCATCTATCATTTTCATAAAAGTAATTATATAGAAGCACATATATATATATATATAAATCAATAGAAGTATTACATCATCGATTAATTCTTTTAAAAATCGATTATATACTAAAATACGTACAATACAGTTTCTTCATGCTATTATAAATGAAATGCGAATATAAGTATAGTATTTGTTTATTCATGACTACTACTTCATAATTCTATCAAAATAATATGATGAAAGAATAGTTCATGTTATGAGATATGCATTTAATATATGTATACATCAAAGCATTTTCTTAATGTAAAATACAACATCTAAGATAAACAAATACAATAATGTAGTAAATCGTTTGTTAAGAATATATATGATTGAAAATCTTATTTTTTTAATAGTTAAAAATATATAAAGAAAAAGACTGTCTATTTTAGTTTCTTTTTTCATGTAATAAAACATTTGTAAGAGTTTATTTATTGTTCTTTTAGTAAGTTGATGAAGGTGAGATACTTGAAGAAAAGAAAAAAAAAGAATAAATGAGACACGTATGAATAATAAACACATATAAATCGAGGTTATTTAGACGTACGTATGAAGGAGAACGGTTCATAATAGCATATATGTGAGAAGCTAAACAAGTCATGGATTACTATTTGTCACACTCATCTATCATTTGATCATGTTTCTTAATAGGTTTCATTATTTATTAAACATATTTATTTGTATATTCTTGATTTCAACAGCATTTATTTAGACCTTGATTTACTTATCAACAAAAATTAATCAAAACTACATTTTTTGTTTATTCGTAAATATGTTCATGTATATACATAGTAATAATTTATAGGAACATCTGGGAAATAGTCAAGCAACCTTTAAATCAGTTGATGCCTAACACATTAAATCTGTTCTATAGTAACATATGGTATATAATAGATTTATTGTTTGTTTCTTTAAGATATCTTCAATCTAGTTCAATCATTATTCTTCTTTTTATGTATACTTTTCTCTTAGTTGATGTGTAAATCCCCCGGTTAAATACTTCCATTTTGTAAGAAGTAATAGTATGACCATCTTGAGGAAACAGGAATGATGTAATCGTACTAATAAATATTGCTAACTATAACTGAAGAGTCTCTTAGGAAATTACTTAATATTGGTAAGTTCACATAACTGACAGATGAAAGACGAACTGTTCTATTTGTTCTAAACTTAAAGGTTAAAACGAAAGTCTAACAGATCATATAGATTTATTCATACACGCAATCAAATCTAATCAATCTTTGACACCTATACATAAGACACATAATGTCAAAAATTTATATTCAATATAATGATGAGATCATAGATGATTATCTGTATAACATTAAAATGATCACATCATTAGATTTTACTTTTCCTTACTTCAAAACTGATTTTAAGATTATATTCGATCATATCTACATACAACAAAATTTATTACATTATTCCTATCTGTAGATAAGTACATCTCATATATTTGCACAATTTAAATCTGATATGCATAGATAAAAAAAAGATAATTATCATACATGTTAATAAATATTTCTTTTTTTCCCTAAACTTACTAAGAAAAACGTCGTCATTTCCAAGTGTTTATGTCGTTGGTCTATTAAGATATGCTTGAGACAAGTGCACTCATCATCTAGAGTCATATACTTTTTCCTATGAATTCTTCTACTGCAATTGATTGAGGTAAAAGAATAAAAGAAGAGGAGAAGAAGAAGAAAAAAAGAAAATATTATATTCATTATGTTATTTAGTTAAGTCATCAACTCAACAATTCTGAATTGATACAGCTTCCTACGGTGAAAATGATATATATTCACATTTGTTTTAACAACATATGATTGTGATGAAACTTTTTTTTCGAGAGAGAAAAAGAAGTGCATGTGATTTACATTATTTTTTTGTCAACTAAGAGAGAGAAAAAAATATTAAGTCATGATTGAAATCAGGTAACCTTGTATTTGAAATGAAGCACTGAGGTATAAATCTATTCTTCTTTTTCAACATACAAAAGATTGTGCAATATTGATTGTGTATTATACAATTTTTGTATAGAATATTGTTTGAAAAAACTTCCATATTGAAATTTCAAATGCAAGTTTAAAAAAATATATATTAATTAAATAATTATAGTTGCTCACCATTTCGACAACCATAAAATTTAAATGTCAATGATGGCAATCAAGTAAAGATATATATCGAATTCGTTTGTATTCGATGTTGTGATATTGAACATTTGTGTGTCATATATTCAATTTGACACCTTTCAATCTTTCTCTTCGAACAGAAGAGAAACAGAAGGTAATAGAGAGCCTCAATCAAATTTGCATATTATTACTCTCTCTTTCGTTCAGCGTGTCATTTATACGAAAGTGAACCTTTTCCTTTTTTGCCTTGCGCGTGCAGGCATATATATATATATGAGTACAATACTGAATTACGTGAACTTCAATTGAACATTTTTGTAGTCTATATTTGTTACCTCTTACTTCTTTCAAATTTTTTGTAATATTATCACTGTCACTATGATGATCGTCATAAAGAAGTAAGAGAAAACGATCTGATAATGCAGACTATATACAGAGGTAAGCTTATTCAACTTCTTTTTGTTCATTGGTTGATAGAATCCTACTAACAAAGTTGTTTGAATATAAAATTTAAATTGTCACATTTATTTGTTCGATCAACTTTTCATTAATGAGACACAGAAAGTGGGCCTATGATCATTACTAATAGTGCAAAAAAACGAGGGAAGATTCAAGGTAATATTTTTAATACATATAATCACGTTCATTGTACGTACACACATATATGATAACCTTTAACGTGAACAAAGCTAATGAACGATATCCATCAAGAAAAAGTATTCTCTTCGTCTTCGCCTCTTTTTTTTCTCTATAGTGTCATTTATTGTTTATAGATGATTGTATTACTTGCAGTGTTTGTAAGTGGGTATGAATGCATAGGTAAACAACAAGTAAAATAGTAGCATTCTGCGGCTTTTCCGCTAGGGCACACTTGCTATCGCCTCTATTTTCGTTTCGCTATGTTTGTTAAAATGTATAGGCGAGCATGTCTCAAGTATTTACTTTTTGATTCTCTTCTGCGGTCTACTTTCCAGAGAAAAAAACAGTCAAGCGAAGCAAGCATAATTTGCATTATTGTGATGTGATTAGGTTTTTTCTTTTTTCTCTTTTTTTATACGCTTCTTTGTTGTCCATTCTTCTCTCGTTTGCGCAACAGTATATATGCGAAAGTCAAACATACCATCATTTTTTGAAAGACGAGCTGCCAAATTGATCTGTCGTTTATTCTCTTTTATTTCTTTTTTTCTCCTACATTTTTCATTTTAACCCTAACAAAAAAAAATGTAAGTATGAGAAACATTATCCAGCTGTGAATACATTTTTGTACATCCGGTGCCATGTGTAACTATGTTATGCTTTCAATTGATACATATGTCATTGACAAGATTCTTTTTTATTAAATCTATTTCTACAAAACATAGAAAAGCCTTCGGTTTATTAATGATGAGTAAAATACTGTGTAAGATGCATTTGTAAAGGTTATTTAATTAGCAAACGTAAGTGTGTCAAATAACAAATATGTTTGCCTTATTCCCTTTTTTTTTGTATAAGGAGAAAATTAATATATCTTCGTTTGGTTCGAGTAAATAGTTAACGAGAGAGAGAGAGAGGAAGAGAGTGAGTGAAAAAAGACGTCTAACAATAGATGAACTTGACTTCAAGGTCTCATGTCTTTACATATCATCATCAGCTGGCTGATTTTTTTGAAAGACGAGTATTGTAAAACATACTGTTGATGCAAGGAAAGAAAAGAACAGTTATAACTATAACTGTAATATATACCTATGCACATTTTAGTCCATGTTCATCACTATTTCTCCTTCTCTTTTTTGCTCGATTTATAATCAAAGCTATGATGAGAAAAAAAAGAGAGAAAAAAAAATTGTCGTTCGCCCTGTTTGCCAGTTTTTTAGTCGTTTTTTTTCCTTCTCTCCTCCCTTTTTTTTCTTTTTCTTTACGTCCATTCATCCATCCGTCTCTATCAGATCACCATTTCCTTTGTCTACCTTTTTCTGAAGGTACTCGTGTGTGCGATTGTATATAAATGTTGGTTATTTTATTATAACACTCTTTTACCGCAAATAATACTCATATGGTTTGATTATTTTTTTTTCTTTGCACAGGTATTAAAAATAGTAGTTTTTATAAAAAGAAATGATATTATTTATAGTATAATAATCGCACGTGATTGCTATTTAAGATGAGTTACGTATGAGAATAGAGAGTTTTTTCCTGTTATAATGGTCCATTTATTTTCCATTAAGCAGTGTAAAAAAATCATTAACCTCTATCATAAATGTGTGTGTATGACCGTTGCGATTAATAATGAATACATTGTAGTTTGTATAAGTTCTTCAAAAATTGAAAGAATTACTATTCGCTCTAATAGCTAAGTAAACGAAAGGAAATTGTTTAGACCTTCCTTCTTTTATAGTTCATTCGAATGCGTGAACAAATCGATTTTCTTTTTTTTTCTATACATATAATGAGTTTAATACATTTTAAAGTTTGACAGATAAAACGCCTATGATCTATATATGTATAATCCTTTCTAAGCCATAAAAATGCGATACTTGTCACATTTTATACACTTATATAATTAGGTAAGTTACTACTTCATTTAAGATGTAAAAAAAGAAACTTTAATCTAAATATAGTTAAAATAAGAAACTTTGTTTTTTTTTATATCTTCAATGACATTCTATGTTGAGCATTTTTTTGGTTAAAATAAAATTTGATATAATTATAATGAGTTTTTATTTATTTAACCTCGAAGACAATTCTTAGTATTACATATTAACTAAATCATAGTTCATCTTAATTACATTTATAGTATCAAATTTCTTTCATAAAACGTATATATGTAGTTTGAGACAATAAAATTCTTGTAAAATTTAGAAAGCTTCAGGTGCACTTTATATAACAAACAACTTGCTAGACGATCGATATTCTCTAAAAACATGTTTTATTATTAGAGTATTACTCGTTTTTTTTATATATAGAATGTTACATTATAAGCTATTCAAATTTCGGCAAAATAAACGATTTTATCTAGTTTATTGATCCTTTATTTTGTTTATAAGTGGCTAAACATTTTAGTTTTTTGCCAGAAGACTTCTTTTTATTCTTCTTCTTCTCAAGAATCATAAATAAAAGACTGTTATGATGTTATAATTACCGAATAGACATAGTTATGTTTTCATATTAAAGTCTTCGTCTAAGGACGAAAAATAATATTTATTTCTTTTTTTTTTCTTATTATAAATTATTCTTTCTCGAAAAAATCTTTTGTATATCAATTCTGTCAATGAAATATTATTATTATTATGAAAATCAATAGTGTGTCTTTCCTTTTGATTAACTTTTAAAGAATATGAATGTTCGCATACTTTGACTATTTACACATTGATCTTCGTCAAATTGACATATGATACTTGAGAAAAAAAAAGGAATCTAATACGCATTAATTGTTTGAACGTATGAAAAGGTTTTCTATTTCTTGATTGTCATGCGTTGGATTATAATAATTGAGTTTCATATTTTTCTGGAGATTTTTATCGGAAAAAAGAAATAAATGAAAATAAAATTAGTTTTCACCTTGTTACTATTCGAACAAGAAACATACAAATTTTTGTTAGTTTAAATCAAAATCTTCGTAGTATAATTTATCTGTCAAGCTTGACAGTAATTTTACTATCTTAGGTTCATAGAAACAACAGTTACTTATCATTTTCTTTAATATTCATATGCATTCATCGTTATTCTTTTCGTTCTAGTACAATGCACTCATCATCGCTATTGTCCTCGTTTGTATAGATAATTAGATAGGTATCTATCGTTACTTGTCATTCGTCACTCGTCGGCCATGAAAGAATATATATACGAGGCCGAACATTCATGGGAGACACAACGTCGACCAGCTGTTGTTGTTGACCATCATCATCGTCAACGCCATCAACATCAAAATAATCACCGTCAACGAAATCTAGGCGGAGAAGAAGCAGCTATGGACGCTGACGCCAGTAGTATGAGTGGTATGTACAAGCTTTTATATTCAGTCGCGTCATTCTATATTTACTTAAAGTTTAGAAGTAAGCAAAAAAAAATAGAAGAACGGCCAATCGTTCTAACTATATGCACTGGTATAGTGTTGTTGTCATTCGTCACATATACATTTATATGTATATATGAGTTGATTACAAATCTATTACAATGAGATTCAGAGTGTTGCTAACAGGCTTGATGTTCATCCATCAATAAAGAATACAAAGAAAGAAAAAAAAAAAGAAAAGAAATCGAGAGGTAGAGACAGGAGAGAACAAAAGCGAGACGATCATCTATGTCTTCGTCATCAATACTAATGGAATGAAGAGCTTGTTTTAGTAATGAACAGCATCAACAAGTTGATATACAACCATCACGTAAGCTCATAGGATATTTATTGTTGAGGATAAGACTTAGAAGACAAATCCAAGGTTAGACTAGATATTCTTTTACTTAAGCGATAATTGCTTTCATGTATATCTATTTCATATATATAAATATATCACTATCGCCAACTGTCAATTTTGATATTTGTTCGTATTGAAAAAAATATGAACAACGAGTATGACCGAAGGATTTAATGAGTAAATCGACAAGACATGATCAATAATGCGTTCAAACTAAGTGTATAAAATAAAAAAAAGAGAGAGAGAGGAGTCTTTCTTACTTTCACTTTATTTCTTTACACTATTTAATATTGTCGAATATGGTCAATGAACAAACTCCTAATGGTGAGTGCACTAATATAAAAGAGCAAAAAATAAACAGGACTTCGAGCATAAGCTATTGATCATTGAATTTCATGATGAACGAACAAACTAGTAATCAAAAAAAAGTGACTACAATCGGTAGTTTTATCTTCGTATATTTTAATATACAGTTGATTTCACTTTAGAAGAAAGTTGTGTATAGATATCCATTGAGTTTATTTCGTGACAGAGTGATAATCACTTGTATATATGTTTGTGTCATCGATGTACAATGATGCAATAGGTACAAATATGTTCGCACGCGTAAGAAATAGTTAAAAAAAGAAAGAAGCACCATATTTGATCATGACTTAACATCGATCGATAAACTCTTGTCATACTCTATTCAATCCGTCGTTATATTTGTATATATATATATCTATATTTATGGGTAAGCATCTTAACAGTTAATTTTTTTTCCTTATCGAAAAAGATGATCGAAAGATAAACGTTGATATATCTATCATTTAGTTCTTATTTCAATTTCTAATTGACTCTTCTCTTTTTTGCCAGCATCTTGATTTATTCTGTCATTTGTATATTGTATTCTCTTTGCGAGCCTAGGCACGACAAAAAAAAATAATCGATAGATATTCTATAACATGGTTAGTTGAAGTGGACATAATAAGCAGGTGGCATAATGCGAAGAGTAAAAAAAAATTCGATGCAACTTTCGTTGAACTAAGGAAATGTAAATTTGATCATTGAGAGTCACTTGTGTTCTCTCACCTATATTCACTTAGGGCTTCCTTTTCGTTCTTTTCACTAGAATAAGTTATATCGTATTGACGGTACACACGAAAAGAAAAAAGAAAAATGAAATCCTTTCTCTGCAACGAAAGCACAAGAATGACATAATACGACTATGAACAATACTATTCTTTGAATACTACGTGATGATTGAAAAACTAAGGTTGTGAAAAGAAGGAAGTCTAAAGAAAAGAACACATATATTCGATTGAACATATAAACGTCAGAGAGAGAGAGAGAGAGAACGAAAAAAAAAGAAAAGAAAGACGATATTGAATAGTCTTCGAGGTTACTACTATTGATGTTCGACGTGTGAAATTACTTCAATCAATTGATTATGACGCTCGACGAACACTTTTTATGTCTACCTAAATATTATGGAGATATCGATGAGAAAAAAAAGAAAACGTTAAAAAATAATTTTATTTCAATCAGCATTACATATTAAATAAGATTAATGTGTAGTCTAAGCCTATTATCATACTTTTTGTCTTCTTTTACATAAGCTAACTGACATAACTGTCTATTGTTAAGTCTAAGTCAAAAAGATTTCATAGATTTTTATATATAAAGGAAATTAATTTTTAGCAATAGAAAAAAACAATATATATATACATATATATTTATGGTTTAGAGTTTCACTTTCGAAGAACAGATGTATAGTTCAAGCTACTGCATGTAACTGATAACGAGTTTCTCTCTCAGGCATAATGGATATTCAGTGAGATAATATCATACATCTGCTGTAAAAAATGAGCATTCATGCTGATTTTCCCAGCGATATGACCGCCGCGGAAATCGATATATTGTTCTTTTCTTCTCTTTTCTTTTCTGTCCAAGAAATATGCACGATTGATTTTTATCGATCCGTTGAACAGCACGCGTATACGGTATACACTTGTTTGTACCAATAGATAAGCAATCATCTGTTCTCTTTCGTTAACTAGTAGACAAGGATAGTAAACATCAGATTATCTTTTCGCTAAATCTCTCCTCCTTCTTTCTTCTGTACTATCCGCCTATTCTTTCTTTTTCTTCTCCTCTGATAAAAAAGGAACACCTACGTTGACTAGCTCGGCAATTCTCCCTTTCTCTGTTCCTTTCATTGCCCTTTTCCAACTAATAACACTGCTGATGATCGATATCTTTCTCCCACTATTGTCTATAACCGTTACTACTATTCCACGGCTGATAAAGAACAAATAGAAACATAATTTGTTTGTTGTTGTTGATGTTATTACTGTGTATGTCGTGTTGCTAGATTCTAATCATATCTAGTCAACAAAATATCGAGCCAAGAATACGATCAATGGAACTAAACAAAGAATAATAACAACAGCAGCAACAAGCCAAACGATCTATTAATCTGTATAAAGACGTTATTAGACAAGAGAATTTACTAGATAATTTCTTTTCATCGATTACCATGGAACTTGTTAAACGATATAGACATCGACGATTTCATAGTCTTAGAAGTAAGAAAATAATTATTTTTCATATATATATACATATTGAATAAAACTGTATCATTACTAATGATCGAAACAAGTGTAAAAATTAAGAATTAATTTTTCAAAAAATAAAACTTTACTTTTACTAAGTATTCTTTTCTATGACCACCTATTATAATAAGTAGAATATAATCAATCTAATGAGAAATTTATATGATCTTTTCCAATTAAAAATCACTTTTCAGTCAATTTGTCTTTTTTTGTATGAACGAAAAGTTGTTAAGAAATTTTTGTTTTTTCTTTTGTATTCAAAAGAAACAAAATTGGAACTCGTATTTAATTATGTGAATATTATTATTCATTCTTAGTTGTTATTGATTTTATAACAAAAATAATGAAAAATGAGCTTCATCAATAATTCAAATGCGCCCTTTCTCTCTCTTCCCACACTGTTGTGTATATATATATAGGTGTTTGTGTATGTATATGTCTGTGTGCATGATCAATAGTTAGAAAGAATAAGTTAAAGATACTATGTCATAGCGGTAAATAATACAAAAACCTGTATGATTGTGATATGTTTTATCTGTCAGCGTGACGCACGAGCGTCGCTCTATCTCATCTTTTGTGCATTTTTAACTAATGAATAAAGAAGAAAGAAAATAGGAGGTGAGAGACAATGACAGTTGTAATTATATGACTGTCGCTTGTTCATACTTATTCTAAAATGTTTATCTTTTATGTCTAGAGACGACGTCCGAGTCGGGCGTCAGTGATCTTGAAACAAGTATGACTGATTTTCGTTGCACATGCTGTCCGTATGGTTATCATTTGGATACTGATTTTATGAAGTTCCTCGACGATATGTATGGACCTGATGTACTGCGTACACTGAAAAAAATTGAACGAAAACGTCATGATGTGCGTCGTCGTTTAATCAATGAACAGGTACGATTCTTTTCTTTTTTTACTGTACATTTATATTTTTCTAGACAATATTGAACTATACATATATTATATGAATGTCATTATTTAACTTGAAAAAAAGATGCAAAAAAAACGAGTGATTGAACATGTTATATTAAATAGATAGAGAAACCCTTTTCACGCTTAGTGTCCTTGATCTTACGTATGTGCTCATTACTTGACCAGGGTTGAATAATTTATTCTAAATTAAACAAAATTTTTGCGCTTGCCACATATCAATCTATAGTTCAATCTTTTACTTTTTGTTAAAAAAATCGAGAAAGAATAGTTATACTGTTCATTTCTTCTTTTTTTGTCATCACTCGAGCATAAGAAGAAGAAGCGCAAAAAAACTTGATTTCAAGAGAAGATGTTACTCTATGAAAACTATTTTTCGAGTGGAACTTCTCCATCATCACCATCATTAAAACATAATTCCGTATCAACTCCTACAGTTTATGATATTTACTTTTTACCACCATCACAGTCACAACAAAATCTAAAAGATGATTATATATCTACTCTTAATTGGCTTGATAATAGTTTTGTGAGTCAATTAAAAACACGTTTTTTTTCTTCTTCTAAATATTTTAAACGTTAAATTCGAAAGAAAAGATTGACAAAATTTTATTGTTTTTATTCTATAGCCTAATCATCCAATTCCTGTTCAATCATGTCCACAACAACCAAATACAAGAAGTTCATCAGCAGTTGATAATGACATTTTACGTGAAACACTCCTTGAACTTGATCGTATTGTTGAAAAAGATATTAAAGAATTGGAAGCTGAATGCCATCGTCATACTAATAATCGAACGCAAACTAATCGTTCAGGACATATACATCAACAACGTTCTCGTTCTGTTGATTCTCGTCGTCATCTTCGTCCACCACCACCGCCTCGACCACCGACCTCTTCGGCTAATGTAGCAACAGCAGGTATTCAATCATCTGCATCTGTATCACGTACAGCTGAAGAACATCGTCTTTATGAACGTCGAATGCAAATGGAAAAAACTATAACAACAAGAACACATTCAGCACCACGTTTAAATTTAACAGCAACTGATACATTCGGTTCATTTCGTAAACTTGATACAACTGGTGGTGGACCAATAACAATGCTTTATAAAATACCTCCACCACCATTTTCACGATCAAGTAGTTCAAGTTCAATATCAACTGAACCAACACTACGTGTATCAAGTCCTGAACCAGATGAACGTGAACCACTTAAACCATTGTATATAACAGAAATTAATGTTCCACCAAAACCAGTTGTACATGTATGTAAACCAATAAAAACAACTGTTGTTACCGTTACAGATAAAACTGAAATTGAACGTCGTAATCGCGAAATTGAACGCCTTGAAAAAGAACGACACATTTTATTAACCGAAAAAGAAACTTTATTAAAAGAAATTGATCGATATAAACATCGACCAGGTAAAAAAATTTTCCTTTCTTTTCTTTTCTTTAAAATATAAAAAATAAAATAAAAATTTATTAGCTATGAAAATTCCTGAACAAAAATCTACATCAATCAATATTCAAACTGATCGTGAACATCTCGAACAACGTCATACACATCATTTACCACCGGCAAAACCATTGACACGTGAAGTAGCTATGCAACATATTGTTGAAGATGAAATACCGCCTCCATTACCGCCTAAACTACGTCAACGTGATGTTGCAATAAGTCATACAACTGAATATGAAGGTGATGATGATGAAAAACAAGCTGAAATTGTTCGAAGAAAATTAGAAGAAATCAAACATTTTTATACAGAACGTATTCATTTTCTTGAAGATCGTATACTTGAACAAGAAAAAGATATTGATCGTTTAACTGAACCAAAACGACAACGACATGTTAATACACAATGTCAACCAAAAATGCAAGATCGATCATTTGTTACTGATACATTTCGATCAGGTAACAAAATTTTTTTTGAAAAATATTTTTATTCTATTGTAATTAATTTAGTTCGAGATGTTGCATTAACTTGTCATCTTCAACCAACATTACCAGAACCTGTTGCACATCGTGATGTTAGTCTTCAATGTAATACAGATGAATTTATTAAAAAACGTGATGTATGGATGGAAGCAATACCTGATGTACCAACAAAACGCGATGTATCAATTGGTGTAGCTATTAGTTTAACATCAGATAAACATTATCGTGATGTTGGTACACATGTAAATTTCGACTTTAAACCTGAAATACGTCAACGAGATGTTGCAATTATGTTTGTACCGGAACCAATACAGAAACATGATCGAGCATCAAATACACAACAAGTACAAACAAGAGAATTTGGAGCTTTTGTTGATACTATGTAAGTTCATTTGAACAATAGAGCCTTGAACATTCTCTATTATAAAAAAGAATGTAATTAATATACAGTAATAGATAGGAACTATTTATTTAGTATAAAAAAAAGAAAAGAAAAGGTCATATGAATACATTCCTTTTTGTTCCTTTTTGACTGACAGATAAAATATTTATTATCTTCTATAATAACAAATTAACAGTTGCTGTTATTTTCATTAATCAAAGTCTTAAGGCAAATATAATAGAATCAAATAACATCATATGGAGTATGTTTTATCAATTATTTTCATGATGTTTCTCGATTAAAATTCCATATATCTCAATAATTAATTATCTTATTATTATTATTCTAGTGAACCACCTAAACTTCCACCTAAACCAATCATGTGTCAAGCTGCTACAGATACACGTAATCTAATCGTACATAAAGATATTGCATCTGGATCAGATGAAACCAAACGTGCACGTGATATGTCAACTGATACATTATCTCTTGTATACCTTGAAGAACGTGCTTGTGGACTTGATTTTCCACGTGAATTACTTTCTCGTCATATTTCAACTGATACACGTACACTTATATCAACACGAGATAATTTTTCAGCAACAATACCTGTCGTACAAACTGTTCTAATGGATGCACATACACAATCAATACCTCCTATTCGACATAATGCATCATCAAATACACAAGCGCTCGCTGAACAACGACATACAGGTGTACAAGTAAGTGTTTTATTTATGAATAGACCGAACAAAAAAATTTATTTTTAATTTAAATTAGGCTGTTCAAGAATTGCCTGTAGTTAAACATAGTACAACATCAACTGAACTTGATATGTTTCATAAATTAGGTCATTTAAAACATAGTGTATCCAATACTGAAACAAAACGATCAACTGATCGTTCAACAGTAACTGATCGTTTATCATCACGTGATCTTGCTGTTAATACTGAACCGAAAATAATGTATTCAAAGGATGTCGGTGATTTTGATGTACGTATTGGTGATGATGATGAAAGTCAAAGAGAATATACTGAACATCAAGAATTTACATGGAATAATTTATATGGACGACGAGCACCATTACATAGTCAATCAACAACATATGAACGTGGATTTCAAACAGATTTAGTTGATACACAACGTGAAGTTGGATATATTGAACAATCAACAAAACATCACGAAGATTCAACTGAAGAACAACGACAAGAAATTATAACATTTCGTTTACCAAAAACATCAGTTGAAACAAAAACAACAGAAGAAACATATGTTTCAACTGTAATGGCAGAAAGTCAAAAAAATAATCAACAATTTGAAGAAATACGAAGCCAAACGAAATATGATGAGGCTGATACAACAATCATTAAAAGTGAACTTACTGAATGGACACGATCATTAGGTGGTAATACAATGAAAACATCAACAGATAGTATAAGACAAGACAAAACACGTTCTCATTCACCTGAAGAACTTGTTGAAGAATCTTATGAAATTGTATCAACACTTACTAAACCACATGATGGAGAATATGCAGTCAATTCAACAAGTACAAGACCAACTAAAACATCTTCACCAACGTCAACAACACATACTTATACTGATATACATGGAGGAAAAGCGGCATCAAGTGAAGATGATAGTTCTTATTGTGAAGAATGGACAGTCACTGAAGCTAAACGTAAACAAGATGGACAAACAGTTCAAACTATTATTGATAGGTATAGAAAAAAAATAAGTTTAATATCGAAATTATTTTTATAGAAAGTATCATTAGCGAACTTTAGATTTTTCTGTACAAATCAAACTTTACAATTAGACTAAAATAGATTAAGAACTTCAAATAGAATAATTTGTAATTCTTTATTTATCCATACAGCGAGAGAAAATATCGTATAGGAAGAGTCAGATCATTTATATATAAATAGAATAATTTTCATAGAAGAATGGCAATTAAATATACTTATTTGTTTCTATGTATACAGAGGTGGTCATCATCGTTATAGTATCGATGCTGAAAGTCAATTTGCTACATTGAAAGATGCAACAATGACTGGTTCAACTCAATTACGACATCATTCAGGGTAAATTAAAACGAATCCCTTTTTTTTTCAATAATTTTATTATTGCTATTATTAGTGATTCAATCAGTGTTAATACCGGAATACAAATTCGTGAACATGAAGAAACAACTCAAGTATCACCATCAGTTGTACATAAGACAACAACGTATGAAGCTTGTCGTACAATTGGTGCCGGACAACCAGCTCTCGGTGTTACATCAACCGGTTTTCGTACTTTTCCATCAGTTCATACTAGTTCTGAAATTCAAACAGAAACAACTGATGAACAAAATGTTGAAGAAAATTATGAAGTAACATTATCATCCTATGATGAATCAGGTTTAAAAATAATTTCATCTGAACCAATGACAACAACAACAACAATTACTGGTGAAGGGTATGATCTATTAAAAAAAAATCGAATATTTGTTTTTAAAAATTCTATATATAGATTTGAACTTGATGAAGAAATGTATATCGCATGTGCTATTGTAAATGAATCACTTTATGATAAGAATGCCGATAAAAAGAAAGTGGTAAATATATATATAGAAGTTTTTGTTTACAGAAAACAAAAACTTTATTTTTGTATTTTAGCATAATTGTCTTCATTTAATACAACAAGAATGGTTTCGTATATCGAGTCAAAAAGACGTGAATGGTCGTTTAGTCGAAAGTTATTTGAACAGTATAAAAGAACATTTTTCAAACTTTTTACTCGAACGTATTGTTAATTTACAAGATGCTAATGTAAAATGAAATATTTAAATCAAAAAAAAAATTTTTTTTCTTTATCTTAATTAGGGAAATACTGCACTTCATTATTCTGTTACTAATGGCCATTGGAATGTTGTTAATATGTTATTAGATACAAAAGTATGCGATGTATGTTTACAAAATAATGCTGGATATACAGGTGAATACATAAATTCTATAAGAAAAATTTCGTTTACTTAATTATTTAATTTATTTTTAGCTGTTATGATGGCTGCAGTTATTGATATAGCTGATGATGATCAAAAACAGACTGTTCGCCGTTTATTCCGAGAATCAGGAAATGTAAATGTTAAAACAACAATGGTAAGATTTTATTGAAATTTATAAATATAATTGTTTCTTGATAATTTTAGAGTAATCAAACAGCTTTAATGCTTGCTGTTAAACATGGAAAAACGGATTCAGTTGAATTATTACTAGAAAATGGTGCTGCTGTTAATTTACAAGATACAGATGGATCAACAGCATTAATGTGTGCTGTTGAACATGAACTGTTGAATATTGTTAAATTACTTTTAACAAAACCTGAATGTGATGTTAATATAGCAGATAATGTAGAGAAACTAATCAAAAAATTTTGTTATTTTAATTATATGAATATGATATTTCTTTTTAAAGGATGGACAGACAGCTGTTAGTATTGCAACGAATAAAAATCGTAAAGATATTTTAGTTGCACTTTATGCCAAAATGAAAGAACGAAAAGGACATCATTCGGTAAGATAAATTTAGTCCTGTCCCCTTTTTCTAGAAATCAGCATGTGTTTTCATGCATTATTCTGTACCTTTTTTTATTTTTGCATCCTTTACATTTATTTATCTATATATCTAAATGTGTGTGCGTGTTGTGCCGGCTTTCTAGGCATTAGGCAGCAAGTCTCGCACCCCATCCAGCTCGACACCGAGCAGATTACCAGCACCTGACAGGTAACATCAAATTATCCAGTAATATGTCTATGTAATTGCTCAATAACATAAAACGAAAAATCAACATGCTTTTCATTTTCTAACAAATATAAATGATGAGAATATATTAAACATAACCAACTAATATATATATAAAGAAAAGTATTTCTTCTTCAAATTAAGTAGTTCATCTGATGTTATAATCAAGATTAATAAACAATATCAAACGTCGATTGATTTTATTAAATATTTCTGCTTTGTTATTTTATCTATTGCATGGATAAGAAGGTTGGCTTATTAACTCTTAACATATTCTAATTTCTCTCCATTCCTTAAATTTATTCTAGTTACTAATTAGCATCTTTGCCTCTTCTTTTTTTTGCTTAATTATTTAGAAGAAAACTAATATTTTGTACTGAAAATTTATTTATCGATTTGTCTAGATCCATCACCACAACTACCACCACCACCACGAGCAGCAGTTCTAGTCGGAAGAAAACAACTGATGTAGCCTCTTCTTCAACTAGACGAAGTGGTGATTCAGATAGTAATACTGGTCCAACTGTATCGAAATTTCGACGTTATTAAACATCTTCTCATCCATTTTTTTTTCTTTTAATACATAGGCTAAATTTGTTTTTATTATTTGATATCCGTTCCTTAAGAAAAAAAAGAGCCTAGTCTTACTCTTATTAGACACATTTTTTTATTGTCAAATAATCAAATTGAAAATACATAACAACTTTGATTATTTGATAATATATAATATTTGCGTTTCTCTTTTTTTGTTTTTACTTCATTTTTTTAATATTTTGTTTTATGTTTGTCAACCATATTGTTTTTATGTGTGAAAAAAAGATGGGTACATATATATATATATATATTAATAGATCAGAGAACATATATATGAAAGAACAAATAAATAAATGTTTTATATAAGTAAATAGTTCAATTCAACAGAAATCTCAAAGAGCATTTTGTTTAGTAATTCGTCAGCGGCGGTTCATAAAAAAAAGTGAAAAGTAGTATTATTTTTTAGGAGAGAAATCTATAGTGGTCAAAGGGGAAAAAGCGATACTTCTATACGCCCATTGTACTTCCTTGTACTCCTATCGTACTCCTCTGCACTCCCATCGTACTTCCTTGTACTTCCTTGTACTTTCATCGTACTTCAAAAAAGTTTTGAAGTAGATGAAGTCTCGCTTTTTCCCCTTTGATAGTGGTTGATCTGTTTGCAGTATTTGTCGAAGTATCTATTTTCAAGGGGACAGCGGTCGCCGAATAGCTGGATCCACCACTATTATTCGTATGTCTATATAATGAATAATATAATCAATTTGCTTATTAATCGATACACATTATTTAGTCTACGATTTTTAGAGATCAAATATAGCGTTCAGACGAAAATCGTTTTTTTAATAAATATGATTTCTATATCTTCATTCGATTCGTATCAGCTAATATGTGATTGATTAGATAATTGTCAACCTTGATTGAAAATTAACTTATGTTATATCACATTTTGTCTATTTAATGATCAAATAAAGAAATCAGATCTAACTAACAATATAATACTATGTCAATTATATTATGTGTGTACATATCTAAATCATGTAATATCTAGTTGTATGCATAAGAATAAGACTTATACATATATATTTGATCAGATTTTTGCATAGATTAATTATATATAAATCTAATATATTGAATGGTGAAGAACACGTAAATAATTATCTTAATAACAATAGTATAAAACTTAAGATAATCATTTGTAAGCAATAGGAATTAATACTTTGATATTTTGTATTAAGACAAAAAGAAAAATAACGTATATAATAGAAAAATAGAGTGTCTATACAAATTTATTTGACTGTTAGCATAAAAATTTTTGTTTATGAATAATTCGCATAGATTTTTATTGAAGCCATAAATACATATCACCATCATTGATACGATATTGATGATATTGTCGTATATTTTGTGCCCATTCAATAAGTTCAGTACTTTTGTTTTTATGATTATCATTTTCATCATCTTCATCGTTGTCATCATCATCATTATCATCATCGTCATCTTCATCTTCATCAACATTATTTGGAAAACGAAAAATAACACTAATTAAAAATTCTTCTAATCGATCAATAACATATTGGCAACTATCAAGATTATCAACTGGAATATCGAGATGTTTTATTTGCGGAAACATTGTACAAAATGGTTCAACATTAACAAAATGACGATAATTATCATGTAATTGCACGATATTCAATGAATGTAAACATTGCAAATATTGAAAAACAGCTGCATTCATACTATCAAGTACAAATGTTGTTAATGTTAATGATTGTAAATTTGCTAAATCATAAATAAAACTTTGAAAAATAAAAGTTGGTACACGTTCTAATCGTATTAATTTAATTATATTGGATAAACACACGAGTGAAGCAATAGAATTAGCTAATTCAACTGTTCGCCATTGTCCATCAAGTATAAGATGAGAAACATGAGAAAAACGAGGACAACCAACAATCTAAATAGATATTGTATAATTAATTTTCACACAAAAACAGAATACAAAATGAAAGTTATTTAAAAGTCATGACACAAAGATTCTCTTGAGATTGATACTATCTGTATAGGGAGTTCTTTTCGAAATTAGAGATAGACTAAGAGTTCTTCTGACCTCGTAGTAGAATAGTGAGAGAGGAAAGAAACAGTTGTTTATCATTATCAATTAGTTATGTTCTGTTAGAAAATCTATTTTTATACAAATAGTAAATTTTGAGACTTTATGAAGAATGGTTTCTTTTACTTCGTAGTTTTCAAGAAGTCAATTATAGAAGGCTTCCTTGAACATTTCAATCTAACTCAAGACTCTTACGGGTTGATAATTAATTAACAATGACATATTCTATGAACTTAGCTATCAAGTTTATAGTTGAATGACATGAAATTTTAAACAGATCTCTCGAGAGGATATGAATGGGTGAATAGCAAACATGTTTATCTATTATATAATAGTAGGTATCTTATTTTATTTCCTCACTATAAAGTTCACATTGTCTTACTCAATTGCTTCTATTAAATCATTCCGATACATATATAAGTTATCAATCGCAAGAAGAAAAAGCACCCTCGAGATTTTCTTTATCTATCATGATCGAATCATTATTCTCTAATAAGTACCTAGAGTAATCTACTTACTTGTTTTCCTAAATTATTCACTGCAGTCAAATTAATACGTAGTTTCGTAACATTTTCCATTGATTGATTTAATAATAATGGATTATGCGGTATTGAAACAAAGATTGTACGATCATAATAATAAGTATTATGTATATATGGTAATGAATAAATAAGTACAGTTTTATTATATTGTTCTAATACAATATTCCAATTTTTATCTTGCCAAAATTTCGTTCGAAATGAAGCTAAATAATGATGAATATTCCATGTATCACTATTTAAATGAATTGTCGATATAAATTCAAATTGATTACAATTACATAAAATTTTCTCCCAACATTCTCCATCTAACAATGAATAATCATTTTCATAGATAGTTTCAATATGAAAATCATATACATTTAAATATTTAAAATATTTTAATTCAGTAAATTGTGGTATTAACCATTCTAATTTATCCATTTCATTTCGAGCATTAACTAATGATAATGAAATTAAATTTGATGTATGTGATAATGGAAGCATTTGACTTTGTTCGATTTCTTCATCTTCATCTTCATCAATCCATTCATCATCCAAATCAATATCATATGCTTGAAATATTTTTAAATTAAATGAATAACGAAGAATATTTCGAAAAAGTGATATATGACAAAGACCAACTAATTTAATTTCATATAAAAAACATTCTCTTGGCCATATAAGTAATGGATTTAAAATTCGATTACGTTCAATATTTAATGAAAGTGTATGTAAAAATTCTTTTCCAATAATTGACATTAAAATATCCATAACAGTATCATTATAATATTCATTTGTATTTTCAATTGAAAGTATTTGTAGTTGATTTGTTATTGAAAGTAAAATTTTTATCATTTGTTCATTGTCATCAATATTTACAAGTGTTAATGATTGAAGTCGTTTTAATGATTCCAAATGAAATTTTTTAAGAAATATTTCAACTAAACCAATATTATCATTTCGATCTGATAATGTTAATGATATAATTTGTTCAGGACGTATTATTGAACAAATACGATGAAAATAATTCATAGAAATTGTTTTTAAATTTAAATTAAATCGATCATAAGTATATATGATTGAATTAAGACGAGTACAAACATTATAAATAGATGTTAATATTGTATATGTATCAAGTTGATCAAATATATAATAGATTAATTCAACCGGTAAATTATCTAATGTTGGTAATTTTTTTCCAGGTTCATTCGATGAAATTGCTGATGGTTCATTCCTTTCAACAGATACGATATTCTGTTCAATAGGATTTGAAGGAGTATAATTATTTATATGATGTTTAAATAAAAAAAATCGACATTGTTTACAGCCCATCGTTGTTCACAGGAACACATGTGTAAATTTCTTTTTATTTTCAATCATATTAAATAACAGTCGGAGAAAAAGAAAAAAAAACTTTAGACTTATTTGAGCTACTTTCTTTTTCTGCTTCGTTTTTCTTTTTCCTCTTTCTTTTCCTTTTTTTTATAGTAACTGTCAGACGATAAAAAAAAGGAACATTTTTGACGTGATTGTTGTTATAATTATAACATGTTGTTTTATTTTATCATGGGAAAGAAACACCTTTCTTTTAAAATAAATGTTGCACATATAAAAATTTTCATCGAAAAAAATAATGACATGATTGATTTATACTAAATAGAAGGCAACTTATTATAGTTACAAATAAAAAAAAATCAACAAAATGATTTTTAATGGATTTATGTTATTACAGAACTATGTAAAAAATTTATTTAGTTAATGTCCTTGGAAAATTGAAATCAAAATGTAATATGCTTGAAGCGAAATAGTAAAAACATACAAAAATTCATTCAATTCAATACAAAATCATTATTAGTTGTTTTATAAAACTATTTCATATGTAATGTATTTCTATTATGCTTGTCGTCAAATGTATAGTAGAATTATGATTTAAGATTCAATAAAAGTATGATTATAAAGAATTATGAGTATATGTTTATTATTCGAAAAAATACAAGGCCGAGAGTCTTTTGAAAAATAGTTTTAGAATATTTTCTTATCGAGTGTATAATTCCTAAAGCTATGTTTAATTGATTCAATCGATTTCAATTATTTTACTTACATTTTGTTAGAATATATATTATATCTTTTACAGATTTTCTTATTATCTAGATCATATTAAGCTTCTATTTTCTAGTTATAATAGAAGCAAACAAAGAAATAAAAATGTATATTTATTTTTCTATCTCGTTGAAATATAATCGATAAATTCAATTAGTTTTTATAAGATTAAATTTTGAAAAAACTTTCCCTAAATCTCATTATCACGATACTGAATAAATTATTTTTACTTTATAATGAATAAAAAAAAATATAATTTAAATTGATTTCTATATAACTCATTAGTAGATTTAAAACTAAATTGTCTATCTCTAATCAAGTGTATTGAAAAATAATAAAAAAATTATATTATATCATCCGTATAATCTATTTTGTTTCCTGTGTAATCAAATATAAATTTACGGATAATTAGTCGTTTTTCTTTCTTATTATAAAAAAACAATCAATTAGTTATTAGTATTCGGAAGTTCGATATATTCCTTATTTTGTTTTTTCCTTTAACATTCTGTCTTACTGTCTTATTATAAAAGATATCAATCATGTTATATATTGTTTATGATTTTTCTCAGCTGTTTTTGTTCTAGGGTCATTGTGATTTAATGAAATAGATAATGTAAGATATCTCGACTAAAAATATAATTTATCTTTACAATCTATTGTGAAACAATGCGTATTATTTAATCAACATAACTTATCTTTTTTTGATATATTCCCTAAAGGATAATATTTTGTCGTCTCATTTGAATTTGTTTTTACTGACAAAGAAAGATTAAAAATATGAAAAATGATAAGTATGTTTTCGTGATAGTTGAAAATCAGTTAATGGAAGATAATTTCGAATGAAATTTTACATATGCACAGCATCCGAAGATTAATGAAGGAAGATGAAGATTTTTCTTCATTTTTGACAGACAAGAAAAAGGATAAGAACCATTTGTTGATTAGAAAAGTATTCTATTCGCGTATATATATATATATATGTCATTATCAAGGGGTTCGTAAACATTAAATGATAATATTTGTTTTATTTCAATTGAAATTCAATTTCGAAGAGAAAAACCAGACTTAATTGTTGATAATATGATATTATTGTTATAGTTAATGTCGATCTTTAGCTAAGTGGTACAGTAATAATCGAGCTGTCAATATCGTTTAGTTAAGTAGTCCAAAAATGATATTATGAAACAATATTGCTTAAGTGTAAGTATCTGTAGAGTAGATTATATATGTTTTTTTCAGCATGTAAATAGGCAAAATGTTAAATTTTTTAGCAAAATAACCTTTGTAATTAATATATCATTAACATAATGATATATAAATCGATTATTAATGTATACAAACGGATGAGCGTAGAGAGAGAGAAAAAACGAGATTATTTTATCTATTCGGATAGAAAATAAGATTAGTTTTTTTTTCATTGTTAGGAAATGAATAGATGTTGATTTATCCGATAGATTTATTTTGATAATCGAAATTGTTTTTTTTTGATTGGATGGACAAAATCCTACCGAGCTAGTCATCATTCAATATTGATTGATGTTCGTTCGATAGAGCCGATCTCGCTATTGAATATGTCAAGCAGTATCTTTTCTGTTTTTTTGTACTTATTCTAGCCCTCCTAATTTCATATAGAATATGATGGATGATAGTTATACTTACTACTAATGTCTAAAATTCATGTGTTTCATTAGAATGGTTCTTTTTTCTATATTTCTATATATATATATATATATATGAAAAATGTTCTTTTTCTATCGTATTGTGTTATTGATTTTGTCAAAATCCAAATAGAAACATGAGATCTGAGATATATAACCTTTATCGTTGTTTCACTACTTAATAAACGCCTGTTAATGAAGTCAAGACATTACAAACAATAAATCCAAATATCAACAGCTGGTTCTCTACAGGCGACTTTTTCTCTTTCTTGAAGTATTTGTCTGTTGATTTCGCTAATTGTGATCAATTCAACATACGTCTGCTTCAAGCGTTAAGATATATTCGTGTAGATATTCATTCTTTAGAATATTTTGGCTTGCTATCCTCCTGTGGAATATCTGAATACCATTTATCAGACAAAACATCCACCATATAATAAGTGTGGTATTATCTCCGTACAAACGATCTAATTGCGTCTATTCGTGCGTCGTTAAAGAAGAAGGACAAGAAAAGATAATCGTCAATAATATTTGTAGCAATAAATAACATATATTTTTGTTATCTTAACTGACTACAACGAGAATTTTAGTGTATTTTATACGTCAGCATTTAGATATATATTTGTCCTTAATTCTAAGTGTTACTCAGATCGATCAAATAACACCTGCAATTATGGAACAATATCATAGGTAATTTTCTCTTAATAGAATATTTTCATTTTTAAAGATTTTGTTTCTTTTATTATTATTAATAATAATACTATTATAAGCGTGAATAATCAACAGTACTAATTTGATTTGACTAGGATCTTTGCTTGTTCAGTTTATAATTATAGACTTGTTTCTTTTCAAGTTAATTCATTAGGGATTTTGAATTTGCATGTGATTAAGAATACGATAATTCGGCCTATTTTTTGTTGTTCTTCTTATTTTCTTTTTGTCTATATTACATTGAAGGACATCATTTCTAGAAAACAATCTATCAATAGAATCAGCAATAACATCAGAATTACCAAATTGATTTTTCTTTTATCTCAGTTATAACATTCAAGCATTTTACCGTAACAAATTAAGGTAAAAGGAATTCTGTTCTTATGTCAATCAATAATATCATATTGTTTTTTTGTTTTGATTCATATGGATTTTTAATCGAAAAATAACAAATATTATGCATAGATTATATATGATGTTTTCTAGCTATATTTTAATGAGCAAATTTAGCTATTCCTTTTAGTGTTGATTAGGCTAGTTTATATATGAGTAACAACCGATCGACGAATATGTATGCTGTATTGTGCTTGGTTAACTATGCATTCTTTTTTTTTCTTCTTCTTCTTATTATTTAAGTTCAATTAAAGAAACTTGAAAGCAAATACTCGTTTGTTGTTTTTTTTTTTGCTTTTCTGACTAGAAGTTGACAAGACAAGACATTAATTGTCTTTTTTGATAGTCTCATAGTAGTAGAATCATCGAATTACTTTCTAGATTTTACCTTAATCAGTCATATAAGATCAATAGGAAGAGAACAGTAACAGTCTAGAAAATTATCCGGTAATGAAATTGTGTTAGTAGATGTTTTGATAGAATGCTCTGAGCGTGACGTTGAGATTATGTGAATGTAACACGAGCTGATGAAGATGTGTGCATTCAAACTACAAATATTCATTCACACATGCTAGAAGAATTTCCTTAAAACATACAACCATCGCGGAACAAAAAAAAAAAAGAAAGAAATCGTCACAATCATTATTATAATCTCGTATATAGAAAATGGAGGAAACGAGCGAATAAGAACTAAAAAACAAAGTGAGAAAGTCGGTGAAAGAAAACTGGTTTTTAACGTTAAATAAAAGAAAGAAAAAACAGAAGAAAGAATAAGGAGTAGAGTGCATGTGTGTATATATGAGAAAACTATCGCACGACGTACAACAGAACGAGTATTCTTAATAAGCAAATTACTGTTCATCTTTTAACGACCTAAAAGAAAACTCTCGTTGAGTATTTTTTTTTTCATTCAGCTGTTGTTCACGCAGAACAAGCATGTATATCTATGCCCAAAAAGAAAATCGAGAGACACACAGAGAACGAGATAGACTATAAGAGACACAACAAAAAATAAGAAACATATGACATTTATTGAACATGACTGATATTTTATCCTAGTTTGTTGTGGCGTGTTCGAAAGTAATTTTGATCGTACTTTGCTATTGTAGGCCACATATAAATTTCTATTTGGCTCATGTCGTCTTCAAGCCATCTGACTGTGGCTCAAACCAAGGAGACCAAGGTCAATAAGCGTCATAGTAGTTTTAATTTACGTACAACAACACCTTCGGAAAACGTTACATCGGATACACATCGTTCATCATCTCCGAAAATCAATTCCAATTATCTTTATTATGTAAACGCTGAACCTGCTCGAAAACAATCAATAACAGTTACACATACGATATCACCAACACCATCATTTACAGGAACATCTTTAAATGTTCGTCGAAAATTAAGTGCTATTTCATTACCTGTACCTTGGTATAAACGTACGCGTTCACCTAGTGACGATAAAACATCAATTGATTTGTTTTCAAAGCACGTAAAACAACAACAACAACAACAAAAATCTCATAATCCTCATAAAATGTCGAGAGATCGTCTGTTAACATTAGATAGATTATTCAGTAGCGTTACACATACCACACAGTCGACAAATGATGATGAAGCTACATCACCAATAACGGAATTGACAGCACTCGATACATCAATAAAATCTAGCGAAAAATCTGTGAAAACAATGAAAGAAAACGGTTATATAAATAATACACATCTAATGACCAGGTGAGAAAATGTTTTTTTTTATTCTAAAAAAAATAATCAAATTAAATGTAAAAATATGTCGAGCATAGTCGATGAAAGACATCTTTTCTTTTAGAAGAGAATAAGATTGATATACATATTTATCATATATCGTTACAAACAGTTATATGGAAGTGAATCAAGCTGTTGTCATATATAGAACATCTGCTTGCTCTCTCGCTGTTTCCATATTTTTTATATAGCATAAAACCATAAAACACTTATCCGTTTCTGTTGTGTTGACATCCGATATAGAAATGCTATTACTCTCTATTCTCTATCATTAAGATATAAAAGTAGAAAAAATAGTTTGTTTACTAATAAGGATACAGTCATTTACTTGGTTTTTCTTTTCTTATCTATTTTCAGGCTGCAGTGCACAACGAAAGGTACGAAAGCGTTACGCCTTCTAGGCGATGGTGGCGTAGCGAATAATTGTGATAAAAAGTCTGATCATGCATTCTATACAAAAGATTCTATTCTATCTAAAGTTGCTGCACGTGGAAATAGTCAACGTCGACTTTTACTAAAAAATGGTGAAGTCAACATTTCCAGGTAACTAATTAACTTTGTTCATTATTATTCACGTAAAGAAAAAGAAAATAGGAAATTGCTCCAAGAAATATGAATGTATGTTTATAGACGAAAGAATAAAGGACATCGAACTTTACCACTATATTTCATTAGGTTTTAACATATAAACCTATAAGAAAAATAAAAAGAATCATAGATAAATGTTAAAAAAACCTCAAAATCGAGAGAGGAAACAAAAATAAATGGATTAACCATTCAGCGTAAATAAATTTCCGATTGATAAATATAACATTTATTTGTGTGAGACTTAAGAAGAAAAGAGAAGTACAATCATCAATCATAGATTCAAGTAGTTGTTTTTCTTTTCGAAAAATAATAAATTATCTTCCATTTGACAGTCTAATAGAAAACAAACTATTTTTATTTGCCTTTTCTCAGTGGTATATTTAGTTTGAAAATATATGCATACTTTTTTCTCTCTGTCAATTTTAATATTAACTTACATCTTTTAACAAATTCCGCTAAAGTCAAATCAATTAGAGTAGAGAACAAGTATATATATATATGATCCATTAACATATCCTGAACATGTCTATATTCAATTACGGATAGTTTTTTTTTGAATATATAATTATTTATTGACGTCATTGTTACTTTTTATTTTTTTTTCAAAAGGTTTGACATAATAAATTGGATAACATGATATTTAATAAAAACCTTCTTTCAAATAAGAAAAATACAACTAATAAAACGCTTACATCGTTATTATTCAACAAAATTATAAATTGATATATTTTCTTCTTAAATATAAGTAGTACTTAGACTTTTCCGTTCTTTTCTAATATTTTTTTTCTTTCTATATCTTGATTGATCAATGAGTAAAACGAGATCAAGTGACACGAAAGAAAAAACTATATCATGTCAATCACTTATTTCAATATTTTTCATATAAATCATTTTTAAATTTTAAGAACATTTACATCAAAAAAAACACGCACCCATAGAACTTTTGATTAATATCAAAACAAAGCCATGTAAAAGAAAATATCAAAAATATTTTTATTATTGTTTTTCAATTTAATAATCATAATCATTGTTCAGGAAATCTTGAATAAATAATAGACTACATACGTTACAAAAATAGCATTTTCTAGTTGAGTACATTCAATTACATTTAAATTAATTTTATACTTAAATTAGCATTAAGAAAATTGTTTCTATTTTTGAAAAAAAGAAGAATCTGTAGGTTATGACTGTTAAAAATAGATGAAAGAAATCTTTGATAAAACGTTTCTGATTTTTCTAATCCATATAAAGAAAACCTAGATATACTAATGAAAATTTCTAATCAAGAACTTGTTTATTTGAATTAATAGATGCATCTAAATTATTTCTTTTTTAATAATATAGATTTAATATTGAAAAACGTCGTCGGCAATATCTTGCAGATATATTTACAACATTGATTGATTTAAAATGGCGTTATACATTATTTTTATTTACACTTGGATTTTGTTTAAGTTGGTTAGCATTTGCTTTAATATGGTATTTATTAATGTATATACATGGAGATCTTCTTCCAGAAGAATATCAACAAGCAAATTATACTGCATGTGTAGCCGGTGTATATTCATTTGCTGGTGCAATACTTTTTTCAATTGAAACACAACAAACAATTGGTTATGGTACACGTGTTGTTAAAGAAACATGTTATTTTGGTATTATTATTATAATGATACAATCAAGTATAGGTGTTCTATTACAATCATTTATGGTTGGTGTTGTATTTGCAAAAATTTCTCGACCTAAAAAACGTACGGAAACATTAATATGGTCACGTGAAGCAGTTATATGTTTACGTGATGGACAAATGGCATTACAATGTCGTGTTGGTGATATGCGTAAATCACATATTGTTGAAGCACATATTCGAATGTATTTAATAAAAAAACGTGTTACATTAGAAGGTGAAATATTACCATTACATACCTATGATATGAATGTTGGATTTGATAAAGGTGTTGATCGATTATTTTTAATTTGGCCATTAGTTATTGAACATATTATTGATGAACAATCACCATTATATGAAGTTAGTCGTGCGGATTTATCTAAACAACGTTTTGAATTAGTTGTTATACTTGAAGGTATTATTGAATCAACAGGTATGACAACACAAGCACGAACATCTTATTTACCATCAGAAATCTTATGGGGATATCGTTTTGAACGTTTAATTACATTTCAACGTGATGATGGTTTATATCGTATTGATTATTCACGTTTTAATTTAAGTTATCCAGTTGATATGATAACATGTAGTGCTAAGGAATTAAAAGAATTACATGAATTAGAAAAATGGCAAGAAAATAATCCATATCACAATCAGGAGTGAGTCATTTAATAGTTTTTATTGAAAAAAATCTATAAAATGAATGAATATATATATTCAGAAAATCTGATAATTCTGCATCAGTGCCAAATACAGCCGCAACAACAGCATCGTCTTTTGTTTGGCAAGAAAAAAAGGAGAGCACTTTGTGACTGTCACCTTGATACACATATCCAGTAGTTTATTTTTGTTAGTATAATATTTAATTTTGTGTATATCAATAAGTTTTTTTTTTGTTTTTTGTATTTTAGGTGATAGCACAATTGTACATAATTTAAAATAAACAGTGATTTGGCTCAAACTCGGTTATAATCGTCATTTTTTTGTTTGTTTGATTTCTTTTTTACCTGTCAAATTATATAAACGGTGGTTAGCTTTAAATAGATATTATTTTTCCTTGATGATTTTTTTTTCTCTCTTGTTAACAGATTTTTTTTCTCTCTGTTTGTTTTTCTTCCTTTGAATAATTCTATATGTTTTATCCTGATGATTGCTGTGCACATTACTGTGCAAATGGATTGTATATATATTACATGTGTCGATTTACAAGAAATTTGGTAGAGAAGAAGATCATTAACTATGAGTTATATAATATACTAAAGAATCTCGTAGTTCTTCAAAGGAAAGAAACATGCAAGTGTTTTTGAGTACGAATATATGACTTATGAGTATTATTATTCCGACTAATAGGTCGTTTTATGAGAATTTATCGAAAAGAAAATTATTCGGCACGCATAAATATTGTTTAATTATGAATTGATTTTTTTTGCTCTGTATATCGATAGTTTCGATCAAATAGTAATATTTTTTTCTAATGATCTCGGTAAAAACTAGTAATACTTATTATTCAACTGTATCATTTTTCCATGTCATTGAAACATATGGAAATATTTCTGTTGACTTTTATTTATTATTCTTAGTAAGGCTATTTTGTATATTTATTTAAATAATCTGATGGATTATATGTCGCAGCTAATGTAATCTTTGTTTTCTCGTTGTCGTATACACTAATCATTGTAATAAATGTGTTTTTTTGTTCGGTCTAGAATCAGCTTACAATATAAGCTAGTGAATAGAAAAAGGAAAGAAACAGGCATCTACTGAATAACACTGTAACATAATATTGTGATTTGATTTATCGTATAGGAGTAGTTGAAACAGCAAAAACAACAAAACGATTAGGGTAACTATTATAAGGATATTATGGGATAGACATCTGATAGTATACAATCTACAATTGTCCTTGGAATTCATTGAAAAATGTTTTGTTGGTTACAAAACAAATAAATGTCAACGAAAATAAACTATCGAATAATAGTAGTTTTAAAACAATATAGAATATATTTAATGATCTCAATGTGCAAACATTATTTATATTCTTTTAGCCATTATGTAAAAAAAACTATTTATGAATATGTTTTTATACAATGATATTATACAAATAGTATATAACGAGTCGCTTTTTTTGTTGACTTCACAAAGACAAATTTCAATAGTTTTTGTACAATATTCAATATGTTGCTTTTGTATATGATGATGAAATCATTAAATAAAGGTTCTTTTGATGATTTTTAAGAATTTTTGTTTATCTATTTATACAAATAATATTTATTAATTAAGGAATAAATGCTTTTGAGCTATTTTTTTTTCTTCGGAAGAAAATGTATAAGTTAGTCATAATGACAAGAGTGTATCGTAATTAAATAGTTGACTTTATTATTGTGATTATGAACTAAAAGGACAGAGATGAATAAAAATGGGTAGGTAAGAGAAGAAAAACACATCAACAAGAGTTAGAAAGAATAAATATAACAAAATAAATGAAGCTTCCATTTGAAAATAATAAGATTTTCAGTACAATGATATGTTTATTGTTATAGTTTCGATATCAGTTTTGGCATATTTTTCTTTTTCTCTTCATTTTTGTCCTTTTTTGTATTGAAGTATGCTATCGGCGTTGCAAAACCTACTGCAGTTGCGGTGGTATAATAAGCTGCTGCCCCTGTTGCACTAGCGCTCTGCACGAAAGCAAAAACACCTGGAAGATAATGTGTAGCTTGCCACAGAGCTGCAAATGAACCTCCTATGATAGTAGCACCTGAAAATCCAACTCAACTAAGTAATTTAGGAACAGCACCTAGTCCAAGAAGAGCGGCCCCACCATTGTAAATAGCAGCTTTTTTTGCAAAACGTCGCAAAAATGAATGCTGCTGATCGTTATCACCAGTCAATTCATTATTGTTACTAACAGTCGTACTTTCACTATCGTGTTTCATAGTTTCCATTTCTAAAACAAGGATGTGTTTGACATTTTACCTGTAGTCATGTCCTTCACATGGATTGAAGTCAGTGTTTTACAAGGATGAGAACGCTATGAGTAAATAAGGTGAAGACACAAATGTATAGTAGTCAATTGCCATACTTCAGCGAATTGTAAAATAGCTGGACCTATAGACACTACTGTAGAGGTACACGAAATTGTAGAATGAATAAAAGAACCGTATAACGACATCTTCATAGAGATAAGAAAACATTTTTATAGAAAATGCTCCTCCGTAGATCCTTTAAAATGTTCAGATATTTATCACCTACTGATGCAGAATGATGCTATGGCTAATATAAGATATTGTTACAGGCCTAGATACTCAACTATTCAAGCAATTGATTTCACTTTTTCAATATAGAAACACTTACTATCAAAGACAATTTATAAAGCTCACACAGTATGATGGAAAACAAAACATAAACTTTATTACTCAAATTTTAAATCAAAATAAAATTGATCCTATTTCATATAACCTTTTTATATCTCAACCTATAAGAGTGCAGGTTGTATGCTGATCTAAAACAGGAGGATACTTTTGCCCGGTAGTGTACTACCGGTCGTTTATTGTTTTTATATGAAATACTTCTAAATATCTTATAGCAGACAAAGCAACTAAAAATATTAAAAACTTACTACTTTTTATTATTAAAACTATTATAATCTTTATTTAATCTAATTATAATAACCCTTATGTATTCCAAAGCATATTTATTTTAAAAGCAACAAATACAAGAAAACAAGCATATAGGAAAAAATAATTTAATGAAGCACAAAAAAATTAATAAATATCTATTTTCAAGCATAATGATTATTTATCTCCATTTTAGCCTTTTGTATTTTATCATATAGAAATTCTGGTTGTGAACGTATAACTATTTGAGAAGTACGGCCTGGTTGTATTCGTTCTTTATTTAATAAATTACTTCCATTAGTATCGGTAAATGTAGGATTGATTGCAGTTGATGCTCCTGTTGAATCATTAGTTGATTGTGTTGAAGTAAAACGAAACTTAACAGGACGTGCTAAACTACTAATATTTCTTGTACCTGAATCGCTAGTTGTCGAAAGAGCTGTATGAGCAGATATTGAATGAGGACGTTGATGAAAACCACGTTGAATAAAAAATGTTTGCCATAATTCTCGTTTCGGTTTCGATAAATAAACATGAAAAATAAATATAAGAAAACCTTGAAGAGAATTGCTTATACAAAAAATTAATTGATGAATAAATGATGATCGAATAAGTACTAATATACCAAATGCCCATGTACAACCTAAATAAAAAATAAATATATGTATCTATATTATAGATTTATTTAAATAATTTACCAATTGAAACAAAACAACAAAGAGCTGCGCCCACTTGTAATTTCGATCGATTATTTTGTTGTGTAGGAATTGTCGGATCACTTTGAAAAAGACTTTGTAATATAAATAAAAAGAGAATAAAATTACAGAAAACAATAAGAGATATTGGTGCAAGAAAAGTAGTATAAAGAAGTATTTCATTATTAATCCAACATCGTGTTTCTCCTGTATAACCACCATTTGTACCAATTGATATAACAAGAATAGGAAATATTAATGGTAAAATCCATCCAATAACATTAACTTTAATCAAAAAATGTGAGATATGTGTATTAAATATCCGAACAAAGTACATATATTGAATAGAAGCCATAATTAACATCCACATAAATGATGTTGTTATAAAATAATGAAATAAAAATCCTAATATATTACAATAACTAATTTTTTTTGTTGCTAATTCATGTGGTTTAATAAGACTAAATGGTATATAAAGACAATTAACAAATAATATTGATAAGCAAAGCATAAATAAAGAAGAATGTAAATGATTTTTCTGTAAACATCTAAAATAAAAATCAATTTAAAATAACATAGAAATATACAATTAATTCTTACCGAAAAAGTATATAAGTAATTAATGTTATAACAAGACCAAATATTGATAGACCAATACCGATATATGTTACAGTTGTCAGTATAAACGATTCGACATATGATAAAGGTTCTAGAGTTTGTTCAGATTCAGGAAGCTATATAAAGAAAAATTTGTATGAGATAGTGGCGGATTTAGGATTTTGGAAGGGAGGGGCGACACTTGGGTAGAGAAGGGCGATACCTAAGGAAGGGGAGGGAGGCGATTTTGGCTAAAAACTATTTTCTGAGTCCAATCGAAGTAGTGTGAACCTATTTTTTCGTTCATTTTTGCCCACCTCTAAATCCGCCACTGGTATGAGATGAAAGATGACAGGCGAAATAATCACTGAATTATATAGCGATTCTCATTTCTTTAGCGGACGTCTTTTTATATATTATTTAGATGTCTTAAATTATTAATTTTATGATTTATCTACTTTTTTTTAACATACCATAAGTAATGCAAAATGAGTAAGATGATTACAATAACACTGAGCATAATCATTTTTATACCCTGCGAAATGACATCCATTATCTTCTATCCATGAACCATTATTTTTATCAAATGACCAATAAACACATGATATATTACGTGTTTGAATATCCTATTAAAATTTAATAAAATGATCTATATTCAACAAGATGATTTCTTACTTTTGGCACACGTATTTGAAATCGTACAAAATCTTCATCGATTTTAATCGTTGTCCAATTAGCTATTTGATATGATATGGGTGTTCCAAGTAATCGATTATTATTTATCTGTGTAGTTTTATTCGTTTGTAGAAATAGATTAAAATTCGAAAATATGGTTTCAATAATACAATAATTATTAGTTAATTCTCGTAATGCTCGTATATTAAGTTCAATAATACTATCTGGATGATGCTTATCTTGAAATAAAAAAAGAATAAATATATTGTTTTTTTCTCTTCAATAAAATATACCAGATTTTATCGTAAACCATTTACTATCATCTTGTTGAGCAAAATTTACATTAACTAATGATGTCATCATATTTTCATATTTAAATGAAGTACTTTGTTCATTATTTATTTCAATTTTAACTGGAAATAAATCAATAAAATGAAGTAATCTATATGGAAAGATAGAATCATTTGATAGAAATAAATCAAAAATTCTTACTTATTTGTTACTACTTTTAATGAATTATCTTCAACTTCAATTTGTCCTGTAATATTAACAAGATGATCGACAATATTTAATACATGATTTGCTTGTTCAGTTGTAAATGAAGGTAAAGCAAGTAATCCTTCAAGTGCTGCAGTCATTGATGCCATAGCATCTAGATTAGGTTCAATAGAACCTTCAAAATTTGAAAATAAATTTTTTAATAAATCATTTTCTTCTGTTTCAGTTTCATTAAATCCCATTATTGTTGCAAAATATTCAAATCGCGTTGAATTAATTGGTTTTAAATCTAATAATTAAACATATATATATATATATTCTATATATCAAAAAAGGATGATTAACCATTGATTTGACATATAGCACCTAATGTTGCTTTAACACATGGAATATCATTTAATCTTCCTATGTCTTCACTTGAACCATTTTTACGTGGACGTGCAATAATCTCAACACATTGTTCACCTAATTGAAATTGATTTACTCGATGATTATTTGGTTCACCTTCATTCCATACTGTAACTTTCTAATTTTTTTGTAGGTTACACTTATTTTAAATAAAAAAAAACAAATAATTAACCTTTTGCCCATCTGATCCAATATAACAAAGAAGACTGGCATTTGCAAAAGATGTTTCAGAATATTCATCTCCACACTATATGGAAAAAGAATGACAAACAATAGTAGATGAATATTTTTCTTTTTAACCATTGAAGTACCACTTTTTTAAAATTCCGAATAACTTACGAATGCAGAGCGATGACGAAGTGTGGCTTTCACTATTACATGAAAGAGACTTTCACGCACATATTTATATAAGATTAAAAACCCTACTGAGTTAGTTTTTGGCTCCCATCTGTATACCTCCGAGGAAATGATTAAAATATTTTTTTAAAGTGTCGATAATATCCACTGCTCATACGAACTATCAAGTTCTAAAGAGATTTCGTCTATAGGTTGAATCATGGATCTCAAGGGGTTAAACATATATATAAAAGAAAAAGACAATTGATATTACTCTTTTTGAAATATTTAGCAAACTAATCATTTGTACCGAGAGAAACGTTGATGAATATGAGAATATAATCCTATTTGAACCTACATCTGTTTCACTTTGTGCCCATGTTACATTATTAGACCATATCCATTTCGATGATGATAGACTATCTTCATCCATCTGTCGTTTTAATCCAATATAAAATCCTCGTGTTTCTGGACATTGACCTTTACATGTTGTATTAACTGAAAAGAAATTTTAATTAATATTCGTAAGAATAAAGTCAAGTTCTTTTTACACATATTCATTTGTTTAAGTCGTTCAAGTAAACGCATATTATCAATAATAGCTAATTCAAGTCCATGTTTTCGACATAATTGTTCAGCTTGTTCATATCGTAAAACTTCTGTGATTCTTATATAACACACACGTTCAAATTTTTGTACAAATTTTAATGTTCGTAATGGCCATGGTGGATACAATGGATTAACACAAGCCGATTGTTCTATGAAAGAATTTTTCGAAATAAAAAATTGTTTTTTAATATTTTTCGAAATTACCATTTTGTTGTTGACAATCCATTGTTTCTGCACAATATTGTGAACAAAATGGAGATAATACTTGACGACGTTGTGAAAATTTTTGTTGTTGTCGATATTCATCGAGACATAACTATAAAGTATAAAAATATCAATAAAAAGAAAAGACATCAATTTACTTCACGAGTTGTTTCAATAGTTTCTCTTGATTGTTCATATTTACTTCGAAAAGAAATTTTTGTATTTAAAAATTTATTTGAATCTTTTCGATCGATTTCATACGTATCTATTTAGAAATAATATTTATATATGACAAAAAAAGAAATTTTTCTTTCATCTTACCTGTTCCTATTAATAACAAATGAATGATTTGTATAAAACATAATACGATCATTTTATTATTAAACAATCGGTTTTTTTCTCTATCAATCAATATGATATTCTAAAAATCCGGAGAAAAGAACAATTGTGACAGTCAATCTTCATCGAGTGTTTTTTTTGTATTATTCTCATGAGAATATAATGTAATATATGTTTGTAAGACTATTTTTATTCTATCTAGGTAATATATAAATATATATATTGTTTTTCTCATTATCTGAAATTTATAGGAATGCTTCTTTTGGGAAATCAATACGTCTGTAGTAAAATAGACTGTTAGGTGTTTTTGTGTCCTTCAATATATTTAAAATGTTAAAGTTTCTCATGAGAATGTGTCTGATGAATAAACTAATTCATATTCTGTTCTTTAAATTATTAGTACGAATATATTACAAGTTAGTTTTCTTTTTCGTAAATCCGATAGACTTACTTTTGATAGTGATTAGTATGAAATGAATTATAGGATGTTATAAAATCCCATAAACATTTGACGTGTCATGGAAGAAGAATACTAATGAGGGTATAGTCATTATAATTCCACGATTCTTTCTTACTTCGAAATAACTGAATATTAAGTATAGAAATGTCTATGAAGATTTTATTCAATCAAGATACTTCGATTTTCATTATGGATATGTTAGAGAAATCGATCCAATGATCAAAGATTTATATCGAGTATGCTGAAATAAATCTAACATTGTTTGTTATGGGAATATGTTTGCACAAATAAATGATAGAATCCTGATTTTCTTTTCGTTCAAATGATGAACTGGGAATCATCGTTCTACAACAATTATATGATAAAATCCCTATTGATTTGTTTCCTTGATTTTTCTTTTCATAGTCATAATCAAAAACATATATATATGATAGTAGTGTTTCCCACGCTCCTATGTTTAGCATAATAAAAATGTTCCTCACGACATTTTTATTTTACAATAGGGATTCGTTCATTCTTTTGTTGAGCTTCTAATGATATATATTTTCTAGACACAAACACCAAGATCTTATCGTTTTCTCAAGTCGAAATGTATATAACGTAAACAAAAAAATCTATCAAACGTGCTTTTCTTATCAGATGGAGTTGCCATTATAAAATATGGAAAAAATTTCAAGTAATGAACAGATGTTATGCAGTATCATTTCTATTAATGAGAGGTTTCTCAATTACAAGAGTAAATGAAATATTACTCCTCTTTGAAAGTAGTCATCTAATGAGCACATATACTTACAGATTTACGTTAATCATCATCTAAGTTAATATCCTTTGTCTCGTGTTATCTACATTAGATTCATTCATTAAATCAATGAGTAGTACGTGAATCTCATTTCTTGTTTTCGATATTTTTTTTTCTTCGTTTGATAAATGAATACAAAAACAAAATAAATACATGCATTTTGCATATATGTATATATATATGTATAAATATATGACTGAGTCTCAGAAACAAAGAATTCACATACAACCGGAATATAGAAATGTACATTCACTGGAAAAAAAGACTCTTTCAAAAACAACAATTAAAATAAAATACGAACAGATCAACATAAAAGATAAATATATTTTCAAATGAGATTAAAATCACCATTTTGCTTTCGTTGACTTTTTAATAGGTCCACTAGGTTCAATCATATGCTGTAATTTAGCCGGAATTTCACTTGATGTTGTTGGTAATGGATATTTATCTTCTGAATTTGATGGTTGTGGTTTTTCAAGTGGTGGTGTAAATCTAAAAATAAAATAATATTTTTATTGAGTGATAAACATTCTTTATTATTATAATATAATAAACCTTAATAAATCTTCTGCAGTATTTGTATCATGATCACCATTAGTCAGTTTGGAATGAGATTTTTTTGAAGGTTTCGACTTTTGTTCAGATGGTACAGTTTCTATGATTGGTTTAACTTGGATTTGATTATTAGCTGCCGCGTTTGCTAATTTAGCTTCTTGAGCGTCACGTATACGTTTTTCACGTTCTCGTGCACTTTTTTCAGCTAATTTAACTAATTCTTTGTCAAGACTAGAAAAAATTAATAAAGAAAATAAATTTTTCAAATAATTTTTGTTTTATTCATAAATACCCATGATTATTTTCTGAAATAACTGGTGCTGGTAATTCTTTGTCAAAACCAATTTTTCCAGTAAGCCAATAGGTTGTATAATTACCACGTCCCTATTATAAGAAAATATGAATAAATTAATTTCTTTAATTAAATTTACTTTAATTTCTGTAACACCACGATATTCTAAATGAAAACCACCAATTTCTTCTAATAAAGCAGCAGTTGTTTCACTCGAATGAATACGATAAGCTAAAAATTAAATAAAAATATCTACTGATTTCGTTAATCAAATTCTTTAACATACCCATGCCAGTTGATTCCATTCGAGAAGCTGTATTAACTGTATCACCGAATAGACACTAATACCGAAACAAATCATAAGCTTGACAAAAAAAGATATGTTAAATAAGTAATATTCTTACATAACGAGGCATTTTGAGACCAACAACACCAGCAACACATGCACCGGAATGTAATCCAATACGTAATTGTAATGGTACACCAGGCATATGACGAATTTTAAATTTACCACAAGCATGTAATAATGTTAATGCCATTGTTGCTATTTCTGAAGCATGTTTATGTCCATTTTCAATTGGAAGACCACTAACAACCATATATGCATCACCAATAGTTTCAACCTAAAAATTATGAAGATCTGAATTGTAGAATAATACAAAGTTATTTTCCTGTGAGAAATATTAAGAAGTCTAGTATTTCCCCATCTAGAATGTGTTCTAGGAGATTCTATGAATATTTAATGAAGGATTTCTGTAGGTTTTATCATTCCACGTTTCAATATCCATTTAAGAAAAAAATCTGTTAAACAAATTTTTATCCTAACCTTATAACAATCAAAATCTTCCAGGATTGAATCAAACATTGTATATAAATCATTAAGTAAATCAATAACTTCCATTGGACTACTTAATGCTGATATTGTTGTAAATCCCACAATATCAGAAAAATAAATTGTTACACATTCATACCATACAGCTTCAACAGCTTTACCCGCTTTAAGACTATCAGCAACAGTCCTAAATAAATAAATAAATTAGATGAACTTATTTAATTAAATTAAATTAAAGATCATACGGTGGTAACATTTGTGATAATAATTTATCAGTTTTTTTCTTTTCTTCTTCAAGTTGTGTTGTTCGTTCTTTAATTAAATCTTCCAAATTATTTGAATATTGTTCAAGCATTTTAAACATTGTATCAACAATATTTACTTTCCTAGGAAAGAAAAAAAAAACTTTTCTTCAAAAATTTCATAATTAGAAAATTCTTACTTTCCACCATTGAGTAATTTAATCGATTGAGCAAGATCATTAAATGATGGCCGAGTTTCTGCTTGTTCAGCCCAACATTGTTTCATTGAATTAATATATTCTGGTGGCGCAACTTGTTTCGATACAGATGGACGTAATAATGGTGGTGGTTTTTTTATTTTAGCAATAATTTCTATATATATAAATAAATTTAAATATTAATAACTAGTTTCTATTAATCAAACCTTGTGGTGTTAGATCAAGCATACAAAATGGTGGTCCACGAAGAATAACTTCTTGCATAATAATACCAAAACTATAAACATCACCAGCTGATGAACTTGTCATTACTGTAGCAACATCATTTTTAATTATTGATGTACGAATATGTTCAGGTGACATCCATAGAAGATCTAAATTTAATATATATATATATCTATCTATGTAAATAATCTTGTTTACAAACCATTAATATCAACTTGTCTTGGAGCATTTTGTAAAGTATATATTTCATTTAAATGATAGTCCGTTACTTTTAATACCCAACGTGAATCAACAACACAATTTCTTGATTTTAAATTTCCATGACAACGTATAGATGAATTAGTTAAATATCTCATACCCTAAAATAAATTATTTATTTTTGTTGAGAAAAAATAGAAATATTTCAATTGAATAAATAATCACATACTCGAACAAGATCATTAAGCATTGACCATTTAAAATTCCAGTCAAGTTTTATTTCTTCTTTCTTAAGAATATCCTAGAAAAAAAAAGATTATTTTAATTATTTATTCTATTCATTTGAATAAAACTATCTATGTTCTATTTTCATACTTCAAGACTGCCTCGATGACCATATTCATATATTAATGCTGGCGCATTTGGTTCAATAAAAAGTCCAATAAAAGTATTGACATTTTCATGACGTAAATCTTTTAATAATCGTAATTCACGCATTACTTTTGTACGAAGTGATAATGGACCAATATGTAATTTTTTCACTTCAACTAAATCACCCTATATAATTAAATTTTATCTGTCATTAAATAGAAAACAAAAACAAAGAGTAGGATGACATACATTATAGCGAGCTGTTTTTCCTGCTTGAACATCTTCACTACGTATAGATACATTACTACGCTCATGTGGCTCGTTTTTTAAATTAACCTTTTAAAATAAAACAAAACATTTTTGTTGTGGAAAAAATTTAAATTTCTACAAACTTTGCTAGTAAATATTGAACCTTTTGGCATAACAAACATGATATCATCTGGTAATAAAATAATTTTATTCGGACCACGAGACATTTGTTTACGATTACGTTGATTTCTGATAACAAAAAAAGCAATTAGACCAATAATACAAGCAATAACTACACCCATTAATGAAAATAATACAATACGAAGAGTTCGCCAACCTTAAAATAATTTTTCTTAAATTTTTTTATTTAACTTAAAGATACTTACCACTATCACCAGCTGAAATATTTTCTCCATTTGGATAACTAATACAATTACTTAACGTAGCATCATTATTTATAAATACAGAATTAATAATTGATTTTAATATAGTCCAACTACCATTACATTGTCGACCAACAAATGCATAAGTAAATGAACGTTGTTCATTACTATCAAATGTAATTGAACCAAATAAAGTAGTCCAATTTGTTGATGAGATATTCGACATGTATATTGTTTGAAATAATTCAACACTTTCAAGTTCATGTAAAGTAAAAATAACCTTAGAAGAAAGAAAAAAAGAAGTAAATAAATAATTATTGATAAATTAAAATTTACATCATCAGAAAATGTTAAATTTGGCGTTGGATTAAGTATTTGTTGTTGATAATTTAAAACTAAATTATTGAAACTATTTGTCATACTACTATCAATTGGTAAAAGATGAAGAATAGGAAATGATGATGTTGAATATGATGTTACATTTGGTGAAAATTGTGTTGTATAAAAACTCATAAAATGATGTGACCAATGAATAAAAACAAAAATAACATTTCCCATTGATAATGATATTGATTGATAAAAATTTGAAATTATTGAATACAGCGATTGTTCTTCGCTGTATGAACATATAATAAAAAACACTAGAAAAAAAAATCAGACTCTGATAGTAGTAGTCCGCTTACCAGGAGAAGAATTACAAGGCTAAGTACTAGATCTAATGGCTAGACTCATCAACCCTCTGGATTATACTGTACTCGAGCTTCGGAGTAGAAAAGTCTTACTTTTTCTCCTTCGACATGAATCTTTTTTAATATTAATTTCAAGATTGAGACTCATGCATGGAAGATGAATTCTTTTGCAATTATGGCTGTTATAGTGCCATAGTCTTTTAACTCTTGAACGTAGTATCATAAATTACTAAAACATCGATTCCAAGAAGTTTTGTAGTTAACCATAGATTCATAACATTATCAATTCTTTATTAATACTTGTCGCTTCTTTGAATAGAACAAAAAACCAAGTAAAACACTCTCATATCTAAGTTGAGCTACCGGCTACTTTTTTTAATTGATATTTAATTAGTAAAAATATTTCCTTCACTTTCAACTTTGATTGAAAAACTATGTCCTGTATTTATTTCTATCATGACATATATCGAGAGAAAATGTATAAACTAACCTCTACTATTTAATGAATTTGTTGCAAATGATGATGAAAAATTTCCTGTCGACATCGATCGTTCAAAAATATATGATCTTTGAGTTAAATAACGGGAAAATTGTATTCCTAAATTCGAATAAAATGTATTTGAATCACTGATAATCATTGAAAAATAATGCAGAGAATAGGAACGCATAAAAAGAACAGCTGCATATCCTAATTGATCAGTTGTTGGTGCTAATTGCAATAAATTATTTGATAAAGATGTTTGAGTAAAACATATTGGACTACTTATAAAAATTGTTGGATAACTTGTTGCTAATGCTGATGGATATGAACAATCGCCTGTATTCCATGCGAATACAATTGATTGAATATTAGTTGCAGTTAAAAGTATTTTTGTTGATGAAACTAAACCATTACTAGTTGATAATAAACGTTCTACAACTGCTGTGTTTGTTAATATTGATATGTTTGGATTTAAATATGAATTTATAACACTTGTGCTTGTATATGTAAGCACATACGTAAAATTTTGACATAAACAAGATGAAATAACTATGAATATAATGATAATATTATACAATAGCTCCATGTATACAGCATATGATTTGTAAATTATAATCTTAAAGAAGAAAAATATAGATCTAAATCCTTCAATTTATTTGTTTATATTTAAAATTCTGATATTGAGATCTGTTGTAAGTAAAGAAAAGAATAGATACACTTATATAATCATAACATCTAGAAGAAAACTTGATAATTGTTTTAATGATTTCATGATAAATATAGTAAAAATGCACTGGAATTAATCTTTATGTTATATTATTCTATGATATATGAGTTAGAATCCTAGTTTTCAATATCATTTCATATAAAACTTACTTTATCAAATTAGTATGAGTATAAAGATGGAACAGCTTATGAATAGGTAATATGTAATTGTATATGTAGAAAAAAAACAAATAAGAATCGTGATAACTTTTTTTCTTAAAGTAATGAATAGTTTATATATAAATATAGATATATGTGTGTGTATATGACATGCGCTCATGATCTCTCATTCTTAATCATACTAATGAAGAGACAAATTATCTTTTCTTTTACTTTCTATCTCTTTCTCTTTATTTAAATCTAACTCCTTCTTCGTGCACATTAAGATTTTTCAGTATTTATATAAGCAAATTTTTAGAACTTTTCATGACCCAGTCTTTATAATAATTGATCAAGAAGTTACAACTCGATCTGCATTTTGTTCATATCTTATACATATACACCAACGTCCAAATTGAGGTTACATCGAATTTCAGTTCTTATTGATGGGATTATATAGTTCCACTGATCTTACATTCAGTGATGAAAAAATTAATTTCAGAATCTAAGAGTTATGAGCAACTTTTCACAGACTCTGTTCTTGTGCATAAAACTGTCTATAAATCGTGAACCTATCAAAGTTCTCTTTTTCCGCATCTTCATGTCATCCATAGATCGAATAGATAATATAATTATAGAACAGCTTCATAATGTTGTTTAATCAATCTCATTTTTTTTGTCGCTTTTTTTTCATGTCTGTAAAAGACAAACAAGAAGAAGAAGACGAAGATTTAAAAACATAGTAATCATCATGTGAGAAAAGTCCTTTCGGTTTGTTAACTCAAATGTAAAGAGTGACAACGGCAATGATGATGGTGATAATAACAACAGTATATAATAACTGTTGCTGTTATTTAAACAATAAAGAGTGCGAGAAGAGGAAAAAGAAGGCAAGAGATAAAAGAAGATGATAATCGGCAGTGATGCAGAAAGAAACGTGTTGTGATAAAATGAATAAGCCAACGCGTTTTCTTTCTCACTCAGGCGGCTGAAAAAAAAGTGACATAAAACGACAAAGTTTAAAGTATATACAGTAACGATAATTGTGGGTGTCGTATCATTAGAGAGCGACAAAGTAATGTCCGCTTTCTCTTTCTTATGCTTCTATAATTGTAGTATAAAGAAGAATAACTAAGATTTAAATTAATTTCTCTATCTCTCGTACTCAAAGATCAAATATTATGTATTTCCGATATTATCAAAACAAACCGAATGACATTAAATTTGATATTTTAACTAAGAATTAAATTATAAATGAAAGAAATAAAATTTCAAATATCGAATGTATTCACTCACCTACCAAAATAATTAACATCTTACGAAACTCAAAACAATAAAATATTTACGTTTCATTTTATGTTTGTTTCAATTGTTTATACTTATGAGAAAACAGTGAATAAAAAGAAAATCTGACTTGAATAAAAAGAAATAAAAAAAAACTAGACTATAAAGAAGAGAAGATAAAAAAGAAAAGTCGTTTTCTATTTTCTAATTTTTTTCCTTAGTTTCATACGATACACAAACTGTGGATGGTAAATATCTTCCCTATTCTGCCTACCGTTGCCGACGATAAAGAAGATACGGCATGTCATTAATCGGCTTACAATAGATGCGTTCTTACCGTTGTCACAACGCTTTTTCTCTGCTTTTCTACGCAGTTAGATATAGAGAAAGGATGGTATGCAACTGACATACTAGATTTGTGTTTGATGGTTTTAATTAGGAAAAATGATGCTGTGCAATGCACATTGAAAAAATGTAGATACAGTGAAAAAAAAAGAAGTCATGGCTCTTTCTAGTGCATTACAATAACAACAAGAAAAAAAATAAAGTTCATCAATTTGAAAAGTCAAATTTACAGACAATTGTCCCATCAAGATGTGGCACTGGTGTATGAATATCTTCATTATCAATTTCTTCATAGACATATGTAGGTACTGATGTTATACCATCATTCATTAAACATATTTCAGATGGATCAATACGACGTTTAAAATAATAATGACATTCAATTGTTTGATTATCAAATTTTTTACCAGCTAAATGATGTATACGAGGTTTTATATCTCCTAACGTAACACATTCAACAGGAATATTTAAATAAATCATATAAGGAACATCTTTATTTTGTATAAAACATGCTAATGGTGTTTTAATTGTTGTTGATATTGAATTTGTTGAACCTTTAGCAAAAAAAAAATAATAAATTTAATAAATAAAAAATTTTAATTTTGACAGTAATTTTGTTTTAATAAAGAAAGATTAGAGATCTAGGTCTTATCTGACAGAAATCCTAATAAAAAAAAAGTTACAAATTTTGTTCTTTTACGCACAAGATTTTGAAAAATACTTTCATATATATTCATTAATAACAAAAAAATCTTAATAAGATCCTTATTAAAGTTTTATATTTCATATTGTAAGAACAAACTGAATGCACTGACATTTTTTTTTGTCTAATCTTAATATAAATAAAAGAAAATCTTATTTCTAACGAGATAAATAATGTTTAACTTTTATTATCATAGAAATAAGAAAAGAATTTTCTTTATATAACTCATAACGAACAAATTATTTATCAGATAAAATTAAGATTCTTTATTGTATTAAGCATATGAAATATTGCATGAGAATCAAAGAAGCTTTGTACAAATTACTTAAATGTGATAATCTATCTTTCGATTGTGCTCATCGAAATAATCGTGTCACAATTTCGGGGCGTATCAAAATGTCAAGGGAAGAAGAGGCGTTACGCCCCTGTGTCACATTTTTCATGTAGATACAAAGAACATTCTGAGCAATTGTCACGGTAGACATAAACAAGATCGATCTACAATCCATTGAAAAGAGAATGATAATTAGCTATGTTTTTCTACGGAATACCGATTTATTAAATAAAAATTTGATTCATATTCTTACCAAGTGTTCTATTTGCGTTAAAACTTGTTAAAATATCTCGTTTAGAACTTGACTGTTTGGATGATTTAACAGTTGATGTACTTATTGATGAATTTAATTTTTTCGGTGTTGAAGCATTTATACTTTTCATTCGTTTATCTTGTTGTTGTTTTTTAACTAGATAATTTTTCCATATTTGTGATGAAAGAAAATTTGCATAAAAATTTTGTTTTAAATATTGTAACATATCTTTCATTGCTGGTTGAAATATTTTATAAGGATCAAATACACGTTGAGCAATTTGTATACGAATAAACTCTCTTGTTGTTGTTTGTAACCAACTATTTGATATTGTTTCATCATTAATATATTGTCTATAAGCAGCACGTACAGCATATAAAGCTTGTCGTTTATCTGATGATAAATTTGATATACCAATAACAATTGCACAAAATCCAACTAAAGATTCTCGTCCATGAATTTGTAAGAATTCTGCAAGAAGTGGAAATGTTTCATTATTATAAATTATTTCTGATATTGATGGTGATGATATTAATGGTGTTCGTTTAGATAAATCTTGATTACTACCAAGACCACGTACATAACGATTTGATAAAGATGTTGACTGATAACTACGATTTGAAGTTCCTATGCGTCGTGTACATTCTGTATCGCTATACATTTTAAACTATTTCTCACTTTGAATGTATATTTATGAATGAGTATTGAGGAGAAGGAAAACATGCAAGGTCAACACGAAAATGACCGACGAACAAAAAAAAAGAAGGAACGCATTTATTTCTTCTTTCGTTATATTTTTTTTCCTTCTATATCACAAATGATCATTTTCGTCGTCGTTCTTTTTCCATCGTCATTGTTGCTTTATTTATTTATTTGATCTTCACTTTATAGACCGACATCATGCAAAATTTAAAATAAAAACATCTGTTACATTGAAAAATAAACTAAATGAATAACAAACGTTGAGAAAATTATTTAAATATTACAATATGATGTAATTTGATCGGAACTAAATATTATGTATTTATTTATTTGAATTTATGCTTGAATTCGAATATAATATAAACTAGAACATAGTTCATGTTACAAAGAAATAATTGTTAAATTTTCAAGTAGTCGATAGATTTCATTTTCACACATTAATAAAACAACTTTCATCATGAATTAACACTGTATAGTTATTTCTTTGAGAAAATTTGCCGCATTCAGTTAATTTATTATTATCTAAGCATCATTATTTAAATATACAATATAATTATTGAAGGAAAACATAGAAATCTTACCGACATGTGTTTCATGTAACTTACCGGATAATGAAGAAGTCTTAGAAGTATAACGGTTTCTTTTTACAAGATGATATTCATCGATTTGTTCGAAATCATTTCGTAAAACAGATTATACTCTGTCATTCCCAGAAAATTTGATTAGTCATGTGAATTAATGTAATGATTATATTCGTTTTCATATTATTGTCAAAATCGTACGTAGAAACTAGTGATGTATAACATGACTCTTTTATTTGCTTATCCATGATTTTTACTCAATCATTACAGGATGTTAATGAGTGTACATAAGCTATTTTTGATAGAAATTAACTATCCCTTTTCAAATCTAAGTCATTCAAAGATTATCTTCTCTGATCATCGTATTGGGAGTCGTTTGTCTGATGCTACATAGATGAAGTTATTATGATAAAAGAATTGGTGAGCTTTCACAATATATTTGATAACATCCTGGTAGAATCTATACAATGTGTTCGTCTTCAATGTTATGCATATCCCCTACATCAAGGAGGTCAGTTTATTGCTCTTGTTGGTGATGTCATATAACTATAAGCTAAATTGTATTCATTTCTGTCGATTTGTTTGACTCCTGAGGTCAAATGAATCAGTTTTCCAATCAGCTTTTCGTATGACTAATAAAAAAGAATACAATGAATAGATATTTGTTGCTCATTGTTTTGAGGTCAATATATATATTCCATTATATTATATATGATCTTCCAACATATTCATAAACGGTACAAACACATTGTTTTCTTCGTTACTCAATGGCATCATTCATATGTTTCGACGAATTACCAGATCTCTTCTTCATCGAACTATTTCATTATTTATCTTCAGCTGATATTCTTTGGTCATTCATTAATTTAAATAATCGTATTCAACAAATAATTAGTGAACGAGGTTTCTTTCGTCATATTAATTTATCATCATTAGGTTTTTACAAATTTGATACACTTCTTACACTTCTTCCATTGTCTCAAGTTCAAATACTTGTCATTAATATAGAAGCATCATCTCTACAACTTTCTCGCTTTTCGTATTTACCTCATTTAACTACATTACGATTATATGGTTTACGTGACTTGAAAGATGCTTTCAATTTTATCCTTCGTCACTCTCATTCACTCGTATATCTTACATTACAGACACACGATTTATTTAGACCTGTAAGTATGACTGGACTTTATAATGTGATATTGATATTTAGCTTTAAAAAACATTGAAAACATCATTATGTCTTTATACAATTTCAATAGACAGACACACAATAAATAAAGATAATTTAATTGATTCTTCTTGTTTTTTAGAGGGGTTTTGGAGGATCTGTTGTATATCCGAAAGTGCATCTCACGACATTCATGGAAAATATTTTACCGCATTTAAATGCACTTCGTTCACTCGATTTAGGTCAGGGTATTGACTTAGGTCTTCCACTTTGGCATGTTACAACAATAGAATGTTCTCTTAATTATCTTCGTATACCTTTGCAACATATAAAACAATTATGTCAAGTTATGTCACTAGAAAAACTTTCAACTACATTAGAAGAATTACATGTAGGAATGCGCAGTTTAGATGCGGGAGCTCATAACGATTTACCTGATGAATTAGTTCTATCTAAAATGATTAATTTACATTCGTTCAGTTTAGTTCAATCAATATTCACTGACAATAGAATTGAATGGTCAACTATTGAAATATTAACAACTGCAAATGTAATGCCTGTACTTCGAAAAATGAATTTGATTCTGTTCATTAGTTTGGATGATGTGGATTGTATTAAGAAATCAGCACTATTTACTGATAATCGTCAAATTGATATTCAATTTGCTTTCATTATGGATGAAAATTCTCTCGCTACTCAATTAAGTGAATATATACCACATGGTAGTCGCTTCCATCCACGAGAAATCGTTGGTATAACATGTATGGCAAGCTGTTTAACAACTGAAGATCGACAAATGACAAATCTTAATTGCTATGTGAGTCATTTTATATATTTACTCGATTTTAGTTCAATAGTATCATTCTTTTATTTTAGTATGATAATTATTCATGGATTTTACATGTATGGTATACTCTACCATGGGCATTTGACGAATTTTTTGAACTGGTTGCACCAGATATGTATATAACCAAAGTAGAAACATTTCTTCCATCACAATGCAATTCGACAATGATTTATCCATCTCGACTTCGTACACTTGCTGTATCAGAAAATAACTCTTTACCATCGATTGTTTCGATGCCTCATGTTGTTCAATTAGATCGTATTAGCACAGTTCATTTATCATTTCATGATTGGCCTATTGGTTTGAAGCTTTCAAGTCTTCGTCATATTACATTAACAAATAATCTTATTGAATTGAAAAACTTCGCGTTATTTTCGAGTAATATTCGTTCCATTCAAATAATATGTTACGCTTCGATGCCAAACTTTATCTTAAATGATTGGTCTGTCTTTCGTTCACTTTCATCTCTACCGAAACTGATTTCATTACAAATTGTTATTAACGACATGGATACAATTCTCGATGAAAATAGTTGTCAAATTATCGCTGAGACAGCACCAATGTTTGTTCATTTTGGCCTTTGTTTTCGACGACAGAATGCACCACCAAGTCCTGATGATTTGAACCGTCCTGCTGAAATGGATTCTGCTATATTGGCACTTATAGCTGAAGATCCTACTCTTATTATTAATGATGATGATGATTATACAATTGAACCTGGTGATATAGCATTTCTGGAATCAACCATCAATAAGTATCAAACTTGTATTAAAGATATACGTCATCGTATCTTAAATTTATCATTTCATGTTAAACCTCTAATTGTTGTTGAAGATGGAGATTGTGGATTAACTGTGTGGTTCTAATTTTGTTATAATAAATAAATACTCACTACATAAATGAGACAAAAGTAACGTATTGAAGAGCATATATAGATATAAAATGAAGAGATAATAAAAAATGACTACTTTTATTTTTTTTATTACATTCTCTTAAAGA